TCAGTGAAGCTATGTAGGTGAAGCTAGGTGCTCATTCCAAAATGTAGATTCGAATGGAGAAGAACGAGAAAGAAATTCCATTCGTTTTCTTTTTAAAAACTATGTTCTACAATGTCTCTGATACATATTCCCATACTGTACGTACGTGTATTATGAGAAATTAGAGAACAATGCAAAGACACGCTTGACGCATTATACTAATTAAAAAACTTCTAAAATAAAAAAACTTTATAGTCTAACATGTGCGTACTGACAATTCATAAAAATAGTGCTTCTATACAAGAAAAAGGAAACTCTTTGTTTCAATATATTGTCTACATTAGTAATCGATTGCTGAGTGAGATCAGAGAATGGGTGTTACCAGTGGCCTAACTAGTAATACCGTTCGGGGCCCGTGACAAATTCATCGGATGGGACCCCAAAAACGGAGAAATTCACATGAAAACCCCTGAACAGGGCCAGGGTCCCAATTATAATTGGTGGCCCGTGGGATTTTGCTGACTTGCCACCCTGTGTGTTACCTAGCTTACCCTATGTATACAGTAGACACTTTGCGCCTTTTCCTTGGAGGACTTATAGGTGTGATGCTGTTTTGATTATATCTATGAAATTAGTATTTCAATTCGACACATCATAATAACATCACCACATGTCTTAAAGCTTAATTATGCCAAATGGTGTGTGAAGTACCTCCTAGCTTATTAATGAGGTACCTTAGTTTTGGGTCATTCTTATACATTTAAGTAAATATTTTATAACAAAGTTAATGTGTTTCGTATAAGTAGGTACCTAATTATTTGTGTCTCTTAGAGTTGATTGATGAGCTTATGATGAATTGTCTAAGTACCTAAGCCTCTATCGTCTTTATCAATGGTGGGCAAACTATTTTCTCGGAAGATTCAAAACTTGAGAATATTTTATAGGTCTACCTACTCATTACCTACCTATCAACCATTGCTGGGGTGCATGGCTCTCAGACCGGATTAATATATTTTCACGGGCTTTAGTTTAGCATCCATATTATTGATAAATCGGCCCCGAAGAAAGTTTTAAAAGTAAACTAAATAAATTGTTATTTGGCTATTTTACTCACCATAGATGGATGGTTGTACTGGAAATGTCCTGGTCATCTGCATGCACCGCAGTCGTGCGCGGTAAGCTCTCTTGCGGGCGGCGAGAGCTGCAGCTTCTCCATCACGGGCGTCTGAACTACCAGCACCCTGCTGTCTGCGCAGTGCCACCTTTGGGATAACAAAAGCTTGGAATATCTTTGGAATATTTACGTTCTTATAGCTCTATTAGGTAGATACTTAGTGGAAGGAAAATATGAACATTATCCAATACATAGAAAGGGAAATATTAATACCATGTGTGATTTTAAGTAGGTACCTATCTCGGTATTGGACACTAACAATCCGGCCGTCATATGCCGAAACGTGGATATACCGGGGGGTAGGTGTTAATCATTAGCACTGCATTAGGTAGGTAGGTACCTACCTACCCAATTTTTAGGGCCAGGGACTCCGATTTTTATATAAATTTTAATTGTAACATAAGTATTAACTCATTCTTACTGGCTCAAATTTTGGCTGTATATCTACTGTACTGTTTGCGTTCAGCATTTTTTTGGCTGTAGAAAAGGCCCAGCGCAAACGAAGGACAATCGGATTGTACTTTCGACCAGCTTTCGGTATCACAGAAAACTTTTGAAAAGTTGAGTCAAGTCAGTCGCAGAAATCTTTCTTCTGCACAAGATTTTTAGGCTTGCAAGTCTTTTATTTAATGTTCAATATTGGGTAAAAGCACTAGATGGTCGTTTTGTGTATTTTAACAACACAAATCGGCCTAATAACATGGATTTGGATCGCGGATTGTTGGTACGTAATACATAGTGCACCTTTTGTTCCGCTTAGTTAAAATTCAAATATGTAGTTATCTACCCAATCAATTACTGCAAGACAAGAAGAAGTTTCTAAATCCCCAAACAGTAGCCGAAACCTATGCACTAATCAGTGCGCACTTTTAAACAGTGTTCAAAGTTTCTTTACCTGAGCGGCCATGACACGTTGACGTTCCAGCACCAGCAGGCAGCCAGGGCACCGGCAGTCCCGCCAGCGACACAGTCTCTTGTGCCCTTTCAAGCACGAGATGACACCGTGGTTACGGCATCTTGCGCACTTCGGAGTCCTCAGCGCTTTCCGAACCGTATTCTCTCCCTCACTAGAAGCTTCGTTTTGCATTTTGTTTACCGCATACAGTTCTTAAGTGAATCACTACACTAACTGCCTAATTCATGTTCAAGCAAGCAGTTGCGCGCCCACGCATCACAGAGTTATTAATGAGACGCGACACCGAGTCATGTTGACGCTGAAATATCGTTTCAGAGATTGACGGCTGTAAAGTGGGCTTCAAGTTTTAAAAGTTCAGTGGTAGACATCGCCCCGCCCTGTACGCCTTACGATTGGCGGAGCAGCCGATGTGGGCGGGCGGCACCAAACGTTTTTTGTATTGTAAAGTTTTATTTTTCGGAGCAAAATGATACATTAATCGCTTGTTGTGTAATATTGAAGTGTTTGTAGTGTGTATTTTTAACATTATCAAAGACACTTCTTCATAACGTAAACTGTGAAGAAGCAATAAACTTTTTTGTTTCCTATCGTTCTGAAGTTTCAAAGCTTTAATATCAAAGCAATTAGAAATCGTAGCGTTGTAAACAACAGTTTCAATAGACATATTAATATATATATATACATAATAATACAGAATATTGGCACAATAATCGGTGAAAAACTTGCCACAAAGTTTGGTAATCTCTTACAGATCTTGCTTTTGCTACCTTGTTAGCTTTTTAAATTCTAAAAATAAAAAGCTTTTCAAATATGAATGCATAATAAGAGCCTAGGTAGGTAAGTTCAATCAAATCAAAAATATTTAGGTCAAATTATACCAGAGGTTAGAAGGTAACTGATACATCCTAGGCTTGATTTAAATTCGAATAGTTTGCCTAAATGAATACACAAACCTATATAAAACAGTGTATATAATAAAACAGTATCTATGTCGTGTTACAAATAAATTCATTGTTACTTACTGTCTTACCTACTTATCAATTTTCCAAAACAATACCTACCTATAGATAGCTATAGGAAAATTTATCTCAGCCTACCTACCTACTTAGATTAGAAACAAATAAATTGGTAAATATCTACAGAAAAATATTTGGATAACTGGTAAACAATAAAAATGAAACACGTAACAAATTAGTCGTCTATAGCAACTTGAAAATGATATTCCATCTCGAGCGGCGATTGCCAATTAGCTCTCGGATTTCAATTGTCCGTGTCCACGACGCGTCTTCGGTTACTGAGACCCTTTGTATTATCTCCTTATTTATGGATTAAAAAATACATGTATTTATCTAGCCCTCAGTCCAAGTGGAGGAAGGTCTACCCTTGTATACAAGGGCTAGTACAAGTTTTATATAACTGCTGCTTAGGCCTCACTATGTTGTGTTTAGCCGCAGCGATTTTTTTCAACTGATTATAGGTAGGTAAAAGTGAAATGGTACAAAATTCTCACGAGTAAAACCGCCTCGGGATTGTTAAGTCATTGAGAACCTAAGAGGTCGACTTCAAAGTAGAAATTCGGTGCTAATTACCATAATGCGTCCGCTTCAAATGGGTGTCGTCGTTAGGGCGTTTTGCAAGAAAAATCCGTAATGCAGCCTATGCGGCCGATTTTTTTTTGAGAGGAAAGACCAGCCTATTCCTTATCCCACCTTTGGTGAGGCGAGAGGAAGTCTCTTACTGAGTAACAACCACAATGCTCCCACTCCTGTATAGGTTATGCCATACTATTTTTTCAGGTTACCATGTTCAAGCATGGATAACATTGATAACAAGACTGCGTAGTTATCCCAATGAAGTGTAAGTTAATAATAGCAGGGTACAAAGTATCTTTGTTTGCAGTAATTGTGGTTCGGAGCATAAAGCTTCCTTTGCTCCTTGGCAAAACAAACGCACTTTGTTTATTGTACCAGCTACTGACACGCGTGGATTCAATTCATTATGCGGCTCACTGCTTTTGATTGTACAATATACAGAATTAGATTTAACAAACCATGTCTTTTTATTGTAATTAACTTTTGCGATCTAAAGGAGAGTGCATATTATATTAACTTTGCTTGGACTGGTAAGATACAGTTATCTATGCCTCTTTGTCTAAGATATGATTTCTTTAAATAATCTCCAAATAAGTATCTATACCTATCCATATCTGTCGCGGAGAACCTAACGGGTTACCCGGGCTCCGGCTCGAAGTGCAGGAGAAGGAACGGGGTGGTTTTTAGTCAGTAAGAGTCTGACACTCCCTCCCGCCTCACCCAGGCGGGATCATTCGATGATTTTCCCACCTTAAAAAAATATATCCATATCTATACATATGTAGATACGATGCAAATGCAGATACAGTGACCATCAGGTCAACATACTTATTTTTTATACATTTTCAACTTTATAGTTTTGATTTTATAGTTGAGTATACCAAGGAAAAACTGGCCCACTATAGTTACTTGAAGTGTAAGGAGTTGTGTAAGTCTCTGTGTAAAGATACTCTGAGGACTAAAGCAAATGCCAAAAAGTAAAACTATTTCATCAACGTAATGGTGTAAAATATTTTATTTTAATAAAAATAATCATTGTAATCCATTTGTAAGTGCATATAACTAAAATAAGTACATAGGTAAGCTAAATAAGTAAAATTAGAATAGCGCAGTCAATTAAATATAGAAAAAAAAAACAAAATTCATACCACATAAGTAAAATAATATAGCATTGTAAAACTGATGAGATTGTCTGCTTGTTAGCAGTATCACTTTAGTAACCTAAAATAAAGTTACCTACTCTCAAAAATTTCACGAATAGACAAACACTTAAAGGTATTTAGGTTCATCAGCTCCCTTTTATAACAAATTTTACTTTTAAGAACATATAAAACCTTTGTCACATAAGAAATTCGGCTTCAGGCACTAATTTTTTTTCGGAAAAGCAAGCTTCAAGCCAGTTTTCACTTACAACCATTGCGTTATACGTTTTAAGACTATCTAGTTCAGTCTTTTCAATATTGCTTGGGACTACAATATGTGTGCAGTCTGTGGACGGAGTATCAAGAACATTGGCTCCGTACATCGAAGCCAGAATCGCGTTAAGACCTTCCAGCTCCGTCACATGTATGGAGCAAGGACGCAAGAATGAATGCGGATTGTTGTCCCCAAATATCTCCTTGTCTAAATTCAGCATCTCTTGATGTGTGAGGTAGATTTGTACCTGTTTTGAAGAATAATTATACAATTATACGTTTTAGTCACTGGTAAATCGGTATAGTATCCATGTAGATCGGTTAATTTATGTTTAGAAAAAAGTGACTGATATTTAAATGAAGGATTACTTACATCACCATCCATTTTATCGAATACCTTCCTCAGAGTTTCCTCGTCAGTTGGTTCTGTGTAACTGTCTCCATAAGCATCATAATGTCTGGCGAGGGTTAGTCTCGTGGCAGGTTTGATGGCCAGCATATGTACCGGTGGAGGCTGCACGGGTGCTTCAGCCGAGGGCAGAGAACGTAACCAGGCGGTGCTCAGTACATCCAGGCGTTGTGATTCAATTACACTACGTACACGACTGGTTTGCTGACCCGCTACCCCGCACCATGTGTCCGGACCTTTATATATAACATGGTACTTACTTACTCTCTTACGACACTACCCCTTACGGTACATGTAAATTCATATCGATATAATAGTATGGATAATTGGCGCTAGTCGGGATTATGGTCATGTCAACCGTTGACTGACTAAATGTAGGTAAATGGGACATATTCGTAGACTTGAAACCACATAAGCGTTCTAACCGACACAACTCAGTTACCACAGAGCTTTAAAATTGGAATGATTGCAAGTACCATTTACTGATTGTATCGTATTTGCTTTACCAAAATATTTACTGTAGTAGGTTTATAGGTTTGGATTAATAATTAAATCAACTCACCGACATTAGCGACAACTTTTCCGCCGTGTGTTTCAATGATCTTGCAAAGTTCCTGTCGTGTACAGTCGACATCTTCGGACAGTATGCACAGCTTCCTTCCGAGAAGAGCCTTCGAAGTGGCTTCCACATCTCCACGAGATCTGATCTGGAACTGCTCTGGGACCTTCGGCGCCTCTATCTTCCGCTTCGCTCGAGGTTTCACTTCGGCTATTTCATCCCCATTTATTTGATTGGTACTCAATTTTACTACCGGTCCTTTGTTCTATGAATAAGCATAAAATATTTTAGGTACCTAGTGTATTTAGTTACTTTACGTTTACGTTTTACGTTACTTTAATAAAAATATCAGTAAACTACTGAATAACTGCCTCGTTGGTCGAGTGGTCGCAAGTGCGACTGCCGGGCAAGGGGTCTCGGTTTCGATTCCTAGGTCGGGCAAAGTACTATTGGGTTTTAAAAAAATTCTCAGTGGTAGCAGTGAAAAGTGGGTGTTACACTGTACAGTGGCATTAAGTGCCGTAATATGCACCGTTGCCTACCCCTTCGGGGATAAAAGGTGTGATGTTATTTCACTAAATAGATGTATATGAGAAATTCATGAAGTACTTACAGCACAAAGATTTTGGAACTCCATTAGTGTCATGACATCTTGAACGGGTTTATCATCTCTTATTTTTGTGACGCGTGGAAACCTTAGTGTGTAGTCCGTACCAAAACCTGATGCACGAACCAACTCAGACGCTCGAACCTATTTCAATACAAAATTAATTTTTACGTTTTGTAATAAAGTCGAATTTCTATTAACAAAATTCAATCAAAAAAATCTATATTTTTACATCTTCAAAAAGACTATAACACTTTTAGACATTACCGTTAACACGACGGAATGTTCAGGTAGGATCCAGAAGTCAGGTTTATTTTTACTGAAACTCAAGTTAGATGGTGCTGGTGTCTGTCTAGAGGACGTCCAGTTGCGTTCCAATGTGGCACATAGGGTCTCTCGCTCGTCAAACGTAAAGCCAGTAGATACCCGACCTATTGATATCCAGCGCTCAGGCATTTTACCTGGTAAGTAAATAGAAAAATTGATAAGAAAAATAAAAACAAAAAATATAATCTATAAGTATTTATAATAAATCTGTAGAGAGGTCAATTCTGTACATGAAATATATTTCCAAAATAACTATCAGGGGGGTGATTAGTGATCAATATTAATGCCAAAAATGCAATCAGTAAAATTTTTGTCTGTTTGTATGTTCCTTATAGAAACAAAAACCACTCCACGGATTTTAACGAAACTTTGTACAATTATTCTTCATACTCCTGGGAAACTTATAATATACTTTCTATAACGCTACAATCAATAGGAGCAGAGCAGTGAAGGGAAGTGTTGGGAAAAAGGGAGAAGTTACTCCATTTTTTAAGCTGCCGTCGAGTGTATAGCCTGAATGGTTAAAGCTACATAGAAATCATGTATGACAGAAATATTCTACATAAAATTATCTAAAAAATATCCCACAACAGCAAATGTCTTTCTTTTATGTTTGACTCACAATAACACGTGTAACTCCCGATAGCTTAGCAGTTCGGAGCTTTCTGCTTATATTTGTTTACTCTTACGTTTATAAAAAAAGAATCATAGAAATCTGTATAGAAACACCGAACTTGTACATGAAATACGCTTATAAGTCATCACGACAATCGCGCGTGAATACTGAATTATGCTAACTATAAGGATTAATTTTGTGTAACGGTGTGTGTATATTTGTTACTCAGTCATATTAAAACCACTGAAGGGATCGGAATGAAATTCGGAACAGAGGTAGACTATGGTATGAAGTAATACATAGGCATTTTACCCCTGGGATCGTGGACGAAGCCGATGGCAGAAGCTAATCTACTGTGTAAAAATAAGTTGGGTTTTCCTTCCTGACGCTATAACTCCAGAACGCACGAACCGATTTCCACGGTTTTGCATTCGTTGGAAAGGTCTCGGGCTTCGTGAGGTTTATAAAATATAAAATAAAAAAAAATATTTTTCTTCATCTTTTAATAACCAAACGAAATGTTACATAAAACGAAGCCATCTGGTGGCGAAACGGAGTTCGCCGGGTTTGCTAGTTCATAATAAGTTCCTATAACGATAAAGGGACCGTAGAGACGGACCCTTAAATGAAAATTTTTGTCAGAATTACGTAATATGCTTCATTATTACGAACACCTCCTGCTTCGAAATCAATAAACAGAAACCTATACTTTAAATGTTTCAGTAATCGAACTCTGAATCTCAACAAGGAACAAAACGCCTAGTTGGTAGAGTTACCTGCTCAATTTTCCGTACTAACAAAAAGATTTATTAGATCTTACAATTTAAAACCATACCAATATTTTTAACCGAGTTTATAATAAGAAGGTTCGCCATCCCAAAATTATAATAAGACTAAGAATAATGTATTTGTTTAGCTTCACTCAAAATTGGGTATTCAAATTACAATATTAAAGTTAAATTGTGATAGACCATTAACGAGATAACATAACATCACACCTTTTATCCCCGAAGGGGTAGGCAGAGGTGCACATTAGGGCACTTAACGCCACTGTACAATGTAACACCCACTTTTCACTATTTATGTTATGAGTCCCATGTAATAGGGGGGAGCCTATTGCCATGTACCGGGTATTCCGAGCTCCGTGCTACTACTGAGAATTTTGAAAAAACCCAGTAACACTTGGCCGGTCCCGGGAATCGAAACCGGGACGGGGAATTAACGAGATAATACTACATCATTATGCTTCAAAACTAGGGACAGAAAAATAAGAGGACTAGTACTAATATTTGTCGCGATTTCCTTGAACTAGGTTTATGCAACCTGTGTTTCGGGCAAAGTACCTATTATAGGGTTTTGGAATGGTGCCCGGTATATGGCAATAGGCTCACTCCCCATTACATGGGACTCATAACATAAATAGTATAAAGTGGGTGTTGCATTGTACAGTGGCATTAGATGCCATATATGCACCTCTGCCTACCCCTTCAGGAATAAAACAGGCGTGAAGTGACTGCCGACAGAAAAATATTGAAGGCAAATCTTCCGCTAACGTAGGTCACCAGCGACCTACGCGGCGGTTAACGTGTTAATAATCTTACTGTAATACCGTCAGTATATTTTTAAGTACAGGCTAGTATTTTACTTACCAGGGCTAGCTCCATCGCTGCAGGCGACGTGGAAACTCTTGGCGCGACCTTGCCTCTTGTTCTCAGCCTCATCAGCACCGATAATCACAAAGTCTAGGTCACTCATGGCACCTTCTGTATACTAGATAGAGACGTTTTGTTTTTTTACTCTTTAGTTATAGCATCGTTCAAGTTGAGCATTGGCAAATGTTTACCCACACCACAAATAAAGCTAACCTAGGCCTAATTTTAAGTAACTCGTCGAGTACCGGTTTTATAGACACAATTAAAGAACAATAGGTCGCGGTCACCGGTGACCGCTTGGTGTTTGACAGTTTAAAATTAAAAAAGTATTATGTTATTTCTTTATCACGAACTCAGTTAAGCAAGTAACCACAAATACAAAGTATTTCAATGGTAATGTACCAAAATATTGTTACCTCAGGTTTAATTTTGTACCATCCAGCATTACGTCGATTAGGAATGTAGTACGAATCCACATCTTTCACCACTATGCCCTCATCTTGATTCTCTATCGCCTTATTTAGAGCATCCAAAATCTCTGGGAAAATGGTCCTTGGGGAAAACCAAATAAATGTTATTTTACATTGTCACAAACTAATAATTATAAAAAGTTATCCTAATTTTTTTTTTTTTGTTAAAATGCCAAATGAGCATTCAGGTCACTTGTTGTTCAGCAAGCAGGCCTGTGGGAGTAGGGGGGACTGGGCCTCCTCTGGTAACAGCGCAAGCGTTGTTTCACCCTAGTTTTTTGTAAGGCCGTCTCAGTGCGTTAGAGCTGGCTCATTTGGGCGAAGCATGGCTTTTCCACATGAGTAAAACAGCAGGATTCAGGATCAATGCATAAGAGTCATTTAAATATTAAATAAAAAAAGGTACACTCACGCCTTAGACAATGTCTTCCGATCACTATGTTTTATGACTCCAGTTTTATCAGTAAACACTTTGTCCAAAATAAGAAGTCGTTCTCTAAGTGGCAACCCTCCTTTCTCTGGAGGCCCAACTAATGTTCTACCATTGTAGTACAGAATATCGAAGGCGCAGAAACATGGTTGGAACCTCGAATTCTCTGTTATTTTCTTAACGTCAAAAGCCATTCCTGTAATGAACATGTTTTATTTTATTTTATCTGTGTTCTACAGTCGACTGCACGGTTGTCACAGTGGCTGGGCGACTGGCAGCTGCGCGTCACGGGTTCGAGTTCTACACGGAACAAATCTTTGTGTAATTCATAAATTGTTATTCTGGATTCGGGTGTGATAATTGTAAACACACTCACGACGCATGAAAAAATCCTAATGTAGAGCAACGTTTTAAGAAAAAAACAAGGCTAGGAAAATATCATCACACTAATATTATAAATGTGAAAGTTTCTTTGTTTGGATGTTTGTCCGTCAATCATGCTGAAACGTAGTTCACCCCACCATCACCTCACCATCTAATAATTTCATCTTAATAATAATAATAAGGATAATTTTCATCCCGATTAAATGCTCGCATGGGATAAAACAGGAATCATATTCTACGCGGACGAAGTCGCGGGCAACAGCTAGTTATACATAATACACTTATTTGCACACTTCACAGAGGTAGATATTTGTTGGAACATTAAGAGAAGTAGGCTAGTTACCTTTACACCCAAAGCACTGGTACTGTTTATGCCAACCCATCATCTCGCCGTCTAGAATAAAGCTGGTAACATCAGATGAGAAGGTGTCCTTTAAATGAGGCGTCAACAGGCCAGAGTCATAACTGCCTCCATAGTTTTTGGTGAAGGAAAAACCTCTTCGCGAAAAATATTCAAATTTTCCGTTTAGCATGTGTATCTGTTAGGAATATTAGTTCTTTATTACTGCGTTATAGTAATACAATAATGGCTACTGTTTTTGTGCCCACTAGATGGCGGTAAAAGCAATAAAGGCGATGAAAGAATCGACCTACTTGAAATCTTTCACCGTCAAACTTGTTCTCAATCTGATAAGTTTTGTCCGAGGACAGTTGTTTGGCGATATTCTTGACGTCGAGTCGTTCGGACAGCATCGGGCTAATTGCATGAAACATCTCTATTCCCAGCTCCAAAGGACGAGAATCGCCCTCACCGAGCTCTTCACACACCTGTTAGAAGTTATAGCATAGACAGTAAAACGAGGTCTATAGATACGGGATATAATATAGGTAACAGTAACCTATTAAAACTTGAATAGGTTAGGTACCTAGTTTCTTATGTTAATCTTTACTTATACAAAGTGTTTTCAGTTTATTTACTCGGTTGATGATATGCTCTCGGCATGATAGAACTGAACTAAACTGAACATTGTACACACGGCTACACATCGACCTTTACATAACCAGTATAAACTGAACGTTAAATGTGCGAAAAGACGATGCGTCGCGACACCAGGATAAACTGGTTTTGTCTAGATTGATGTGTGGCCGTGTGTATATCTACATAAAAAGTCATTTAACAGCATAAGAATAATAATGATTGGCATCGTCGACTAACCTTGGACAATAGGCCACAGGTTTCATAATATTCGGGAGCGTCAGGGTGAAATAGAGCCAATATGCGATTACTCCCCATCTCCAATTTGAGCTCTTTGAGTATAAGTCTGAGGAACCACTTCATCTGGTCTGCAGTCACTTTACTTATAACTTGGCTGAACGTTTCATCGAGAACCGCTGAAAATATGAAATAAGTCAAAACAAAACCTGCCTAGTATAGATAAGAAGATAGGTTTTGATTGCTGCCTCGATAGCGCAAGACTCGCAAGTGTGACTGACTAACAAATCTCGGGGTTGATCTCCGGGACGGCAATGCAAATTGGGATATATGTCGTTTTTTGAAAAATTCTTTATCAGCACGGAGTTGAGAATCAAATTCTGTCTGATGTATGACGCCAGAAATCGAACCCAGAATTCTTTGGACGACGACATGATGATACGACGATAAGAATAACTACCTAAACCAACTACTGCAGTCGCGGAGAACCTAACGGGTTACCGGGGCTCCGGCTCGACGTGCAGGAGAAGGAACGGGGTGGTTTTTAGTCAGTAAGAGTCTGCACTCCCTCCCGCCTCACCCAGGCGGGAGCAGTCATTCGATGATTTTCTCCCCTTAAAAAAACCAATTACTGCGCCATTCGTGCAGATCAAATTTTCTCAATAAGTGCAATAATAAAATAAAGTCATATAGAGACTTACACGCCTTCATCCCAACTTCAGCTGCGGCGATGTTATCCAGGATGCCATTAATATCACCAACAGTTATGTCCTCAGATTTTGGTTTCATTCTACTTTTAAAAACAAAGTATGCAACTCCAGGGAAATCGCTGTCCTGAGAGTTATTTACTGATCTGTAATTCAGTAACTTCTGCGCATCGCGAGATTGTTTGCAAAGTGACAGAACTTTTACAAGTAACACGCCAAGTTTGCTTTCTTTCAAATTATAAGCACTCCTCTCTCTATCTAGTTTTGGCAGCAGCAGTCTTAGGATTGGGAATAAAGTAGCATTCTGGAAATACATATTATTTATATTTAAAATATTTGATGACAGTGATATGATAACACATATTTAAGGGTACGCAAGATGTTCAGTTACCTACTATTATTTTACCCATTTTGTCTTACAGGTAATGATTAGGTATGGTTTTATTGTGATAATTTTAGACTTATGTAATGCTTAGCACCTACGACCTACATCTATATCTATAGATTGAACTCCACACTCCTTGCAACTAACCTACAATCAATTAACAGACTGCCTCATTGGTCGATTAGAGAGTAATATATTTTTGGTATTTTCGGTTTCAGAAAATTTCCAGCAGTAGCAGGGGTGTTCTTAAAACCAAGGGACGATAACATAACCAACGAATGTGGATATTTATATAACTAATACGTGCGCCATATTAAAAAAAAACCTAAGCAAATGGCCGTTATAATACTGAACTTTTCAAAATAAAAACTCAAAAGACACTAACTTATTCTATCGTTCCCGGTCTACCTTCCGTTACGAAATAAAAGAAGGAAAGTTCAATAGTCACGTTTTTTGCTTACAATAAGGTAGCACAAGAAAGTACTTGACTTTTTTATATTCTACTAGCTTTTACCCGCTGCTTCGCTCGCGTCACAAAAGGATAAAAAGCCAATGTGACATATACCAATACACACAGCGCCATCTATACCAATACTTTTGTTTTTTTCCTTTCATTTTTCCGGGATAAAAAGTACCCTATTATTTAATCCGGACTTCTAACTATACATCTGCAAAAATTCAAAGCAATCGGTTTAGTAGTTGCGGCGTTAAAGAGGAACAAACAAACTCACTTTTCGATATATAATTTAGGTAAGGAAAAGTAAGGAAGTAAGGACAAATAAGTAAGGATGAGGATAAAATAAATCATTATTACCTTTTTCCCTACCACTTGTGACGCACTCAGTTTACATTCATTTATAAAGTTTCCCAATATTTTATCTTGTTCTTGTCTTTGCCTTTTCCTCTTTTGCAGCTGTTCTAAGATGCTACAAAACTTTTCGAATTTAATTTCATTTGCGGGAATCACTTCATTGGCCATGATAGGGATCAAAATAATAAAATGGACTCCCTAAAACAAACAAAAAATAACTGTTGGTACAGAGGCCACCATAACAAGCTTCCTCAAATTGTTAATTTTCTTTTTATTGCTTTCATATAAAGTCGAAAATCTTTTAGTTGTAGTTTTGGGGAGCTTGATTTCCTGGCGTCTGTATTAAGTTAGTTGTTACTTAGCTTATTAGTCGTAAAAATGAATGATTAACTACACAAGCTTCGAATATTTTACCAGCAAAAGAATATTACTTTAATATAACAAGGGTTGTATTATAATTGAAACTTAGATATTTATTTTAAATAACATTTATTTTTCATATCAGAAATAATCAGAATATTACACGACAAGATATTTCAGCAAATACTTTCTGGCCATGACTGGCGAATGGTCTTTATAAAGCAGATACAAGTTGTAGGCTGTTTCTCTCTTCAGATCAATAACTCCATGTTGTTCACATGTCGTAATATGGTCACAAGCAAGAGCCCTCTCATAATACTCAATAGCAAGATTATTGATGCTTAACATTTGATAAACTCTTCCCATATTATAATTAGCTTCTTGTTCACATTTCCTTAAAGACTGATAAGTTTGCATATATGCCATTCCTTGGAGAATCAAGTTGTGATGTTTGTCCACAGTTCTTTGTGCTGCCATCACTAAAATAGTAATGGCAATTAAAAATGCAGACAAAGAGTCACCACATCTTTCATGATATTCCAAGTAGTACTTCAATGCCACTAAGTATCTCCCTGAGATTAGGAAGTGATTCCCCAAAAATAAGTTCTTAGTGAAATTGTTACTATCTCTTTGGAATAGTCTTAGTAAGAATTTTGAATGTGTATTCCTATCAATGAAATTAATAACAAGATTCAATAAGTTCCATGATCGGTTACTTGGATGTTTCTGAGAGAATTCTCTGATGAAACGGAATGCATTTTGGTTGTCATTACTTAATAGACAGGCTTGCAAGCAGTAGAATTCAATATCTGGTCGATGTGGAAATAAACTTTTTGACATCATTGCACCAAAAGTCAATCTTTGCATCACAAAGTATTTTTTAAGTCGACATGCAGTATTTAACATTTCTAGAAAGAAGTCCCATTCTTCCTGTGGTGTAAATTTAAAAGTTTCATCTTCATCAAAGTGAATGTCATTTTCGTGATATTGGCTTTCTCCACGCATTGTACGGAAATTGTGGATAAGGTCAATTCCACACCGTACCTTACATGCTATATTTAACTCATCTTGGTGTCTAAACTTGACAAATGTTTTAGAGAGCAAAGCTTCACCCACCTCTAAATACTTTAACCATTTTTTATATTTTTTCAGCGCCAAACATTGTTCATATAATAAATTGGCATTTACTACATACCTAAAATCTTGTTCTAACATTTGCAAAGCTTCATCAATACGCCCTTTCTTCTCTAGTATGGAGTATAACTTTCTTCGAGCATCAGGATGTTGTGGTGCATGTATTAGTACTTTATAAAATGAATTAATAGCATCAGTTTCTCTGCCGAGCATGTACAGACATTCAGCATGCTTTAGCCACACTGCGCCAAGATCAAAGCTATTGTTCTTCACTAATGGCTCCAAAAGTTGTATGGCTAGTTCATGCTGTCCAGTTGAAGAAAGTGCTTCTTCTATGTCCATATACAAGTCTCCTGCATTTTCCACATCATTGTTTAAAAAGTCAGTTAACAAAGTTTGAACTAAATTAACAGCACCAAGATGTATGAAACAAACTAACAGCTTACTTTTTAAATCTATTGGCAAGGAATCAGGAATAGTACAATTCAAGTAGTTAGTTTGCTCCTCTATATCTCCATCAGCATTTTTAACAGTTTGTATTTCTGCTTCAATTTCAACTCCAACATTGGCAACAAATATTTCAATACATGTTTGAAATTGCTTCTGTCCTATGAGAAGCTCCAAAAATATATTGAGATCTTCTAAATTGAACAAAGTTGGGCACTTTTTATAAGCTGAAGACATCACTGCAAGTGCTCTCTCCATTTCATTATTATTATGATATTGTGTCACAGCCAGTTTGGCATATTTCATTATGGTTTCTCCTTCAGAAGCCGGCAATGAAGTTACAATCTTATGATAACACTTAAGCTTTGTGATATGTAAAGTATTAATTGGAAAATTAATGGCTTCTAGTTTATCAAGAAGCTCTATTCTTTTCAGATGACTATCAAAATTATGTGGATCATCTGCTATTGCTTGTGTGTAGCAAATCATCTCTTGCCTACAATCATCTCTTTGTTTGAATATGGCAGCAAGTCTCAGCCATTCTTCAGCATCTGGAGGACTCAGATGAGCCGATAGTAAGGAAAACTGTAGCGATTTTTCGATATCATGCTCATATAATTGAGCTAAGGTTTGGTACGGCTCTGGGGCAGTTGGAAACTGCTTAATTATTTCATGACACATTTTTTCAGCTGTGTCTCTGTCTCCTCTTACAAAACGTAAATTTGCTTCGCCCATTAACCCCAAAAGGCCTGGTGGCAACCTTGCAAACTTACGACGCCTTTGCATGCCTTTTCCGGACAAAGCAAAAGGTTCATCGTCATTTCTTTTGCTTGTATCATCTATGTCTTCTTCGTCATCCATATTGTACCATTCATTGGAATATTCAGCAAAAGACATTTCACCACTTAAGAACTTACTGGTTAGATCATTCTCCAGCTCCATTTTTAAAGTTATTTTTAGTACTTCGTTTTCTCAAAACTTAACCGGTTCAATTCTTCGTGTAGTAAAATTATTCAATGGTTATTTTTCATCAAAATGTAATAATTTAGCGGCTTGAATGTGTTTTACTTACTTGTTTACAAAAGGGAATTTAATTCTTTTGTATTTCTTATTCTTCCATCCCATTCAAGTTTATCTTGCTTGTTAGTGCATACTATTTTTTTCACGACTGGTATTAATTAATTCAATTAATTATTCATTTCCTAAAATATTACACGCTGTTTTGAAAAATAGTGTGTGATTAATGTAAGTCTGTCTACCCCTATACTTATTATACTCTTTGAGTCTGTCTGAACTCTGAATAGTCTGAATGTCAGTGTCACTTGTCTTATTGTCTAGATGTAGGGACTAGTTTTGACATGTCGCGACGTGTTGTTAAGTTATAGTGTTTGGAGTGGTTGGGTATGATAATGCGGATTATGAATGATTAACTGGTTTTATAGTGATAATTTTACTTTACTTAACAAGGGTAGTGCAATTTGTAAATACTGCAATATTATACTTTTAATACAACCTAAAAAACAAATTGTATGTGTCCAGAAATACTAGTACCCAGTTTTAAAAATATTACCCAATAAAATTGAAAGGTAGGTACCTAGTTTAATAATCTGTGGTAGGTACGTTAAGAGTTTGACAGTTCATCAGCTTTGTCTGACTTGTATTGCTTGTATTTTTTTCTGTTTTGTTTTAAAATTTTACCAAAATAGTATACAGTGGTACGTGGGTTCATAATAAAGTTAAAATTTGGGGCAACGAAACTTGGAGAGGAAACGTGCATTAAAAACAAACGGTATAGGTGTTGGAAACTACGACCTTAATCAAAATTTAAACTGAGATTTATTTCATAATGTAAATTATTTACAATCACTAATGAAACATATGTTTTTTGTTGTTAATTATTGTGATTGCTATTTTTTGAGTTTCAAATACTCTTAGTTCTCTATAGTTTTAAAATAGTTACGAAGACATGTGAAATGATGCTGATTATAAATAGACCTTATAACAATAGTGTCTTCTTGACTCTGTCTGAATATTATAAATACTTACCTACCTAAATGGGCAATTGGTATCATCATCCGGTTAGATTGTACCTATACTCTAAAAAAATAGATTGATTGTTGATATAATTTAAATAGACCTTTAAAATTATGTTAAGTTACTTTATTATTTCCTTTGACATCAACACCAAGGTTTATCATCACTGTTAAAAAAAAATGTCCTAGAACAATAACAAATATTTATTAATCATTAAAATTAATGCAAAAATTATAATATTATGTTTATTGACTTGCCAGTACCTTATTGGTCTAATTGTAATAAATGTGGGTCTAATTTAACTTTGAATGTCAGATCTCAATAAGGCTGACCAGTGTCAGTCACTGTGGCCTTTTATAAAGTTAGTACTTTTATACAACACAAATGCAACATTCAGAGGTCAAACAAAGGACTAAAAGCCTTATATGCTTTCTGAGCCATATGAGTCATGAGGGAAAAATAATATTACTAGAAGATCTCATACATGTTTTTCCATGCCAAAATTCTAATTTGAGACCTTGTAAAATCATGCAACCACCACACCTATGACATTATCAGTTATTTCTTATAATATTGAAAATTTACAAACAAATATTTACAGATATCACTGAGTGGCAAGCTCAGTTACCATGTCTGAAATATTTGAGTCAGTTAAAGAAGAACTGAAAGAAATTGAAAATGAACTGGAAACAAATACAGAGAGTTGCAGTATGTATGACAGCAGTAAGCCATCACTGATGGATATGCCAGTTGAGGTAAAGCATTTAGTCATAAATATTTCATCTCTAAATGATTTATGAATCATCTTAAAGACTCTAGTAATCTGTAGAAGTAAACATACCCTTTAAACTGTCAAACACCAAGCGGTCACCGGTGACCGCGACCTATTGTTCTTTAATTGTGTCTATAAAACCGGTACTCGACGAGTTAATATATTATTACAGATAATATTGAAAATATGCTCATGCCTGGATGCACATTTTTTAAAATATACATTGAGTAAAGTATGTCAGCGATTTGAGAACATATTAGCAGATGATCACTTATGGAAATACTGGGTGCACAGCAAAACCAATGGTTGTTTCCCAACATTGCCTCTGTTGAAAATATGGGATGAAACACAAATAGACTGGGAAGCAGTTTGTGTTGAAATGGATGTGGAGATGAAGAAATGGACTAATGTTAAAGACACAACAAGACACATAGTGGTGAAGGATGTTCATTTTGCTTCTGTGGATACTGTTCTACTAGTTAATGTAAGTACTTATAATTTGCAAACAAATTATTTGAAATGAACTTAAATATATATAAATACTGAGTCTGACTTTTATCCTCTCATGCTGATCCTACTTTTTAGAATGGCGAAATTTGTATATCAGGTGGTAGGGACCGAGGAATGGCGTTATGGAATGTCCTGGAAATTAGCCCGCATGATGAGAGTGACAATGTCACCACCTTTACAGATGCCAAACCAAAACAAATTAGGCATGATGCTCATGCTGGCTGGGTCTGGGACCTGGCAGCAGATAATATAAACTCTGCTTCAACTATATACTCTGCTTCGTGGGATAACACTGTGAAAGCATGGGATCTTGAGGCTGGATTTGAGTGCAAACAGTCATTCCGGTAAGTTTTTGTCTAAATTCATTACAGATCAGTTCCAAAAACAAAGCTACTATATAAAAATAAGTCGGGTTTTCCTTCCTGATGCTATAACTCCAGAACGCACGAACCGATTTCCGCGGTTTTGCATTCGTTGGAAAGGTCTCGGGCTCCGTGAGGTTTAGGCAAAGAATGTTACATAAAACGAAGCCATCTGGTGGCGAAACGGTGTTCGCCGGGTTTGCTAGTAATAATAATAATCTAGTAAAACATATTTCAGGTGTGGCATGTCAGCATTATCCGTTGCTACTGTTGGTAATGAAGTAATTGCAGGATTGTACTCCAAAAAAATTCTGTCATTTGACTTGCGCGCTGGTCCTAGTCCAACCTACGCTTACAAACCACACAAGGGGCCAGTTTTGGCTCTGCAAACATTCAATAATATGATTGCATCATTAAGTGAAGATAAGACTATGGCTGTGTGGGATAGAGTTGCTGGTAAACTCTTATTGAGTGATGTGAAGATACCTACTGATAAAGCTTATCCAGTGTGTATTAGTTGGAGCCCATCTGCCTTGTATGTTGGGGATTCCAAAGGCTGTTTGCATCTTTTTAACCCTGAAGACCACACATATATAAGAACACATGAAATATGGCCAGAGCCTCCAATAATTAAGCCGTCTAGTAAGATAACAGGCTGCTATCAGAGTTCTGGCAATATGATTGTCTGTTCAGACAGAGGAGAAATCAAATTCATGTACAACTGCTATCCACCACTAGAGTACACAAATGTGAAGAGTAGTACATTTGATGTGACCCAGGTAATGATTTTGTTTTATAAATCAAACTTATTTTCTGAATTTCTAGTTAGACTAGTAACAAGTTTTATTCATTGTGAGTCAGTGTCACCTTCCATGTTACCTTTCCTATTTCAATATTATTATGTTATTCTATTTTCAGTTACGATATTTGAATGGTGTGTTAGTGGTTGGCACATGTGACTCAGCACTGGAGTTTTGGGTACCAAAAGAAAGGTACACACCACATTGATCTTGAAACAATGCTACTGGAAGGTAGTATGTAATTTTGAAGTATTCACCCTTAACTTATGTGAAGATTTATAACGAATATATTATTACTATTGGCTATGTTTATATTAACATTAGATTTTATATCGACATGACAATTTAAGTTTATACTAAAACAAGTAAATAATTTCATGATGCCTATTTCGTTATTATTAGGTTCTGATAATTTTTAAGATTGGACTATATTATATTCTATACAACATTCAGCAATCCTTACTGTGATATAATGTCTCAATAATAATTAAATAGCATAATATAATAATCATGCTATTGTGAATTATAGTTAATATCACATTTTATTTAATTAACATGGCTGCTATGAAAACACAATGAAGTAATTTCTACAATATTTAGCTATAGATGCGCGAAGTAGGTATTGTATTCATTAAATTGATATATTTTGCACTGCAATCGGCCGGACGAAGTACTCTTTGATTGCGAGTTTAGAAGTCCATGACAAATTATATGTGGATGGATTCGGCTTATAGAGATAGAAATTGGCCAAATTTTGTATGGAGACTAGGGCTTATCTTGTAGCGAAATCTAGTGTCATCTATGTTATTGAGACTGTGAGACTGGTTGTTAAATGGCAGGCTTATGTGTGCTAAATATAAAAAAAACTTGCCTTATAATCAAACCGTCAAATCAAGTAGTCTGAAACTACTAATGAATTTTAAAATCTCTTTACTGACTAGCCAAAGTCATGAATCGTTTATTTATTAACTTTATTTTATTTGGTACCTATAGAAAAGTTTTTATTTAATTAACCATGGTTTGTTGTGCCCTAAGCATGAAGGTTTTGTATTTGTATAAATTAACTTTATTATACAGTGAAAAATAATCAATTTATCAACACAAGCTGCGTTTACGTTTTGTCCTTATTGTGTCAAATTATAATTCCAAATTGCATTTATTTTAAACTAGTATTGTTCATCATACTTAAAAAATTTATCCTTTTTTTGTTAGGGATAATTCTATTAGTATTAACGAAGTAATATATTAATAATTTAAGACATAATAACAAAATGAAATTAATAGGGTTTTACCTTTAGGTTGTACCATTCCATACCTTTCCATACCATTTTATAGCCTTTCCTTACAAAGTTAAATGTTAAAATTCATTTAGAGTTAAAAATGCCTAGAATACTAACTATAATCCGTTAATCAGTTTCTTTTCTCACAGGTGAATTAAAACGTCTCTTGCACAAGAAGTGATTCCGTATATTGGTCTGATGTTATGTATTTTGTATAAGTAGTAATTTGGTCATTTTTTATTATTTTTATTCGCCAACATTGTAGCTCATTCTTGATTTCTTGTATGTAGGTATGTCAATAATGTAAAATAAGATTAGCTTTCCCATTTCTACTAGGTACTAGTCCCCTGTCTAACTAAGGTATCTATCTATAATAAATCAGAATAAATCTTGATTATTTTAGTTTGAAAATTTTCATACAAACAAAGACGTAGAGCTGGTGCTAGTATAATGGGAGAGAAGACAAATAGTTGGCAATAAACGCCATAATGCAGACCATCTTCATTTTATTATTTTAACAATTACTTTAGGCACAGCTGAAATCAGCATCTGGTCAGGGAAAACTTGTTATAAGAAATAAAGAAATATGGGGAATAAGAAATTAAATTAATAAAATGATGTGATCATCAATGGGACAATATTTATGCAGGCTGATTTATTTATTTCATGGGGACTAGAGCCATTGTGGCTATGAACAAATATTACTTCAAATGAATTTAAGCGAATTAGAATTGTTTTCTGGGACTTAAGTAAGGAGTAAATTTTAAAGAAATTACTGACACACAAGTACTGACACTGACACACAAGGTCAGTTGGGCACGCGCTGTCTGCAAACTGGCACCCTAGGCACTCACCTAGTTTGTCATTAGGATATTACGGCTCTGTCCATTGATGGTCTTTTCAGTTGTGCATATAGTAATGTACCTAATAAATTGGCACTCTACCTATCACAAAATGGTCTGAAATTCGACTAATATTTATACCCTAAGTATTGGACTTGTCATTTTAATCACAAAAATATAGTCTTTATTCCTAAGTGAACAAGTTACTAAATACAGTAAATACAATGCTTACCTATACTTAGTTTATAATGGTTGTTTTCGGTTATTATCTACCTACTAAAACTTTACTAAGAATAAAGACTAAAATAATATTTATAGGTACTCATACTATAAAACGTGTATTAAACCTGTCTAATTCCTTTAAATAAATTTTTATTTAAACTATTGTTTTATTATTTTGTTCTAATCCACAGCATGTCACAACTCACAACACGCAATTTTTCAGTCTCTGAAGGGCAATCAGCCGCGCCGTTCATATAATTATTAAATGTCACATTGTCTTTTTACTAGTAGGTCTGTTATGAGCATGAGCGGTGTCCCTATTATGGTTTACTCACAATTTACTGTAATAAACTATTATGCCTAAGACCCAACTGAGTATCGAACTCTAAACCTTTTGCTTGACAGTCAACTAGTGCTCTCAACTACTTAATTGAAACAGTAAGTCACCTACCTACCCACCTATTTCTCGGGTCGCTGCCATTGCAGCGGTAAGTCCCCTCCTTGAGGAGTGGCTTGAGAGACGCTATGGCGTCCTCACCTACCGCCTGACGTTGATGACGTTGAGCTGCGGAGGACTTAACGGGTTGCCGGGGCTCCGGTTCGCAGTGCAGGAATAGGAACGAGGTGGTTTTTAGTCAGTAAGAGCCTCACACTTCCTCTCGCCTCACCCGGGCGAGAGAAGTCATTTGATGATTTTCCCCCTTTAAAAAAAAAGGGCCGCCTATACCGATCAGTGGCGGCCTAAATTCGAAGTCTATCGAACGTCCTCGTTTATTTTCAACAAATACTCGAAGACTGTCGAGTGTCATCGATCACTTTCGAGTATCCACGAAAGCCATCGAGCGTCCTCGACCACTTTCGAGTGTCCACGTAAGCCATCGAGTGTCCTCGAACACCTCTGAGAATGACTCAGTGTTCTCTATCATTTTCGAAACCATCGAGCGTCCCCTAAAACCATCGATCACTTTCGAGAGTTACTCGAAGTCTATTATGCGTCCTCGAATACGATGAAGCGTCCGACACTTTCGAGAAAGAATCGAAAACTATCGAGTGTCCTCTATAATTTTCGAGAGTTGCTCGAAAGCCATCGAATATCCTTTATAATTTTCGAGAGGAACCAGGAGACGCATTGGGTGTAGTATCGCGTTGCGTTGTCGGGATCTCTGGCCACCGTCACCCAGCAAGTGCAACAACCTTGCAATCTACCCTATATATCTAACTGTCAAGTGTCGACTGCGTCAGTGCAACTACATAAAGTTTACTATTTATTTTATTACCTACACCTACTTTAATGTATGTACTTTATTTTGTTTACAGAGTTGTCATGTTGTGACACTCAGATGACGAACCGTTTACAACAGACGTATTCGGCAAGTGTGAGCTAACCTTTATATTTTTAAGATATCTGATTTGAGCTTGGTTGCAATATCAAGTGTATAAAATATTCCGAAAGTATCAACAAATCTTTGAGATAAAAAGCTACACTCAAGTTAGACTTGTATTTTTAAAATATTGATCATGAAAATAATTTTGTGTGATGTTAATAAATCAAAATTATTGAATGGCGTTGGCAACATTGCCGTCATGGCTGAACGAAACTGTTGACTATCTGTCAATTTTGTGAAATCTTTTATTTTCGCCATGATCAGGAATAGGAATTTGTGAGTTGTGGTTTTGTAATGGATAGTGTTCAATAATTTTCTCATGAGTATTAGTTAAAATTCATCATGAACGGGTTAAGTTTCAGTGAACTCTGTTGCCTGTTTTGTTGTCCACCATGCCCGGGGAAAATCGCGGCTAAGCTCGCGTTTCTGCCTCCTGAACCTACGTATGCATTCACACCTGATGAGACAGGATCGAAATTCTCATTGACATTGACTGAACGAGCAGAATGGCAATATTCGGAACGGGAAAAAGAAAATATCGAAGGTTTTTACTCGAGAACCACGAGAGGCAACAGAATAGCTTGCCTCTTTGTTCGATGTAGTCCAAATGCCCGTTTTACGATATTATTTTCACATGGAAATGCCGTAGATCTCGGTCAAATGAGCAGTTTCTACTTAGGATTAGGTACTAGAATAAACTGTAATATATTCAGCTATGATTATTCTGGTTATGGTGTGAGTGGTGGAAAGCCGTCAGAGAAGAATTTGTATGCGGATATTGATGCTGCGTGGCAGGCGCTGCGGACTCGGTATGGCATCAGCCCCGAGAATATAATACTGTATGGACAAAGTATTGGAACAGTACCTACTGTGGACCTGGCTGCTCGCTATGAGGTGGGAGCTGTTGTGCTGCACTCTCCTCTCATGTCTGGAATGCGAGTTGCCTTCCCGAACACTAAGAGAACATGGTTCTTTGATGCTTTCCCGAGGTCAGTACCAAATAAATTCCTTTATTAACTCGTCGAGTACCGGTTTTATAGACATAATTAAAGAACAATAGGTCGTGGTCACCGGTGACCGCTTGGTGTTTGACGGATTAATGGTTCAGGATGCATTATTCATATGTAGTTGTTACTTGTTATGGTGACTCATTATGAGTATGTAGCATTGGTTGCCATATTGTTATGTATGTTAATTGGATTGAGTGTATGCCTGTCCAATTCAAATATTAAACATTTTAATATCAATTTTCATGGACTTATTATAAAATGTATAAAATTAATATGTGGGTAGAATTATTAGTTTTCTTTATTTATTTTAAATATTTTTTTATTAAGTGAAAAACAGAATGTACAATGGTAGCTATATTTTCAACAACAGTGATGAATAAACATCTCCAATAAGATTTCAATGTTTATAATTTCTTTATATTTCTCATTGAATTACATAATTTAATTGTTTGTGATTTGTACTTATAAAATAAAATAAAATGTGTTATGAAAAATCATAGGGACATAATGAGGAAATATACACTTAAATACTTGTATTAATAATTGTATTTAGATTTAAGGAATCAATACATAGTTTACCTGTTTGCCACTAATTAAGTCAATAGGTTATATAACAAATTATCTTGTTAGTGTCCAATCAGTTATTTTGACCTTGTTGTGACTCATTAATCAATATTGTTTTTATATTTTCTCATTTCAACACACCCTTATCGTTGCTCTTGTTTATTAACATTTTGGTCTAAAATAAAGTAGGCATAAACATTTCCTTCTAACCTACTAATATTATTTACATACTAATTTATTTTAGTTACTTTACATATTCATGGAATGTAGGATGTTGGGTAAATGTATGTCAATGTAATAGGAAAAAGTGAAATTTTCTACTAAAACCTTGTAGGTATTCTTAATACTATAATGTTGAGACTATTTGTATTATATTATTAATGTTTTTCTAGTGTACAGACAACGTTACAAGCTATTATATGAAACAAAATTTTGTGTATTCGCCTAGAATCAGTATTTTATCAGTACTGCCGGGTCATGATTTCAGCTTGATAACATTATTCATAATACATACTCTACTTGATATCTACACATCAGAGATAACATCATTAACAAAGTAATTAGGATATTTGCTTTTTAGTTGAGCTGCTTTCATGAATTTGTAATGAAAAACATAGATTAAAAACAAAGTGTAATGAATTAGTTTGTTGCTGCTTTGTTAAAATTATCAACATTATAAAAATATTGTTTATTGAAAGGTAAAAGAACTCCTAGTTATGAAAAAAAGAAGGATCTATTAGTTCTATAATCTTTTTTGAATAAAATGAAATTGGTTAAAGATTTGTCTAATAACTGTAGTCACACAAAAAACTTGGTTACTTGTGAAGCCACAAATAATTCAGACCAAACTATCAGTATCAGTCTACTTTCTGCCATCAATGACACCAAAGCCTACCACTACCACAAAAGTATGAGTTAATTCTTTTGACAGATTTATGCTCTACTATTTTACAAAGCCTTCTTCCAGGTTTATTGAATTTGGATTTGGTGGATTTGTGTACATGTTGGTGGGTGAGTACATAAGTCTTGGTGCTAAGAAAGATTTTTTTTGGAAAGTTTTTAGATAAATTTTAATAATTACAAATTCCACATAATTTATTATCAGTAAGCAGGTGTTTACTTCATCCTGTCACTAAAATTGAGGTTAATCAGTGCAAGGGCAAAAAGATTTCTGCTCCTAAGTATCCTAATTTAATTAGTGTTCTCTGTCTATAGTTTTATTGTTCACCTCTATCAATATCAACAATCTTCTTACTATTACTGCTATTACCACCTCTTTAGCACTACTTATCCATTGTTTGACTTTCATTCACTTGTGTTTACCCAGATTAGATTAGAAATGTATTAACTTTTAACATCATGCATCACAATAACAATTACAGGTATTACTGTGTAAAAGTTAAATAGCATTAAACATGCCCTGTTGGTATAAAAGCATGTTTGCTAATTTGCTTTCACTGTAATGCTTACATGTATATTCAGCAGTAAGCCCTCAATAATCACTAAGCATTGAAATACTAGATGTTTTAGATAGGTACATGCGTAATACGCAGTCGTTACATCGATAACTAGACTTAATCACGTGTCAATTAATCATAGTTAATCAAAGAATATTACTTAAAGGAATGTTACAACTAAGTAAAAGTTAAACATACGTTATGTTTGAAAATACAGTTGCTTGCCTCTGAATTTCGAAAACGAATGTCATTGCATAACTGTTGCGCGGGCGAGAAACATACCTATATTGTACTGCGCAACTGTGTAAGCATAAGCAATTACCTTACTCGTTATCGTTTCCATAAAAATTGCAAATACTTATCTACATTTCTCTGCCGATGATCAATTTCCAAGAGACAATGAGATAAAAGACGTCACCTACTTTTCTTACCGAAATGTAAACAAACGAGCAAAACAAAACAAAAATTTGATGTGACAGATATTATGATCGTGACCATTTGATACATTAAATAGTTACGCGATTACATTATATATATATTTCCTTTGCAGTATCGACAAAATTCCCAAGGTGACCTCTCCTGTTCTTGTTATTCATGGAACTGAAGATGAGGTGATAGATTTTTCTCACGGGCTAGCAATATACGAACGCTGTCCTCGTGCTGTCGAACCACTATGGGTGGAGGTAATATAAACTTCATTTTTTTTTAATATATGAGAAACTTATTTGTATGTCATACTTATATCATTTGTTTAAAATTTCAGGGTGCTGGACATAATGATGTTGAACTTTTCAACCAATATTTGGAAAGACTGAAGCGTTTTGTGTCAGTAGAATTGCTCAACTGACAAAGACTGCCGGCCCCAGGCCAGACAACTCAAGGTGAATAACTTTAATAGAAATGTCCACTACTGAGTACATACTAACTTCCATTAGGTAGACTATTCAAATCATATAAATCTGCTTATCAAAAATGTTTCTAGGTGACGACCAAAATCCCGCATCGACACTGAGCTCCGGCACCTCCAGTTCAGCGACAGAGAGACTCCTCTAGCTAGCGGGGGCCGGGCCCAGCCGGGCCGGCCCCAACAAAAACTCAGCAAACGCTAACGGCTCTGTGAGTCCACACAATTATAAAGAAAACAATAAAACAGACAATAACGAAATAGGTTCTACCGAGCTGAAACCCTCAGTCGCTCATAACATCAGCATTAACGTGACTGACACAGACTCGCCTACATGCGTTCGAAGGCGGATTCATCTACGATCTCTTAGCGATGTGACTCCGACCAGTCGAACCCACACGCCGCGAGCTCGGTCCCACTCGGAGCGTCCGCGCGCCTCCCCCGCGCCGTCCCCGTCGCACGTGCCGCAGTCCCCGGCCACCGTGCTGGCAGCGCCCGCTACTGCGCCCGCCACTGCGCCGGCCGTGTTACTGCCGCGCATCGTACGCAGCGAGCGCTCGTCGCCCGATGCGTCGTCGCTTGCACTCGACGATGGCACAGAAACACGCCTACGCAGTCGTGATCGATCTGGCAGCGATGCCGTCACCGTCCTGGGTAATCCGTGGCGTAAAATGAGTGACGTCGATTTGAACGCATCCGGTAGTCGTAGTCGTGCTGCAGGTCGCGGTGCGCTCGACCCTTGGGTAAGGAATCCTACTCTGCGTCCTGACAAAAATAGTGATGTACCTAAATCACGAGAAGATGTAACTCGAGCGGTATCAGACTCGGAACAAAAACGAGAGGTGCCTACTTTCAAACGAGGTAAGCTTGAGCGTCGATCGCCTGTAGTGTGCGAGACCTGCGGCAACGAGAGCTGCGAGTGCTGGCGCACGGGCTGGGCGCGGCACGCGAGAGCGGCGCGGTCGCTGGGCGCGCAGTGCACGTGCGACGGGCGCTCGCCCCGGCCCTCGCCCGCTCGGCTGCGACCACGCGCTCCTCCACGCACTCTGTCCGACGACGAGGATCGGCCGCGACGTCTTTACAAGTCTGCCTCGCAGAAGATGATATGCACTTCGATCGACGGAGATCGAGTGAAAAAGCTCGCTGACCCGCTTTTGGAGACGACATGCTGAGGTGGTGGACGACGATAGTGCGACACGAGGATCCCGCCTGCGCCACCGCGTCACGCCTGGCGTCTGGGAGGAATCGTTTTGTGTACGGTGTGTGTTGTCCCTTTTTGATGTATGAGTATTATTAGTGCGAATTTTGTATCCCTTTAGTAAATAAGATTTCAAAATTTATTATTGTACTGTATATTAATATTTGATAAATATAAAAGTATGCTCGTGTTATGATAATATGATAAAATATGAATGTTTTTCATGAATATTGTATAATTATCTTTTACTTCGGGAGGTTGTGCGTAATTAGAAATTCTGCATCATTTGGAAGTATTTAAAATTTTGATTTTGTAATTCAACCTTTGGTCGTTTAAATTAATTGATCCAGTTCCTATAATGTTTTTTTTATTCTGTATTGAACACCAAAATGTTAACGCACAATACCATAGTAGTTCTCTTACATATTAAACCTATCCATGCATCTTCCATAAAATGTAAATATTTTTAGGTATGAAGTAAACATATTTATAGTTGTAATGTCAAAATCTGATTGTAATACGAATACAATACTTTATTGGGAAATTAAATCAATTTGATAGGCATGGTCAGTTTCTATCATACATTCCACAAACAAATTTTTAAATTTAAATTTACTTTCCAAATTCTAAAATGCTTTCTTTGTGTTCTTTACCATTAACAACTTGAATATGATTGATTAGCCATTATGAGCTGATCAATATTTCAAATTGGAAGTTTATAATTTGTTTTGTGACTGAATATGTTGCCTGAACACGGTATGTGTCAACGAAAAAAGAAAATGTTATCCTCAGTAATATTAGTTTTAGAAAACGTTTATTTAACGGTTTTATACTATTGACTGGGTACCTTCCTTATCGCATGCACCTATTGAAACTGTAAACATTTAAATACCGAAACTACCAATGCCCCGTTAATGTAGGTATCCAAGGTTTTTATTTGTTAGTAGAGTTAATTTTAATATTTGTGATTAGATGACCGAAATACTTAACAACCAATTACAATACAAGAGACAGTTGAACACTGACGGTGACTTTCTGAGACCGGTTGTGCCTAGAACTGAATTATTTGCACACACACATTCTCTAACATTTTATGTATTTTAATGTTTAGTTATAATTATCGTTTAGATTTTTTTTGTCATTTTATTGGTCTTCATGTTTATAAATCGTTGCTAAGACTGAGTCTTGTGACACGCGGAGATACGGTTTAAATTATAAGTTTAGTGAGTAATAGGGTTCCATCATACGGTGTTTAAAAATATGCAGTCATATTGATGCAAGTCTCAATGAAACAGCTACAATAATAATTCGTCATCCATTAATAGCTTATTCATTCTCGTTGGCGCACTTAATGTATTGGTCTCTTTATGATTTGAAGCGTATTGACGTCATTGTATCAATCTCTATACGAAAGAATTAATTGTTAGACAGTAGGTACTTCCACGTTCCAATAATATATAGGCCAAGAGCAATTTATAGAAAACACTACTAACATAATATCTGATTTCGAATTATAAGTAAAATAAAAAACAATGTAAAATAAAAGTGGGCTGTAATGATGTAAGCATGCCATTTTTGTTTCCTACCAAATTTTATGTCAATGGAATAAATATTTTATAATGTGGGCATCATCTTCTCACTTTGTTTATACTGATTTTTTTTTATAAATTTATTATTATTTTTAGTACCATTTTATTTTATTCGTCAATTTTAATTGATGCGTACTTGTTGAATGGATTCTAGATGAATTTATTTTATATATAAGTGATATGAGTACGTTTTTAATTAAAATATATTTAATTATTATGAAATAAATCTTTTTGTTTAAATAGTCTATTTTAACCATAATTTATTTGAAATGTTCTTCATTATGCATATTAATAGGTACTAATCAATGGCTCACAAAAAATAAATATAACTTTCTATTACAAAACTATGATAAAAGACCAATGAAGTACTTTACAAGAGAGTTATCAACCCTATAGACTGAACACCATGAACTTCTACAAATATTTTTTGTTCTCTAGCATTTCCTTTAATCTACTGCTGAAAAGCTTATAAGGATTGTAATCTCTTAGCCAACCCTGTTTTACTTGCTGCCTTTTTAACTTCATAAAGAAATCGCTCACATTATAAAATAGTAATTGATGATGTTGTGTACTGTCGGAACTGTGATCATTTTATATAACGTAGGCACCTACACATCTTGCATAATTATGTAGGTCTAATTGGTTGTATAGTGCATGCATACTCATGTGGAATAATAGCGCTGATAACAAAAACACGACAGGCAGAGTTAGGTACCTGCCTACATTTCCAATTTTACACTCTCATTATCGACATATATATATAAATACATTTTACTTGTTTTATATCCACTAAGAAGGTACCTATTTGTTTTAATGTAAAAACTCAGTACTTAATATTTTTAGACATAGTTTGAGCTGGATTTACTTATATCTACGTGAAATCAGCCAAAAGAGGCATATACAAATAAGTAACGATGCATTACTCAATTCAAATTAATCTCACTTAGATTTACACATCTACTTCTATAGTTGAAGTGCAGATGTCCATGAAAAGGTTTTACCTTCTGAAGGACAAATTGTGACCAAACAAGTAATTGTGATCTGATATGTAGTTATTACCTATTTTTTGCTTTGTTTCTAATGTTGGAATGCCAAAATGTTATAAAACTATATATGTATATTTTTACATTTAAATATCGGTTATTAAGCCATTATATATCTAGTATTAGCCTTTCTGCGATTGACATTGGAAGTCTTGGGTCAAATAAACACGGTCGGAGATATTAATAATTATAATTTGTACTTAGAATTTATCAAGCAAGCAATACACATTTGATAAAGCTTGATAAATATACATGAATGCACTGGGTAAATGAAGTTAATTCAATCTGGAATGTTATTAGAACTGTACGAAATCTGTTAAATCACACGGATTATATAGATATAGATAATCATGTAAATGTATTGTAGGTAGCAAAAAATAACTTATAACATTCTAAAAATATACATTTTAGAATGATGTAAGTAGTTATGGGAAGTTTATCTGGGGCCCAAATGTAATTTCACATTTTATGTTACCACATAGCTGCGCCCACCCTTATCCATTATATTATGAAGCTACCCATCTGTTATTTCTTTGACAATAAAATTGTTCAGTACGAGTCTAGCAGCAGGTCACTATGTATCAACGTAATAACTTTGTACTAGAGAATGCCAGTTGGGTAATGATTTTAACTTGATGTACTTTACCAAATGATATAAAAATGTTAGCGGTCACGCTAATGCTGATGTAGGCGGTTGACCAATTTTTCACGCCTGATGGTTGGAGATATGATCAACAGCAAACATAGCAAAACATAACCACATAATATTAATAATATACCGACGATACAGTAAAGTTGTTTATTTGGTCTCGACAGCTATATTATGATTAATGAATGTTATCTCTAAATTGTAAAATAAGAGGTAAATTACTTTTTAATAAACTAATTAAATTGCACATATCTAAAATATTTTGTCTATTATTTAGGACACGTGTTTGTTTTCAGTTGTTGAACATTAGATGAGTTATTGAGTTTTTTTATAAAAAATAGCTCATCCTACACAGAAATAATTAATGCAAATATTAGAATTTTGACTAACCTTACCTACATGTGATGGACTCAATATAAGTGAGCTATTTGGAAAGCCTCTATTACTTACAAAATTAAATGTGTACAACATGTATGTAGGATTGTAGGTACCTACCTACTATATTATACGATCCAACGACTTGAAATATCTATTAGAGTCTGCTAACGTTGATTCATAGAAACAATAAAATACGAACATTTCATTACAAAATTCTGAAGTAAATAAAACCTCGGTAAGTAGCTATGATTTAAATTATTTATTTATTCCATTCTTCACATTTTTTATACCATAATATGTACATAATTTGTAGCTACCCATTGTTAAACTGGAATGATTAGTGAGAAATATAAATTAGCATTTAAAGTTGAATATTTACAAAAATAAATAACAAGATTTCATCACCACTTATAACCAAAAACTTAAAACTACAGACTATTCTATTTATAGGAGCCTGCAATTGCAGGTTAAAATTATAATTATTTGAATAATAATTATATGTCATAAAGGCAAACATTTTTAATTTGTACATGCATTTGCATGTTTGAGCAAACTGCAAAAGAAAAATCATGTCACCAAAATTTAACTAATTTAGTAAAAAGGCAACAAATACCTAGAAACTTTTTGTGTCAATATTATTTGATAGCTGAAATAGGATTAAGAAGAACTGTTAAAGATTTCTAATATTAAAACCACTTTTCAAAAAGTTTGGAAATATTCCATAATCTTAGAAATAGAAGGGTAAACAAATCACATGCAGTGCTACACCTACAATTATTATTATCTATTATATTTGGAAAGGGTACTGTGATAAGTTATTTTTGGTACGTTATTTGAATTTACTAGAGTTGAGTGGTTGTTAAACAGGAATTACAATTTTGTCTTTATAAATTGCATCACCATTTCTGCAGTAGTTTCTGATGATTTCAAAACAAATGCATGGTCAATGTCTACTTCTTTCATTGTAAGTTCTGGTTGATATTTGTATAGGTCTTCCATATATGAGATAGGTGCCCAATTATCTGTTTTACTATAAATGACGTTGGTTAAATGCTTTATTTTGTTAATTGCTTCAAAGTTTAAACTTTTGACTCTGTCCATTTCATTATAAGCTAAAAATAATACCTTTTCCCCAACATTTGGATTTAAAAACTTTAAAATATATTCTGAATAGTGTGAAGGCAATGCATACACTTTTAAGTAGATGGCTATTAAAAATTTTACAATAACACTAGGTAGTAAATGTACCAAGACAAACAAAAGTAATACAAAATTATGGAGTTTTCTAATAAAGCCATTTAAAAACTTTCCATTTCTGGTTTCAGCCATTTTTTGCAATGTTGGGAATAAAAGATTAACAGACTTTAGTCTCATGGTTAAATTTTCATTATCTTTTAGCAATTCTAAAATTAACCAGCTTCCAATTGAATGACCAATTAAAGTGTAATTTGCTTTGCTTGTCTATAACTATCGATAAGTTGAAGTTTATGTTTTATTTGACCATCAAGGTCAAACAGATGTTCTTGACCTTTTAAAACAGAGGATGCTTCATCTGGAACTACATCATGACCTGCATGTCCTGAAATATCAAAAAGTATATATTAAATCAAGTCAAATCATGAAACATACAAGTAATCTGATTTTTATATTGACAGGAGAGTGATTTATAGAAGAATATAATAATAGTCAAAATTAACATAATATAAAAAAATAGTTTCAGTCAAAATAAAATTTTAAAAAATACTCATTTAAACATCTAAAATATTAACTTACCAATGATGCACAAGGGCAGCCCGGTGGATTTATGTAATTCATCAGCAAAATCTATATAAAAATCGGGTATACCTGGGTTTCCAGTAATACAGACAATTACATCTTTTCCATTGCAATTAAAAGGATCACCGTACGTTATTAGATGGGTTTGAATATGGTTGAGTGTTACGAATTCGTTCTTCATATTTCTGCGATTATTATTCCACTTAATTAATTTTATCTAGCACACGGTAGGCTCTTACACTGGTATCTATCAGATTAATTTAATACCAACCCTATGCATAATATCGTTATCTTTCAAGGAAAAACTTTGAAATTAAATCGTTTTTAGTTTTTATCCATACCATCCATATTTTCATTTCCTATGGATTTTTTTATTAGTTTCAAACAATGAGACGTTTTTTAATTGTAATCCATATACAAAGAACAGTTCATTATTTACTTGACAGTAATTATAGTGTGCCTAGAAACCTGAATTATCACAATATATTATAAGTTATTATTCTTTGTCACGATTCTCTCGACCAAACACTGAAACATTGATGTGATAAGACTAAAACCAATCTCACCAGTGAATATGTCACTGTGACATACAGTCGGATTGATTTGTCATTATCAGCTGCGATCGTGGCTGATATAATAATACGATGAAGCAAGGACTTAAATAAAAAGAAGTTAAATTGTGGAATGAACAGTAAACCAAAAACCAGTAATATTTTATTAATGCCGCATTATTTACAAAGCTGTTCGGAATAATTAAGGTGATCCGTGAAAATAAACCCATACATATACCCATCAACTGTCATAATTATGTCATGTTTGTCATTTTATTTGTTATTGTCAATGTCATACCTAAATACTTCGCAGTTTCGAATAACCCTATTTCGAATAGCATTACGTATGCGTAGGCAGGCTACTATCATTTGATAATCTGATAGCAAGGACATTGAAAAAAGGTCTAATAGCATATTATTTACTCAAGAAATATTACAATATAAGAGGAAAGTGAATAGCATTATTTCAGGCCTAGTGATAGTTATTAAAGGAGCAAGATGTCAGAAGGAAAGAAAAAAGCTTTGTTTATTTGTCTCGGTATGTAACCAATATGTTATTATTATTATCAAATTATTCTTCTAGATTGAACTTAACGACAAAATTAAATAAAAGTCAACTACAAATTCAATTGTCTATTTTTATCTACTATCAACTTCCCAATGTACTTACTGTACTTGTTTAACAAACTACTTTTGAATCATTAAAACAGGTATATTTATGTAAACAATTGAGTTACTCTTAGGTACATTAATAGGGTGCAATAAATGTATGTAACGACTTTTTCTTTTAGGAAATATTTGTCGCTCTCCTATAGCAGAAGGTGTATTCCAAAAAACTGTAAATGACATGAATTTAGGTGATCAATGGGAAATTGACAGTGCAGCTATTGGAGGTTGGCATGTAGGTAACCCGCCAGACTGGCGAGCATTGGATACTATGAAAAAGCATAATGTTCCCTACAACAATCACGCAAGGCAGGTAAATTCACAAACAATGAAATGTATGAGTTCTTATAACTACAAAATCTGTTATTTTATCATCACACTTAATTTGTTTTTCAGATAGTTTCAGAGGACTTTAATCATTATGATTACATATTCGGTATGGATGAAGCTAATATGAGAGATCTTAACAAAAGGGCGCCCAAAGGAAGCAAAGCTAAACTTCTTCTCTTTGGAGAATTTGATCCTGAGGGTGATAGAATTATAAGGGATCCATACTATGTATGTGTACAAAATTATTTTTAATTGATATTAGATTAAAATAATGGAGTCATTTACTTACTATAAATGTTTATTTCAGGATAGCGATGCAAAAGGATTTGAAAAGTGTTACCAGCAATCCCTTAGATGTTCTAAAGGTTTTCTCGATAGCTTAAAACAGTAAAGTGCAATCATTCCATATAACTTTTTTTATTGTTTATTGATTCTATAAATTTTATAGAGGGTTGTAAGTAATAAATTGTTATAATTACATAGAACTACAAAAGCTTTTATGTTATTACCAGTGCTGAAAACATCATGGTATTAGGTACATGGTATTATTTATTTATCCATTTATTTCAGATTTCATAGGCCTATATCGAATACTATAAACAAATACATTAAAAATTGTATAAATACTATAGGTATGCAAAAAATATATTATATTATATATTCTTAAATTTTTTTTGTTGAGATCGGTGTTATCATTTATTCATTTTGATACTGACAATATAATAAAAATGTGTATAACACATACATAATTTCACGCCTCTCTCCCATGGTGGTAGGCAGACTATAGAACGCCAATTGCTATGATTCCTACATACCTCTTTCGCTTCATCAACAGTCCAATATTTTCATGAATCCACGTCGGTTAAGGGTACTTTTAATTTGGCCCTTCTTTAATATATCGCCAATCTGGTCAGTATATGTCCGTCTAGGGCGCCCTCTACCAAAGGCCCCATCCATATCAGCTATGTATACTTTCGTTACTCTACTTTCATCCATCCTTTCTGCACGTCGAAACCGGCGTAACATTTTTTTTCACCCTGTTTAATCCTTGTCACTACATCATCTTTCAATCCACCTTTCTCTAATAACACTATTTTTCGCTTGATCACTCAAGTTTACTCCACACATACTTCTCAGGGCTTTGGTTTCCACCACATTAATCCTGCTTTCAAGCTTCTTCTGCCATACCCATGATTCACTACCATACATAAGCATTGGTGTCAATACACAGTGCATTATAGCAAGTCGAGCGTTGCTGGTTATTATTTTACTCGACATTACAGAGTGTAAGGCACCATTGACAGTATTTCCTGCTTTCACTCTCCTTTCAATATTCCCGTCACACTTTCCACCTCTCGTAACTAGTGATCCCAGATGAACAAACTCATTCACTTGTTCCAATTTTTATCACCTCATTTCATTCTGTCACCAACACTTTTGTCTTGTTCACATTTACTTTCATACCTACCTTTCAAATGCATCATTCATAACAGTGATCATTCGTTGTAATTCTTCGGCCGACGAGGCAACAAGTATCTAGTCGTCGGCGTACAACAATAGATAAAATAGAGAGAGAAATTAGATTTTACGCAACATGGCATTTGTACTTGCTTCGGCAGTACATAGAGGTATACTATACTAAAGCAACACCAGATTAACTGAAGAAGAACTTTGAATATTTGGCAATTATTCTTCCATACTAAAAACTGTCAAATGTCTATTCTATTCTCTAATTAACTGACGATTGAAAATCGGCCCTAAGGTAAAATCTTCGAAATGATGAATTAATGTCATCGTGTAGGCTTTTTATTAGTATACTCTAATTCTAGTCTGATTTCAAACAGTTTCTCACTTATTCCATCTTTGTATTTATCTGTTTCATTAAAATGATAATTATTGTAGTCTTGCACTAAACATGTATTAAGATAATATGTATACTTAGATTGCAAATCCTTCAACATAAGATATTTGAAAAACCACATAAGTGTTGTATGCTCTGCAGTGTATTCAAGACATTTAAAAGAAAATATGTCTTTAGTGCTTAATAATCCTTCTAAAATCACATTTTCTAAAAATTCTTCTTTTTGTTTCTGTTGTTGCTCAGTAAAACGGTAGTCATTTTGATAGGCTGGCATGCTGGGTAGGTCTATGTATTCATCTGAAAATAAACATGAATATAAATAGCAGTAAGTGGTCTGTAACTGTCCTATTGCAGGAAAAAGGTCTATTCTCATACAGATGGCAAAGGACGATTTGTCACCATGCTTGCGGTGGATCAAGGCTGATTTGATTTCAGTGATCCAAAAATAAAATTAGTAAGTTGCCATGATTTTTTTCAATTTCGGTAAGTACATGTAGCTGTATCGATGGTTAGGTACAAGTCACATTTTCCCCAAATGGGGGAATGGCCCGGAGTTTTAGGCGCCCGCTTCGCATGCATGAAGGCGCGGGTTCGAAACCTACCAACGGCAAGTAGGTACCAATGTGACATTTTTGGGTTATATGTACGTACATTCTATTCTAAGATTATTTAGACACCACTGACAAAAGCTAAAGGAATCTGTGGATCACACGAAGAGTTGCTCCGTGCGGAAATCGAAACCGTTGCATGGCATGGCCGCTAGTTGCCCAGCCACTGCGCCAACTGTGCAGTCAAGCCAAGTCAATCAAGCCTTAGGTAAGAGCCGAGAGGGAGTCAGACTCTTACTGATTATAAACCACCCCGTTCCTACTCCTGCTTTTCGAGCCGGAGCCCCGGCAACCTGTTACGCCATCCGCGGCTTCGTATCGGGCATCAGCCCTACTGGGCCCCATCTGTGGTGGTCTAGTGGCTATGGATGTGAATAAACCTGGACTTTTTATTAAAATTATAAGTTGGAAATCTTAAACCCGCATTGAGCAAACGTATTGATTAATTCTCAAACCTTGTCCATGCATGTGAGACTGAGAAGAGTATCAGCATTGGCCACTTATAGGCTGTTAATGTAATGATGTGAAAATAGTGTGCGACAGTCTAAATTACTTTTAAACTTACTTGGTAATTCGTCGTCACTATCCAAAATATCTGCTATTTTTCTTTGCGGCACATTGGTCGCGTTATGTGCAATCATTTTGCTTCTTTATCGTATAGTACCTACTTATTATTTTGTTGTTAGATATTGCATAGGTATTTTTAAATAGTTAGGTACTCAGAGGAAATGTCTAAGCAACGAGAATCATCAATCAACGTAAGGAACTATGTCTGTATTCAAATTAGGTATGTACCTATTCAAAATAGTAAAATGAGCCACTTTACGTCGACCTGTCTCCACTGTGAAGTTAGGCAGGCGTTTAGCGCGGCGCGCGGCGGAGGAATGACCGACAAACAGACAGGCGGACGAGCGAAAGAGAAAAAAGAAAATTAACGTCACGTCAGCAACTTCACACCAGTCAAGTAAGAAGCTACTAGGCAGAAGGTTCTCAGTTTGATCTGTATGTATGTTTCTGCGCGATTATCTCGCGATTGGCTGAACCGATTGGATGCGGTTTTCAGAAAAGTGTTTGTTACTTACATTTAGTATATTAATTAACCGAATTCAAAAAAAGGAGGGTCGAGAAGTCGGTTTTTATAAACTACTTTAGTAAGATAAGTGCCAGTAACCAGATCCGAGCGTAAGACGCGTCGCGTTCCGCGCGCGCCTCAAAGAGCCATCAGAGCATCATGGATGGGGCCCAATAGTGCTGATGCCGATACGGAGCCGCGGAGAATTTAACGGGTTACCGGGGGCTCCGGCTCGTAGTGCAGGAGTAGGAACTGGGTGTTATTTAGTCAGTAAGCGGCTGACACTACCTCCCGCCTCACCTAGGGGGGAGAAGTCATTCGATGAATTTCCCATTAAAAAAAAACTATTTGTACCTACCTGCTTATTTTCAGTCTCAGTTTTTTTTTGGGTGCCGTATTTACACCATAAACAAATACATAATATATGAAGTTTTAAACAAATAACGAGTACTTAATTATTGAACTATATTAATTACTAGACTGCCTCGTTGGCCGAATGGTCGCAAGTGCGACTGCCGGGCAAGGGGTCTCGGGTTCGATTCCCGGGTCGGGCAAAGTACTACTAGGTTTTTAAAAAAAATCTCAGTAGTAGCACGAAGTTTGGAATTGTGCCCGCAATAGGCTCACCCCCTATTACATGGGACTCATAACATAAATAGTGAAAAGTGGATGTTACATTGTACAGTGGTATAATGTGCACCACTGCCTACCTTCTTCGAGGGATAAAAGGCGTGATGTTATGTATGTATTAATTACTAATTATATATAAGAATGAAAGACTTCTTTGCTGCAAAAGCATATTATCTTTTTATTAACATCTTATACACATTACAACAGTCTTATGAGTTAATTTGAACTCTAGATACCATTTCACAATGACTATTTTCTGATTTAACCCGTCGTGTGTCTAAACGTGGATCTACGCGAGACACAATGTATTTTTTATTGTGTCTCATACACAGGCATTCACCACACAAGTTGTTGGTTGCGCTATATGGATGTCTATTGGTACATAGAATAGGTAGGTCATCATACATAAACTGCCATTACATAGATATTGGGTTGTAGTTTTGGTGACCCCATGTCGAATGTCGAAAGCGGAATAGAGTCAGTGTTAATTGGAAGCACATTCAGCCAATAGTAATAACTTATATTCATAAAATAATATCACATTGGATATAACATCTTAATACTTTATATTCTCGTTAATATCCACCTATTTCTAATTCTCCATTTTCATCAAATTGTAAGGTTTTCAAACGACGTTTCCGAAATGAGTGATTCTCGATTTTGTCTATTGCGTATTCTGCAACTTCAGGTAGGGGTTTCTTCAAATATTCCGGAATTTTACATACCACACTTCGACATATACCATATAAAAATTTGTGTGTTATTCCATCTGGAAACTGCTTGACTAGGTCTTTCCATCGAATGTCTGTCCATACTTGATATGATGATGAAAGTAAGCTGAAAAATGAAATACGTGATAATATACTTCAAGAAAGTTCACCGAAAAACAATATTTAGATTATGTATTATTTAATTATAAATAATACCAAAGTTTGCTATATTTAGAGCAAGATAGATAAAAAGCAAGAGGTTTTAGCAATATCGTTTCACAGGCTGCTAGTATTTTTTTAATACAAACAGCTGAGACAAAGGAAGTCGGCTACGAGTAAATATTTTTGTTATATTACCATTACATAATTAACTCTTGATATGAACAAAGTAGTTAACTAACCTTTGGAATACGTGTTTTCTTAGTTTATTAATTTTCAGAGGTTGTTTTACATAAATCTGGACATGAAGAGTCTGATACCAAAAGCTCTGTAAGTGTATATAATTTTGATCAAATTTCTTTTCTAGTTTCAACCAAACTTCTTTATCAATTTTCCTATATTTCAATTCTTCTAAAGGCAATTTTGTGTACTTTAGCAAAAGCTTCACAAATCTAGTTGCCAATGACAACGACCATTTAATCTTCTTCTTCTCTGGTTTTCCTAAAAATAAATAACAAACAAAATTATACAACATTATTATTAGAAAACTATATGCTACTTATCAGAAAATTAGTAGTTACAGAAAATTAAAACTCTTTAGAATAATAATTATATTCTACATTTTAGTTATGAATCATTCATGCCCGAATACTGAAACGTTACTCAATTTTAAGTCACTCTTAAGTGTAGTTCTGTCACCACTAATTCTTTGTGAAATGACAGAGATGGCACAATATTTAAGCATGACTTACAATTGAGTAACATTTCAGTATTCCGGCTGGAATTCCTAATTTATTGTGTGACTGATTTAAGAGTACACTTAAAATTTAGAAGAACAATAAATCTCGATGTACATGATAAATAGCTACAAAATTGCCATAATAATTAAGATTGCAAACTCTTACATTAAGGCCATTTTCACAGAGATGTGCTAACATCTTTTATATCAAGAAGGTAACAGCAGCAATAGTTACATTAATATTAATTACTTACATTGAACATAATAATACATACCACTGAACATTTGCTGCAATCTTTTGTATATTCCCCTAGGTTCTCTACTCAAAACCATTGACAATAATGTGACTGCATGGTTAGGATGATGTGTGAAACAGACTTTCATGATCTTTTCTTCATCTGAGGAGTAGGGCCCTTTCACAGCCCCACCATAATGGCTTACAATATGCCTGAATACTTGATATATTGTTCTTTCTAAGCCACGCGCCAAAAATGCAACTACAAAACGTCTTGCTTGCTCTTCAGGTGTGTTTGGTAATCTACTTTTTTCTTTATTCCTCCAGCGAGCCAAACATATTAACTTATCAGGAACTTCATATAGCTGTAAAGAGAAGGTGAATATAATTTAAGTAAGACAAAATAAAACAGTGAGAAGTTTAGTAATGGAATCTAGCAATAATTTCCTGGGGCACATTATAACATTACTCATTTTATTTCTCAAAAGTTGTCATTTTAGGATGAGCAAGTGATAAAAAAACAAATTAAACAACATGACAATTACAAAATACAAATATAACTATTAGAAAAGTCAAGCTAAAATAACAAGGCTTGGGCATTTTTAAACATAAATGGAACTGTATCAATTTTTACCTTCTTGAATTGACGCCAGTTGTCTTCTATCAAATCACTTTCAGCTTTGCAGATTGTGTCTGTTCTATAAGGCTCTGCATGGTTTTCATTTTTATTATTTTTAAATGGCCTTGAAAGAGAATTTGACTGCTGATACCACGGTTGTTCCCATGTTATTGTCTCACCTTTTAATTTGTCTACTAATAACTGCAAAAAAGAATGTTGAGTATTAAATAGGTTGCTATATCTGGTAAATTTCAGGGTAACAAATAATATTTTTTAAAGAAATTTGCAACTTCAGTGGATTGTTAGTGTAGTAACCGGGCTATTAGCTGGTGGAGAATGTGTTAAAAATACCACATGGAATAATTATCTAATTTTTTGTGCTACAAAAAGCAATTTTACTTTAAGTTTACATTTTAAGTTCAGTTATCTACCTCCATGAAAAAATAATCTTCATCTTTGATTTCTTCTAGATACATCAGTATTCTGTCCATACAAGCTGGTTCATTTAAATCATCAAAATCTTTTAGGATATCTCCAAATTCCATTTGTCTCTCCACATTTGTCGTTGGCCTTTCAAAATCACTACTTGAGTCTGAGTCCATATTATCTTCTGTGGTTGTGTTTATTTCTGTTTTTAATTCCTTTTTAACCGGTATATCATGTTCGTCTTGTACTTCACTGTCTTCACTTTCTCTTCGTTTCTTCGGGACCGTTGATTCTTCATTGCTAGACTTCATCGCCTGGAGATTAGAAAATGTATCATTTTTTATAAACTGTTAAAATTAGCAACGAAATTAAATTTCCACTAAATGTTTTAATTTAAATATTACATTAATACTAACGAAACTTGTTGACTGAGAAAATATTTCACCACTTTTAGTCTACAATTTTAGGTTATGTTAGTGTTTTTGTATCGTTTCATAATGATTACAACACGTGCAGTTGACAATTTGACACATTGTTGACATCATAGACTATTTCAAGCATAGATTAAATTTTTCACTGAGAAACCCACTGATATAATATCTATGGAGAAACCAACTAAATAAACTAACTAAATAGCAAAAATTGACAATATTTTTTTCTTAAAGTATAGCAAAATAGAAGAAAATTATTATTTTAAAGTGTAAAGGTGTCTTGGATAAAGAGTATAATAAGTATTGGGGAAGTCTTGGACTGGTGGGACTCGTAGTCATCATCAACCCGTATTCGTCCACTGCTGGACATAGGCCTCTCCTATGGCACGCCACTGAGCTCGGTCTTCAGCTCTTCTCATTCAACCACTGCCAGCCACCTTGCAGATGTCGTCACTCCACCTAGCTGGAGGGCGCCCACACTGCGTTTGCCCAGACGCGGTCTCCACTCTAGAACACGTTTACCCCAACGGTTATCGGTTCTTCGACAAATGTGACCTGCCCACTGCCACTTCAGCTTACTGATCCTTTGGGCTATGTCGATAACTTTGGTTCTCTGTCGGATCACTTCGTTTCGGATTTGATCCTTCAAAGAGACTCCGAGCATAGCCCTCTCCATAGCTCGCTGCGCGACCTTAAATTGGTGGACCAGTCGCACTGTCAGTATTCACGTCTCGGCTCCGTATGTCATTATTGGAAGGACGCACTCGTTGAAGACTTTTGTATTCAGGCTTTGCGGTATCTGAGACGAGAAGACTTGATTAAGTTTTCTATATGCTGCCCAGCCAAGCCGTATCCTTCTACGGGCCTCCTTTTCGAAGCTGTTCCTACCAAACTGCAGGGTTTATCCTAGGTAGATGTATTCCTGAACGACTTCGAGAGGCGACCCGTTGAGAACAATTGTCTCCGGAATGACATGAAGTCGCCGCCGGATCCCATCAGCGTGCTAACGAGACTCCTATTAGCTTCCACTTGCGCACGCGTAATCGTCTCGATTAGCGTGGATAAAAAGTCTGGGGTAATTTGGGGAGCTGGATGTGTCGAAGAGAAGCAGTGGTGATATCCGCAGCAATCAGCTGATGGACCCAGAGGTTTGCAAAATTATTGAGGATATGGAATCCGACGAACCCTCCAGGGGGAGACCGTGGTCTGATCGCGGATACACCATATCTGACGGTATCCTGTACAGGTACAGCTTGGAGTCTGACGACGGAGAAGACTGTTGCCTAGTTGTCCCTGAACATGAACGCAAGCAGGTTATGGCTGATCTACACGATGCGCCGACAGCTGGCCACTTTGGTGTGGACAGAACTTTAAGCCGCGTTCGTGCTAGGTATTATTGGCCCGGCATGCGAACGTTCATCGCCAACTATATAAAAGAATGCGTGCCTTGTCAAAGATATAAGGCTAATAATCGCAAACCTGCAGGTTTACTGCAAACCCCTGCCGTATCAAGACGTTTCGAGGTGGTCTCAGTAGACCTGTTTGGGCCACTCGTAGAGACTCCTAGGAAAAACAGGTGGGTGTTGATTGTGGAAGACGTCTGTTCGCGCTGGGTAGAATTATTCCCATTGGAGAGCGCCACCAGCGTCGAATGTGCTCGGACGCTTGTCGGGGAGGTCTTCCTCAGGTATGGAGTGCCGCGCCGCCTTATCAGCGATAATGGCGTGCAGTTCGTGAGCGACGTCATGCAACAGGTATGTCACATCCTAGGTATCAGCCAGTCGCTCACACCCTACTATCACCCGGAGGCCAACCCGATAGAGCGGAAGAATCGCGATTTGAAACCGCAACTAGCCATACTTGTGGGCCAAGACCATGCAACCTGGGACTTACATCTCGCCTCAGTAAGGTTTGCTATGAATTCAGCTATCACTAGTAGCACGGGACATTCCCCGGCGTACCTCACTTTCGGAGAGAGTTGAGGGGCCCTACTGATCCCAAGGTAGACATGAGAGCCGTCATAGAACATGACAACTTCGTGCCCAGTATTACGCCCTATCTACGGAAGTTGGCCGCGACCCTAGACGAGGCCAGGGATATACATGAGAAAGCGCAAGCCAGTCAGAAGCAGAACGCTGACCAGAAGAGACGGCCATCGTCAAATTACGAGGTAGGTGACCTTGTTCTGTTAAAAACGCAAGGACCTAACGACGCAGCCCGCGGACAGTCCGCGAAGTTTATACCTCGTCGCGATGGCCCGTATAAGATAGGGAAAGTTTTTAGCCCAACCACTTACGGTTTGGAGAGCGTACAAACCGGGTCGGACTTAGGGAAATATCACGTTTCGCACCTCACGCCCTTCGCGGGTCAAATAGAACATCCGGTTCGCGAGAAACGCAAGCGCGGCAGACCGCGTAGATATTTAGACTAGCCCAACTGCGGGGACACTTAGTTAGGCTAGAGGGGGAGGATGTAACGGGGGTTTTAAAAATAAAGATAACCTAGTCTATGGTATTAATATCTGTGGTAATAACGTAACGCTAGAAGCCAATAGGCGCGCGCTCGCGACCGCCCCTTCCCGCCACCCGCTACCCCGCGCGCCAGCGCAGGGGTGCGAGTGGAGGAGGAGAGAGAGCCCCGACCACTGACGCGTACGGACGTGTTGAAGAATCCTCCGCGGCTCTAAGTCGCGTCGCCATTTTTTTAATCTAGAACTTTCCTGTACCGATCTGTATTAGAGTTTAATGTGGATAATGTAACTTTCGGTGATTTTAATGAGCAATAAATGTACTTTTGCCTATTAAACATGTTCATTGAACATTATTTTTGTTTTGTCCAAATTCATCCGGAGCCCAATGCGCGTGGAAGAATCAGCCAGGCTGTTAAGCATATATTGCAAATCCTGAACGGTTTCAGCCACGATGACGATATCATCTGCAAATCTCAAGTGTGCGAGATACTTGCCGTTTATGTTTATGCCCCGTCCTTTCCAATGCAGTGTCTTGAACATATCCTCCATAGCATTTGTGAACAATTTGGGGGATATAACATCCCCTTGTCTCACTCCTCGATGCAGGTGAATAGGTTCAGACTGTTGATTTTGTACTTGGACGGCCATAGTTGCAGCTTCGTACAGTTCTCTCAGCACTTGGATATATCGCCAGTCGACTTGGCACCGTTGTAAGGACTCCAGAACAGACCAGATCTCGATAGAGTCAAAGGCCTTCTCATAGTCCACGAACGCCAAGCATAGAGGCCGATTATACTCCTCGGTCTTCTGTATAATCTGCCTCATCGTGTGAATGTGGTCCATGGTGCCATATCCTCCTCGGAACCCGGCCTGCTCGGGGGGCTGAAACTCATCAAGCCTTCGTGCGAGACGATTCGTGATGACCCTGGAAAACAGCTTATAGATGTGGCTCAAAAGAGAAATAGGACGATAGTTCTTCAAAAGGGTTTTATCTCCTTTTTTGAAGAACATAACGACAATGCTTCTGTTCCACACCCTAGGAGTTCTCCCCGGGACTCGTAGCACCGTGGGCCAAAGAGTATAAGTCGTAGGCTCGTGAGCGCGAGTCGTGCTTGTTTGGCGACCCCCGACTGATACATATTAGGTTATACATAATTTAAAAAATAATGTAGGTACCACTATTAATTTTAATTTTGTCATTCCGGTTTTAAAATAATATTTGAAAACATAACTGTATTTTTTGTTAAATAGCAACAAAAATTCAGACAATAGGACTTCATTTTGACATTTATTTTTGATTTGACATTTTGGTTTTGAGTTTGCGAAATATAGTAACGCCGCCATGAAATTGCTTGGCTACAATTAATTTTATTCGAAGTTTTAATCTAAACTACAATTTACTCCGTCTTGGGCACTTTTGTCGTAGCAATAAATATTTACGACCAACACTCTGGCAAGAGAAGTTACATGGAAATATTGTAATTGTTGTGATGCAATTATTACAGCTCCATGGAGATCGAAGAGTACGGCTACTTGAGTTGGTTCATCAAGAAACAATTACTTACCCATGGATTTTGATTTAATAAAAATGTTCTGTAGCATATTTAAGTGGCTACACTAGTTTTAAGGTAACGTGCCTGGACGCTGTAGGTGAAGTAAATGGAAAAATATATTTTGGATGAATTACGCGTCAATAAATAATCCGATCCATTTGAACTGATCAACTTGTGAGTATTGCTTTATTTTTTTACAAGAACAGTGATTTGCAGATTTATTTCTTAATCTCTTCATGTAGACATCTGTGTAATTAGATCTACAAGAAAAATAAAAAAAAGTTGTACCTACACAGGTATAGATAGCATTAGTAGTTAGTACCGAACCGACTAAGTTACTAATAACTTAAAGAAAAGTATTACTTTAAATAATTATTTTTTAGTATGTCTTACTGCTTCTCTTTATGAATTTATTACCTTTCAATGTAGAACTATTTTTATATTTTACACATAAGACTACAAATGCATTTTGCATATTATAGGATTGCATCTTAATTAGAATTTAATTTAGAATGTCGTGGTGGCCCAAAGGTTTAAGACGCCCGCTTCTCATGCATGAGGGTGCTTACCAACGGCAAGTACCATTGTGACTTTTTGAGTTATATGTACTTTCTAAGATTATCTAGAGACCACTGAGAGACGGTGAAGGAAAACATAGTGAGGAAACCTGGGCTTATAATTTCCGATTATAAGTTTGTTATCACCAACCTGCATTGAACAAGCATGGTGTTTAATGCTCAAACCTTATCCGTGTGAGAAGAGGAACTCAACAACAGTGCTCAACAGTGTGCACTTGATAGGCTGTTGATGATGATGATCTTAACCTCTTATTTACCAATACTGTATTATCACTTTCAGGTTTATTTTCCAATGTAGAAAGAACAATAAAATTATGTTTGCATCAAAAGAAAAAAATGTTTGTAAGAAAACATTCCAGAAACCTAATATTCTTAGGAGAAAGGGAATGGTTACTGTTCCTAAAGCAAATGTAGTCAGTACTCATGAATCCCCTGAAGCATTCACTCTAGTCACCAGCACAACCAGGGGAAGACCTGTCACGGAACAATTAGACAATATTGTGAATCATGAAGATGTCAATGTAGCAACATGGAAGTTAACATTAAGGAATGATTGTGAGGACAAGCACAATAATATACAAATATTGAAGGAGACTGATATACATGCCAATATAAGTGACAATACATCTATTATGGAAATTAAAAGTTAGTAAATTATGTTTGTTTGAAATGACCTTGTGATGATGTTTGTTGAACATAGATCCATATTTCATTGTTTCTTTTTTTATGGGTAACACTTACATAATATTTACTGGTACATTAGATATAAAAATATAAAGATTTAGGTGGAAAGTTTTATGTGTATTCTGTAGGGGCTCGCCATCTAACATCTCTTTTAGTAATGAGAATTCCTTTTTGATCTTTCAAAAGAGCATGTACATGCATGCCATGAATTAATGTAGGTTTTTTTTTATGGTAAAAGGTAATCGCTTTTATTATGTCTAAAAAACTAAACTATTTAAATATTTCAGATGAAAGTAAAAGCTTTGAGCAGAATGCGCTCAATATTGAATCGTTTTTAAACAGTGCTGACAGCATTGAAGAGGTATGTACCATGTGTAAGTCATGACAAAAAATTTTGTAATCTTACAATTTGTAGTCACTCAAAACTTTTCACTTGGCATAAGCTGGTAAACGAGCAGACGGATCACCTGATGGTAAGCAATCGGCGTCGCCCAGGGACACCTGGAACACTAGACACATTACAAGTGCGTTACCACCCTTTTGGGGATTAGGAGTTTGAGGATTGTGGGGGATTCGGGGATTGGGAAGATTGGGGAAGGGGGGAGGGTAGCTGGGCGGTAACCTCTATTTAATTTGTAAGGTAAAAGTAATTTGAAATTATTTAAGAGTGTTTATTTATTTATTGAATAATTTATGATTGCCATTTATTCTAATTGTATTATTTTATAGGATTTGAGTTTCTCCTGCAACCCTACTGAAATAACAGAAATGAAGGCCTCTCAAAGTAAAAGCATATGGTGTTTCGACATTACCAACAATTCCAGAGACATCATTATAAATAACTGTAAGTATGCTATTATAATTTTACATTGTAAAACAATATAATTAAATAATAGTGCTTCTTTCACTGCTATGCTTCTTTACATATAAATCATCTATGAAGTATAAATTAATTTTTTAAGTTTTCATTAATAAAATCTACTATATAAAAATATGTCGGGTTTTGCTTCCTGACGCTATAACTCCAGAACGCACGAACCGATTCGGCTCCGTGAGGTTTACAGCAAAGAAAATTCACTTTTAATCATCAAACGAAATGTTACATAAAATGAAACCATCTGGTGGCGTCCCGGAGTTCGCCGGGTTTGCTAGTTCTGTCATAAAAATTATGTTAACATTTACAAGCCTTGTGCTATGACGATTAGAAAACTTTGTAACAGATTTATTATTAAAATAAAACATATAAAAAAAATATTTTAGACAAGGAGGAACCATCAGAAGAACAGAGTGATTCAACCGTAGTAGCAGCTTTGGAGTCCACCGACGTACAACCAAAGGTAGTGCACGACCTGATGACATTAGCCAAACCAACCCAAACCGTAGCAGTCGACTGCTACACTAATAGAGCTGTTAAGTTTAAGGTGAGAACCCTAATTATATTGGTACATTGTAATGTAATTATCATAAATAATCATTCATAATATCGGCTTCATCAGTATGTTATCAAAATTGTTGCAAATGTGGTTGCCAACCACTAGGCAATAATGTATTTGTAGGCATTTTGTTCAGCGATTTTTTTTCTTTCATTATTTATAAGTCATATAAAAGTGAATGCACTTAAAAGTAAATGGCGCTTACCTTATGTTTCTGGAATCAGTGAGCAATATAAACAAATGGCAACACTGCCAATGAAAGGTTCGATGCGTTCGTTGGCGACTTTTAACATTCAAGACTTCTAGCATTGTATTTCCTTGTTGTAGTGTGACCATCCTAATTGCAATAAAGGGTTTTGGAGCGAAGAGAAATTGAGGAAGCACAAGAACTCGCACAACAGGCCAGTATATAGGCCTCAGACACAGACGAAATATGAGTGCCCTGTGAAGAAAGCTGACGATGGAACTGAAGAAAAATGTCCTCATACCTATAAAGTTAGGGGTGACCTGCTAAAACATTTGGAGGAGGATCACACGACTGATGAAGCTCAGCACAGGTACATACATGAAACAAATTAAGAAATTACATTTTCTTATTGATTTTGATTGGTTTTGAAGCTGTGTGCAAGCTAATGGCTAGTTTTAATATACTACCTGTTGACAGATACGAAATCAAAATTGTATCTTTAGTGACCACATTAATTAAAAGATGGCTTTTAAAGACCAGTAGTTATAAACAAGTTGATTTGTTACAAATTACATTTTTAGTGTGTCTTACTGCTTGTCTGCATGATTTAATGTTCTTTCAATGCCTACAACAATATAGAACTAATTTAATATTTAACATATAAGACTACAACTATTATTCATTTTGCATATAAGAATGCATCTTAACCTCTTATTTACCGATACTGTATTGTCACTTTCAGGTTTATTTTCCAATGTAGAAAGAACAATAAAATTATGTTTGCATCAAAAGAAAAAAATGTTTGCAAGAAAACATTACCAAAACCTAATATTCTTAGAAGACAGCTGGTTACTGTTCCTGTAGAAAATGTAGCTAGTACTCATGAATCCTCTGAAGCGTTCACTCTAGTCACCAGCACACTCAGGGAAAGACCTGCCTCGGAACAATCAGACAATATTGTAAAACACGAAGATGACAATGTGGCAACATGGAAATTAACATTAGGTATTAATATGTTCTTTATAATATGTTTTCATTAATAAAATTCTGTCATAAAAATTATGTTGACATTCACAGGCCTGGTACAATGATGAATGAAAAACTTTGTAACAAAATTATATAAATAAAAACTATAAAAATAATAATGTTTTAGACAATGAGCAACCATCGGAAGAACAGCCTGATTCAACAGTAGTAGCAGCTTCGGAGTCCGCTGACATACAACCAAAGGTAGTGCACGATCTGATGACATTAGCCAAACCAACCCAAACCGTAGCAGTCGACTGCTACACTAATAGAGCTGTTAAGTTTAAGGTGAGAACCCTAATTATATTGGTACATTGTAATGTAATTATCATAAATAGTCGCTTAATAATCATAATACTGGCATCGGCATCAAAACAAATGGCATCACTGCTAATCAAGAGATGGATGCAGATGCAGTTTTTAACATTCAAGACTTCTAGCATTGTATTTCTTTGTTGCAGTGTGACCATCCTAATTGCAATAAAGGGTTTTGGAGCGAAGAGAAATTGAGGAAGCACAAGAACTCGCACAACAGGCCAGTATATAGGCCTCAGACACAGATGAAATATGAGTGCCCTGTGAAGAAAGTAGCTGAGGATGGAACTGAAGAAAAGTGTCCTCGCACCTACAATGTGAGGGGTGACCTGCTGAAACATTTGGAGGAGGATCACACGATTGATGAAGCTCAGCACAGGTACATACATGAAACAAATTAAGGAATTACATTTTCTTATGTGTCACAATTCTAACTTTAGTAGCCACATTTGCCAAAAGAAAGATTTAAGAAGTCGTTAGTTGTAAAAGAACACAATGTCTCACCAATAAATGAGAATGAGATAATCCATCCCTTTTGGAGCTGTCTGTCTGGACTTATATTTACACAAATGCTCTCCATCTATTTTAAAGGGCATGCCCATAACACAGCATATTTGCTTGACATTATTAAAGATTAATTTTCAATTGTCCAAGGTGCATGGTGTGTGGGCGACGTTTCTTCTGGGCGCTGGGCCTGCGCGCGCACGGCGCGTCCGTGTGTGCGCGCGGGGGGCTGGCGTGCGCCTGGCCCGGCTGCGGACGCGTGTTCCGCCTGCCCTGTCGGCTCAGGGAACATGCACGGGCACACACTGGAGACCGACCCTATCTGTGCCGGTACCCTGTACGTACTTACTTTGTTATTTGAATAATTGCTTTATAGCACTATTACATTACAGGCTGCAACTAATTTATTACTTTCAAAATATGTACTGACATCAATTTGCCATTGCATCTTTGTAAAAAAGCTAATAATAGACTGTTACAATACAAAATTATCTTTGTCATACAACCAAATCCGGTCAAGCCAGACGTGATTGACTAACGATAATCTAAACTTTAACACTTTTTGAAGTTATCATAAGTCTTTCAGTCGTAAGTATGTATAATAATGTTGCAGGAGTGTGGCTGGGCGTTCCGCTCAGCCAGTAAGTTGGTCCGGCACGCGCGGCGCCACACGGACGAGCGGCGCCACGCGTGCGGCACGTGCGGGCGCGCCTTCCTGCGCCGCGAGCACCTCCGCGACCACTGCGCGCGGCACCACCAGCCACACGCGCGCACGCCGCATCTCTGCACGCATCCCGGTACGTATATCCAATCCAACATACTAGTGTACAGAGTACAATGTTCTTAAAGTTTATTTTCAGCAGAAAATCCTCCTTAGGTTACTCCTACATCGGTGCGCGTAAAACGTTCGCAATTGTACAATACCCTTACTTCATTTGTGAATCAAGTCTAAAACCAGTAATTATTTTCTTACAACTGCAATACATTATTTTGAAATGACTATTCATCAGGTTGTGAACAATCTTTCACGAACATGAGCACCCTGTACATGCACATGAAGAAAGTTCATAGGAAGGTTGAGCAGGACGCCGTCGCGTCTATAGTAGAGGATCCCGCCCAGTACTCCACCGAGCCTGTCACTCTAAACGGGGAGAACGTGTATTTGGTGTGTATTACAACATTAAAATATTAATTACTATGAATAACTAATGTCGAGGAAAAGTAATACATAGTAAAAGTAATGTAAAATAAATTTAAAAATTGTAGGTTCATTTGCCCAATGTGGATACAGTGGGAGAAGACGAGTCTGTTAGAGAAGTATCGTCCATGAATTGTGAGCTTGACGCGGACCAATTAGCAGTAGAAGGTGTGAGCGGGGACTGTGGGGAGGACGAGGAGGAGGAAGAGGAGGTTGGTGTCGACGGGGAGGAGGGGGCAGGGGAGGGAGAGCTGGGACAGTGGCACGCTGCGCGCACGCACTGCACCTGGCCACTACCGCGTGCGCAAGCGCATCTCGTACTTGATGACGACGTTCAGGTATGCTACGACTTAATACGTACAACTTAACTATATGTTATAATTAACAAAAAATCGCGGGTTACTCACGTGAATATACTGAGAAAACTAGTATCGGTTCGCGACCGCACACGCTGCTCATGAGGAAGAACCCCTCTGTGGTTCGAAACTAGTAGAGCTTTTCTCAGTATATTCACGTGAGAAACCCGCGATTTTTAGTTACTTTAGTATGTCTCACGATAGTTATTATAAAAACATATGTTATAATGATTTACACATCTACTCTTAGGCCCTGTTCCACTACGTGTTGGCTATTCTGAAGTAGTCTTATTGTAACTATTGATGACGATATTTTATTTCAGGTGGAACGAATAGAAGGTTCAGTTAACGACGTGTACACTGTCCGCAGCGATCTCTTCCTTCATGGCAACGTGCCTATCGATGAGGATAGCCAGTAAGTACACTGGTTCCAAGATACTTTGACTACACGGTTGACACAGTGGTTGGGTGACCGGCTGTGGAACGTGTCGTAGGTCCTGCGTCGGTCAAAAGGAATGGCATTTTCTGATTAAAATGACAGGAAGTTCGACGGTGTTTCACCCCCGTGTTTTTCTCGGAAAGCACGTAAAGCCGTTGGTCTTGTCTGATCTCTCTCCGGTTGTTTCGGTCTGCTCCTACATAATTGGCTAGTCTAGTTAGACTGGCCACCGTGATCGAAATCTATCAGAATATTTATTACCAAAATACTAAGAACTTCTGAATTAACTGTTCATTTGACGAATTGTGTATATTTGTAGGCAAATCGTCAGCACGGCGTTATCAAGCAGCGAGACAGGGACTCTAGACACAGATCTCTACTTGATCGACTCACATCCTACCATTGATCTCATGCAGGTATGTTGGTAGACAGTACCATATTATTATCTTAATAATAGTATTTTATTATTTATTGATGATAAAATTATTACACGTTAAAAGTATACTATCGCGCATTGAATGCTATTAATATTCCTTACATATTATAATATAAAAAGGTACCTTTGAACCGGACAGATTATTGTACTATTTGCTCCAAAACATGTATTGTGATTCTTAAGGAAGGTTTGGGCATGATTTATTATAGTTTTGATCATGTGGATCTGCAAGCAACTGGTTGGCAAGGCCCATGAGTAGCTGTGAACGTCTTGTGGCTGATGATATTATGATCGTGATGATCACGTGCGTTGATCCAGCTAAAATGCTAGAATGAGACCACTAAATAATAATTTTAATCCTTAGGAGGAGCTGATGTACGAAGACGCTAATGACGAGTCCTCGTTCCGGGTGTTCCTAATGAACGGGGAGGAGCTCACATAACTGTAACCTTACGTAAGTTCACTTGTTGGGGCTGCAGGCGACGCGTTGTTATAGAAGGGCGCTGTATGGACATGCCACGCACTGGGCGGGTAGTACTTGTTTATGTATTGTGTTTGTACTGTTGAGGCACAGACGGCACATTTAAAGGTACTGCGTTAGGAAATATGTTGCCAAGAGGGCTGCAGGTTTGCTAAACGATTGTGCTGTTACGATTTACCAGTCGATGTTCAAAAACCTTCGACTTGCTATTCGTGATACCTTAGTACCATCGTTAATGTATAGAAACAAGGGTTATCGCGTAATTTTCTGCCTGGTTCTGGTTCTCCAGTAGATTACAACTGTAGCTCAGCATGTGGCATCTTCATAAAATCGCCCGCGTAAGTTATTTTTATATCACTGTGAGTGATAATGTTGTCAGGTACATTTCAGTAAGTATTTCATCGGAGTTTATACTGAATCAGTACTTTGTTATCAACAAAATTTTACAACAAAACTGCATAAAAGATTACTTCAAAATATAAGACGTAAGTATCTCTTTGGAAGTTGTGGTGCAAAGTCTGAATATATGTATTTGTCAACTATTCGATGATCTCAAAAATGTTAAAGTATACCAGAAAAGTGTTGTTATGGTGTATTATATACGAAAGACATGATTTTTAGTCTTAAGGTGCAATACTATCTATATAATACTTTGTCTTAATACCAATATTTGTAGTGTGTATTTGTTGAGTTCGGGCCACTAGGCTCTATGTTCTTAACATTCGATTGGCTTCCGGACAATTTACAAATTAGTTAGTAATTTGAGGATCAAATGTACAATATTATTGTTCGTACGTAACGTGTTAGACGATGTTTGCTAAATATGTGGCCTCGGACTAGCCAGCAATAATACCTAGTCCGTTGATTGATCCACATATTTAGCGATAATACATCACAAAAGTGTTAATTAGTAATAAATTCTGTAGTTATATCTTTTCTTAATTATATACTCCATTAATGTATCTACTTATAAGAATGTGTTACGATATTACAATTTTTAACTACTTATTGGGTAATTTTTGCTCACTCTTTTCGATAGTAAGTTATGATCTCTGGAAATGCCTTTTAGATTTAAGATTTGAGTAGGACATTAATATAACTGGATGTTTGTAATACCGTGTGTTTGTTTATGTAATAACAATAAATTACTGTGCAAAGGGACAGTTGGTTGGAAACAATAGATTCGCTTGGCGTTGGGTTAAGAACTCGGTGTTGTTGATTGAAGCATGTTACTTAGAAAGTAAGACTTGTTACCGTGGTGATGTAGACGAGTAGTTGCTGGTGATATGAGAGTAGGTAGGAGTAGGGTAATGCGAGCGACCGGCCCTCAGGGAACAGACCAGTGTCTTGTGGAGTGATCATAGCTCATATTTAGCGTAACAACGTACCTACTGATTGTATATAAGAAGTTATATTTTTGGATATACAAGGTAAATGTGAGATTGCTTATTTTTTGAGACTGTTGTCCAAATTATGATCATGATATCGTTTTGTTGAAATTTGTATACTTGGATGTAGATGTATTTCAAAATTTATTTTTATAAACGAGTTTTTATTTGGTTGTTAATATTTGTTTTGTTTAATTAATTAAATACGTCTGGAATAAGTGTAATATTGCTATCACAGTCTGCACAGTATAGATGTACTAAGTCAAATTAAATTAATCACATATCAATATTAGTTTGTTATATTAATCATAGTTTTAATTGGTTGCTTTGTGTTTAATTGTAGATTTTGCTATATATTAGTACCTAATAAATGTTTTTTTTTGTAATACGTCTGATGTTTTATTTATAACTCGAACCCAAAGAATAATGCACAGTTTCACACACAAACAGGATTTAATACGAGTATGTAGGTATCTCTTATAAAACATATTTACATAGAACATTAAACCTTTAAGTATACTACCTACAACCTACAATATACAATATTTCGTGACATGTGTTTGAAACACATTAACCTTTCAGTTCAATTTTCAACAAAATTGAGCGAAAGGTCTCTTCGAAAAATTAAGTACTGCACCCAGTCGGTTTACCCACGTCAGACTTTTAAGTATAGAATATAAATGTACATTTTGTTCGATAAAATTATTGCCGAAAATTTTAGTGTACTCTGACATGGGTAAACGATTTGTTTATACATAAAATACAATAACATCTCTCGGAAGTTTCAAATAGATTTGTACATTTTTGTAGCTTCTAACCTATTAGTTAAGCTTCTATGAAAAAGTACCTAAACATAATATTAGCTATATAATTAATAAAATTTTACATCTGATAAGGCACCTTATTCGAAAACCACTCACTGAGAGAAAAACATGTCATGGATGTGTTTATAAATACAACAACGCCTCTAGCAGCGAAAATATAATATTGAATTCCCATGAAATGCATATTTCTGTTACCACATAGCGTTGGGGTTGCATTCAACGAGGTTTATATCTTGACTCCTTAAGTATGTTATTAAATTACTTCAGACGATTCTTGTGTGTCTGTCGGGCGGTGCAGCGGGCAAGTCGTGGCTTGTCGTACGTATTAAGTATGTGGACACCTTATCTCTACACAAAGCGATGCCCCAAATGAAGGCATACACTATTATGAGACCTACCATAGACGCTGCGACTATGATACCCGCACGTTTGCTCTGTGACCAGTCCAGTATTTCGTAGATAAAAGGATTCCCATTTCTGAAATATAAATGTTCATGTTCAATCCAGGATATATTCTATGCTATTTCAAATTTTCAATGGAAGCTTAGGATCCAAGTATGGATGATTCAATCAAGAGTTATTAAAATTAATTTTGATGCTACTATTATAAGGTCCGAGGACTAACTCGTGCAGACGAATGAAATTGAATGCATATGATATAGGTACCTATATTCAGGTTATGGCATAGTATTATGTGCAGGCACCTTGAGACCATTGAAATACTTATGTAAGCAAACTGATTAAAATCATAGTACAATAGCTAATTATCGTGATTAATACATTGCAACAGTGATTGTTACCTATATCTACATGTATAGGTAAATAGTAAATAGTTTTCATAATTTTTCATAGTTCTATCTGAATGGTTACTTACACATCGGTGCCTCCGGCCACGTGGTAGATGCCGGAAAAGACAACGTACCAAAGCCCCATACTGAGCGGCTGGTACACGTGTAGGAAGCGAACCGGAGTCCGTGACGACAACAGCTCGACAACTGCTAGGCATGACGTGATACCGTGTGTCGACACGTCCAGCCAAAACGCCCGCTCATCCATCTCATCTTCCACGTCTGAAAGTTTTAATCATAGCTAGTTAAAGTCTAGAATCTTACTACTATGAACATATTTTATAAGTTAAGTTCCAAGCGATAATCGTGAATTAAGTAAGGTAGACAAATTAAGTAAGGCGAGTACCTTACTTAGGTAACATTGCGCCAGATTTTTTAAGCGATGCCCCCTCACTAGAGTTTTCTTCTTTGTCGTGGTTGCGTTTACACACATACATACCCGTAATAACAATTTGTGGATCATACAAATATTGTTTCGTGCGGGAATCGAACCCGCGCCATTTTGCCTGTCAGCCAGTTGCCCAGCCTCTGCGCCAACAGCAAACAGGCTGCTGCAAACAGGCTGTTACTATACGTGTTTGTACCTAATGTGTGTATGTCAATTGTGACAGTCCGCTGCTGGGGTATGGACCTTCCTCTGCCTTCATTACACACTTTTTTTTTATTAAAAAAAAAACGTTGACCCTCACTAGGCTTTTCTCTTGTGTCGTGGGTGCGTTTACAAACATACAAATTCACATACACATGATGCCCAGACCTAAAACAACAATTTGTGGATCACACTAAATGTTGTTCCGTGCGGGAATCGAACCTGCGGCACGCTTCACCGCACCAACCGTGCAGTCAAATATTAAGAGAGCTTGCCATAATCTCCATGCTTGGTAGCGGGGTAGGTGATCGCAGCATAAAAGGTTTAGATTAGGCGGGAATTGAACAAGTGACGTGAAACTTGAATCTGGCTACCATCTAATTTACAGAAGACGGCCACAACACAGTAATAAGTATCCAAACTACTCAATTTTCCGATGTTAATGGATCTTAATTATACAATTGATGACAACAGGAAATGTGGACGGCAATGGGCGAGCGAACGATAATTATTGCTTTGTCAGAGACGTACTTAGCAAAGCTAAAGTTCATTTAGTTTTGAAAACAAGGTGTCCAAACATACCAGTATTGTATAATAGTAGCCAGTAAAGCGCAGTGATCATGATGGAGATAGTTATGCTGATGTTAAATACCGCCCAGTACAGGCTGGCGTACCATGGCAGTTCCTTTGTCTCTGAAAACACATAATGGGTTGGTTAGACAGATACAGTCACTACCTATATTGTGTAGGTATCGAGAAATGTTTTGAGATGAAACAATTATTTTATAAGTGTATCTATTTTTGGCAAGATTGAATCGAATTCTGTCCTTCAAAAAGAAAGACAGGAATGCTCATATGCAATATGTCTTTTAAAGGAGCCAGACATCCCACGAGAGGATTATAAAAAAAATATTTTTACCTTTTTTTAAGCTAGGATGTCTAGATTTATTTAACTAGAAAAAAAGGTACTCTTTTCTTCCAAAAAAGAATGAGTAGGGACACTCTTTTATTTTTGAAAAAGGGCGACAACGGTTTTAGAATACAAGATTTTGCCTAAATAGATTTTGCAATGGTTTGAGACATTCTCGTTAAAACTGGTGGCAATAAAAACATGTTGTAGTTAACGACATGAACAATGGCAGTTCCAGCGCACGATATTACAATAAACTTAGTCTTTGGACCAAGTTTTATGAAGACGTATCGATTGTTTGGGTTCCATTGTAAGGTTGTTTAAGAAATTTATCTGCAAGAAGTGTCAATTATTGCTAATTAGGTGTTTACGTAACATTAGGAATTGTGTTAGCGAGCCACAATTACGAATGATGCAGTAGGTAGGTATCATGCTGTGCTCTACTAACGATGCACTATCGAAACTCCTTTTACTTTGTCGGCAAATGACGGATATTAAGTTCTCAGTAAGATAAACATAGGCACTTGCATTACCTACTGTACCTACCTACGTGAAATACTGGCGATCGACGTAGCAGTATGAAAAGTAAAAACTGTGTCAAATTACAAAAACGATTTCAAGGAACAAGGTCAGGTATAAATGTTAATTTATAACTTCAATTTCAACGTACGTAATGTTACGTTGGTAGGTAACTTAATGGTATTTGATAGGTGTGCGCTGTGTCATAATGCTTTGTTGATGTTGCGTATGGGATCGTCCCAGCCGCTGACGACGTCGACATCGCATCGTGGAAATTACGACATTAACGAAGTCTACCGGCTTAGTTTTGTAATGGTGATATTACCAACAGAAAATAGGGTTATTGTGTCTGTACTACCTCAGCACGAGTAGAGGCTTAGGACGTTGTATAGTACGATAAGCACGCAGGTAAATACCTATACGAATTTTATTAGACATGTAAATACAAATTATTTACTACTTAGAAATAAAAATACAATGGCGAACACTATTGTATTTTAATTATCATAAGTTATACACTTATATTATGAAGTGCGTTAATGTTCTATTCTATAACAAAGGGCATTATCCTTAGTAACTCAGCATTCAAATTATTACAGTTCCCACTTACTGGCAGAACACTATTGTTTTATAAGTTATGTTATCTATAAACTATTCTCAAAATCAATATAAGAAAAATAAAATCGAATCAACCCATTAATAGGTAGGTACCAGTTGTCAAAATATTCTTTTTGAAGATGTTGCATAACTCAAGTTTTGGATCCAAGAAATATATGTCGCCTTTGCCTTTTTTTAATTGTGTGGACGCGGATCTCAAGAAAAGGTTACCGCGACGCAAATAAACTACCGCACATGACGAAGACGCCTAGAAAGTGTTGTTGGCTAATTTAATTTCATCAGCTGATTCAATCGCCACCGGTTTTAATGGCGTGTTGACTGGTTTTGTCCAAAATAAACGAGAGCAAAAGTGAGACGATAAAATAGGTGCCATTACCTACAACTAATAGATTTTTCGGAAATCATTTAGGTATTATGTGATCTAACAGGTTCTATCACTGATTTGTTATCGGGTGATTGCAATTATATGAATGCATACCTAATATTATGATTAATATTATTAATACAGATGTTCGCTTGTAAAACAAACAATTGGCTTTGTGTATATAGGACTTAACAACTTAGGTAGGTACGGATGTTTTCTATTTGATTGTAATTAGTACCTGTTGGCCGTCAAAATATGTATCGTGTTATTGAGCAAGCGGCTATAAAAGGGCTTACTAGGTTTGTAGAACATTGTTAACGCGTTCCTTTGATAATTGAAGGTTATTAAACGTAACAAGACGTGAACTTGGGAGGTTCAATTGACTGTTTTATATGAACAATTTGAATGCATATTGATTTTATTTTATGCCTTCGGTAAACGGCTTAAATAATCGAAGTAAAATATACCAATATGTTTAACATTTTACTGCCAAATAGACCCATCGAATGTCCTACTAATATTATAAATTCGAAGGTTTGTATGTTACTTATTCACATCAAAACGACTGAACGGATCCGGATGAATTTGAATTTGGAACGGGGGTAGATTATTGTCTAGAATAACAAACAGGCCACTTTTATCCCACGAGAACGCAGACGAAGCAGCTGGCAGAAGCTAGTGTTATATAAAAACAATAACATAATGACATAAACAAACCAACATTGTTATTGTCAATAACTATGTTGGATAATTTATTAGTTACTGGTTACCTACTGTCGTTTATAGTGATCTTACAACTTACAGTATTTACTATGTTGTGACAGATAAAACACTTGTATTATACCTAAGTACTAAATATATTTAGCGAAAACATTTATGATCCATTTTATTTTTGTTTATATTACATCTTTCGTGAGACATATTACGTGAGAACATGAGCCCCTAGTATGGCTTGAAACTAGTCGAGTTCCTCGTCAAACAGTTACGCGAGTTTCGGCTTGAAGATATAATACATTATCCATTTGACTGTTTGTTTTAATTATAGAAAGATTTAGTATAGTTAGTAGTATTATTTACTGTCCTTGAGGTAATTTTCTTTTTCGATCTCTTTGACTAGATTTTGGTGTTACATTGTTCTCGCATAATCGAACCAACAAAACTATGTAACTAGAGAATTGTAATCTGAACCTGATTGCGAAAGAGTAACCTATGGAGTTTCTTGCTCGTTCTTCTGCATAGGAATCTACACCTTGGGATGAGCAAATAGCTTCACTTTTAATTGTTTGATGACGTTCAAAAGTGCCTTTTTGATATAATTGAAATAAATGTTTTTGACTTTTGACTTTTCGAGTAATTTAGCTTTTAATTTTATTATTGCAAGAAGTTTAGAGTTAATTTCTTCAAACACCTGTCAATATTTAGTTCCTTTTCTAGTTATCGAGTTCGATGTCCTAATTGTTCTACGTCTGTCAATTTTTCAAGTCAATAGACCTATAGCTAGGCTATTCTGCAACTATCAATTCAAACTTTCGAAGTGAGCTTGATCGCATTCTCGCCCGTCATTGGTCGAAATTATTCTCACAACCAATTAAAATGGCGGACTGCGATCGAGTTCATTTCGATCTTTCCGATTGAAAGTTCCAGAATAGTCTAGTTGATTTATACTTAGGTAAATAAGTAAATAAGCCTCTATAATATTGTATCTGTTACCATGATATCAAGCTGTGTGTGTGCTTATGTATTTCGGTACATAAGTAGATAAGTACTCCTATCTACTTATATATTTATGTATATGGTGAATGATGGGTGTACGTTGTACATGATAATCTATCTATCTACACTATATAATATATAATTATAAAAATGAAACCCGTTTCCCGTTGTCACACCCTAACTTGAGAATGGCTAGACCGATTTAGCTGATTTTTTTTGTTGTGTTTGTTATATTTTTTTTAAACGTTGCCTCACATTAGTATTTTCTCCTGTGTCGTGGGTGTGTTTACAAACATACAAGTTCACATACACAATGACACCCAGACCCGAAACAACAATTTTTGGATCACACAAAGCGTTGTTCCGTGCGGGAATCGAACCCGCGACACGTTGCACGGCAGCCGGTTGCCCAGCCACCGCACCAACCGTGCAGTCGAAATTGTCTGGAGAAGGTTCTTAAGACAGAAAAAATTCTGAGAATACTACTGGACCGCGAAAAAACGGGATTGCACGTACGAAGTCGCAGGCTGAAGCTAGTTATCCATAAATAAGGTTAATATATTACCTATGTTCTACTGTTATGATGCGGGTAACTATTTCAGATAGTTAAAATATCTTACCGTAGGATTTGTTGTACATTGCCATGAAGGACATTACAATACCGCACATGAATAGGCTCGTCACCAGCATCAGGCCCCAGTTTGTGAGGTAGATCAGCCAATAAGGCGTTGGAGCCTCAACCAATGACCATATGAGGATCGCCAGCGCCACTCCAGTAAACAGCACCCTCAACACCAGCATCGGTATCGGGCACTCGCCTCGTTGCCATGACGACGCGTAAAAATCGCTTAGCCTCTCGTTTGAAGACACCCATAGGGCTGACAGGGAAACACTTTTCCTATAAATTTTCACCATTTTTAACACTTCTATTAACACAGACACTTTTTTAGAACAATTATTTTAGTTTTCTACACATTTCCTGATTTTCAACCGTGTTTTACAACCGCGTACACTGTAGATAAGTTCAACTCCTTATGATATGTGTTGATCGCGTATCACTCTGTCTCAAGAGATTGAACTATTGTTTTAGGGCCGTTATCTCGCTACTAATCTTATCCTATCGGTAAACTACACTCTTAGAGTTACCTATGTAGACTAATAAGATTAGTGTAAGTCACATCCCTTAAAATTGTTTTTATTTAAATAAACTTAATATTTATAGACAGATATTAAAATAACGGATTAAAAGTTTCGTGCGCGTGGTTGGTGCGGTTGCGCGAGCGCAGAGCCGACGCGCAGACTCAGGTACAGATGCAGACTGGTGCTACGACGATGGTGGCGCGGGCGCAGCTACAACACCGCCGCTAAACTTGCGTAAACTATAACCTCACTTATGTAATTACTTGTTTTCTAAACCCAAACTAGGTTGTATTGGGACAACTCGCGCTGCGATTCGATCGTTTGAATAGAATCTTGAATGGATCTTAACGATTACCTAATTTATTAATGGAAGAAATTAAAAAGTAACATTAAAATCATTATAAAAACTTGGAATTTCATTCAAACTTTTATATAGTGATCGATTTAATTACAATATTTTTTTAGTGCGTATGATGAATAAACCATTGTAACGTACGTTGTAACCGTTTTCTGAAACCTGCGTGTGTTTCAGGAATTTTACACAATCGTTCGTTTTACTTTCAAAAACTTTAGGGAAAATATTGAAATAGTACCTAACAAGTAACAAAGTTCTTAATTTAAAACTTCGTAAAGAAACAGTAGGCTCATTCCTGGCTAAACTCACTGTTAAGTTATCCCTTACAGCTAGCTTGAATAACCTATCTATCTGTAGATTTGCGTACTAGAGATAGAATTTTAACACATTTTGTATGGAGCTTGTGTCAAAATTCTATCTCTAGTAAGCAAATCTACAGATAAGTTATTGAAACTGGCCATTAATCTACATCGGGAAGGATATATTTTTAACTAGGACCTTAAGGTACCTACAAATTGTGATGACGACGTAAACATACAAGTGATACAAGTGATTTTTGCTTTAAAACTTCAAATCTTAATAAGTTTCTTAAATCAGTTTTGTGGCATAAATAATAGCAAATAACATTTTAAAAAAATATATTACGTCGAGTTATTAATTGTGATGACGTCTGAGGCAAGTTGTTTTTTTGTACCTGTTACGTACGGTTAGATGCTTACACGAGTTTCATTATTTTATAATTAACCACACTCCGTTATTTTTTTATTAAATTACTTAGGTATTTGGCTTCCAAAACGTTCGATGGTTATTTGCATTCTAATTATAGGTATCTAAGTAATTAGGTAAATCGATTACTCAATTATAGATGTGTTGAAGATTTATTTCTATTTACTAGTTGTACTCGCGACTTCGTCCATGTGGAATAGTGATTCACAGCTCCTCCCCCGTAGATGGAAGCGTGATAATATGAAGCCTATATAGGCTATGTTGAACCGACAAACACAACAATGTATGTTGAATTGTAATGTATGTTGGTATGTTGAACCAACCTGTTAGTAATATTCATGCAAAATTTGAAGTAAATCCATACAATTCTTTTTGAGTTTAAAACGGACATACATACAGACAAACAGACAAAAAATAAAAAAAATCCATATTTTTGGCTTCGATATCGATCGTAGATCACGTTACAACCATTCTTTAAAAAAAATATTTTATGTAAAGTTTTCAATTTCCTCCGATTTTATTATATGTAGTATAGATAAAGATATAGATAGATCATGCTGGTCTCTGGAACCACCAGCTGAATAAAAATATAAGTACTATTGATAACATGTATCCTAAGGGACATAATTATCACCTCCTCATAGAAGTTGCAACACACAGAATCGGAGTACAAAGAAACAATTTGTTTAAGAATGTATGATATAAAACATTAATTAATTATCATAACTGAAGTATTGTAGACGTGCACATACTGCACATGCCTACAGACTCCACGTATATAAATTTTCGATAGTAATTTCTGGAATGTGACTGAGTCAATATTTCGTTTATTTATTTGGTCATTCGATTCCTGGTATTGGTACGTAGATATGTACCAATCGAGTGTCGAAGGCCAGTTGGTATATTTACTATTTTCTTCCGATCATTCATCGTTTCTTACATGTTGTAGTTAAATGAATTTATTTTGGAATACGTTGTTTAGTATTAATAAATAATTGTTAGCTTTGTGTTCTGCTGAACAAGCAGAGACGAATTCATGCTGAAGGAAATCTGTTTAAGTCTCTTCTCTACTTTATTATACACAATATATTCTCTTCATATTGGCGTAGACAATTTGGTACTTACCCAAGAAAATCATCAATATCAGTCATAGTTAACTATTGGAGATGAACATAGGTATCTATATACTTAATTTTAAAATGTAAGTACACAATTTTCTTAAATAAATAAACATTAAACTCGACAAGTTATTGAAAAATCTTCAGATCTATCAATTTGACGTGTTATTGACATTTGTCGATCATAAAAACTCTTTTAAACAGTCTGATAAAAAGAGTATATAACTCACGTATATTGCAATGAGTAGGTGAGCAGGTGTTCATCGAGTACTCGATTCAAGGTTGCTTGCAAGTAAGTTCAGAATGAATTAGGTCTTATCACGCTGGTCAGCGATTAGTGACTCAGACTGCTTACCTCTTTTAGACTTAGTTATACCATTTACCGCAAGTACAGGTTCCTAGACATCCGGTCATGTCATTGTTTTAGGAGTTTTTCAATATTCATTACACATTACAGATAGAACATGGTGTACGCAGGCAACTGCTGAAGTATCTTAACTGGTCTATAAAGCCTTAAGAAGAAGATAACTTTATTATTCTAACCAAATATTTTTGATTATTCTAGTGTTATGAGTCCATGGTCCACTGACCATCACATGATTCAAAACAAAATAAAGAATTATGAGATGATTCTTTATTTTGGTTTCATGGATGTTTTACCAAAGGTTCAAGGCTTTACTGCGGTAGGGCAATCGTAAGCTAATGAGAATCGAACTACTTGGAATTATTTTAACCTTAGCATCATGCATCGCCAGTTTAAAGACAGGATGTCTTGAAGGTTACCAGGTTTCCTTACATGGACACACTCATTTTTATTCAAAAAGCAAACAAAGAAACAACGTTAAATATCAATATTTTTAATAATCAAAAGTTTGTAATAATTTTGTATGAAACTGAAACGGTAACAACCTAACAACAGTGATCGAGAGAATTCCGATTACGCAAAATATTAGGTACGTTGTACATTGTACGCAAAACCAGTTTATTTTAAGGTTAGATACAAAAACAATTATCTTTACATTACAGATACAGACTCTTCGAGCTCAACAAAGTGACATTCAACAAAAATGCATCTAAATGTAAATACTAATGACTACGTACCCATAAAAATAGCACCGAAGGATTCCTTCTTCAACAAGTACTTATTTGCAAAACTTCACAGAAGTACTACAATATAATTGTACGAATAAATAAATACGTCGACACCCTACTGAACTAAATTAATAACAATTAAGTAATTTATTGTCTTTTGAAGACCAATATGATTTTGTTTGCACATATCTTACAACAGTTTTTATTCATACGACTGACATTTAATTAGCTTTGGTGATAAAACTAACCACTTATCTAGGATCACCTTTTAAGGCGATCTTTGTGGAAGAGTTTTACGTCATTACATTTTTCACTCTTCACGCATAGACCGGTTGTCTCAATGGCATTCCTTCGTTAGGGTTGGCAGGGGCTCCACGATCTATTAAGCGTGCAGCGACCAGATCTCGTAGGGCTGACAGGCCAAGAGTCAGGAGGTGCAGCACTACCAGTAACAAGCCGGTGATGAATACGACTAGCACCGTTGTTCCTGGCTCCGACCAATTCACCACTGGGTAGATGTAGGCGTTACCTTTTCTGAAAGAATATAGAAGAATTTTGTTAAACCCTTTTCAAAACTGAAAATATAACAAAATGAATGTGTGATGTCAAATGTCAAATAGGTACAAAGGATTTACGCTACGTTTATTTGATGACTACTCAGATTTCTTTAGTACTTTATATTATAAGTAGGAGCCAAAATTGTTGTTTAATGACTGTGACTCGCCTAGCAAGAATTCATTATGAATGAAGAACTTTAATACTAGGTACCCAATTGGGTAGTTTCCAGGGTATCAAAATTAAACATCTAATTAGTCCGTCAGTTAGATAATGAAAAAATATTAGACACGTATTTTTTTATTTTCTCGTATTACGTTGCAATACTTAGATAAAATGGCGCTAAGTTTAGGAGTGGGATGTCGTTACGTCATAACGTGCTACAAAATGTGGCACGCTGTGACGTCACACGATATTTGAAATTAATATATCGTCGAAAGTATTTAATTTTGTGAGAAAAGAAAAAATACGTGTCTTAAGTTTTAAATTAATGTACCAGACGGACATTAAAATAAAATTTAGGAAACTACCTTATTATCTTATTATCTATGTAATTAGAGTTCTTTACTATTGTGTTGTCGTATTAGGATAGGACCTGAACATGATTTAACAATTTACCAGAGATTTTAAGTCAAACGCGAATTAAAGAACAATAATTGCGATGAACTTAGTAAGGAGTCACTACCCTCACGACACCAGTACAACAGACGCCGATAATAGTTTATAATTATAAAAACTTCTGCAATACTAAAGTCGTCCTTGGCGTGACTATTGAAATGGCCACTACACACGAGTAAAATATAAAACAAAAAGATAAGTTTATAAATGGCCATGCTTGCTTGAAGATTCGTACATATAATATAGCATTATTATGTATTTTAATTGTATTAATTATGACAAGGTATGAAATATTTGACTAAGAGGCCATGACGGACCACCGACTTAAACCAACCAACTAATGTTATTTTACCTACAGAAGATATTAGTAACATTATTCATCATCAACAGCCTATAAATGCCCACTGCTGAGCAAAGCCTCTTCTCACACGGAGAAGGTTAGAGCATTAATCACCACGCTTGCTCAATGCGGGTTGGCGATTTCAAACTTATAATTAGAAATTATAAGTCCAGGTTTCCTCACGATGTTTTTCCTTCACCGTTCACATTATTATCGTTACGTTTTATTTAGAAAAATAAAATATTAAAAGAATCCTAACAATGAAAACAAGACACATAGCTTGTAAGGAACTACAAGGGAAATGTTTATAAAATGTTATTAGTTCTCATCGTAGGTCGTAGTACGTTTTCCAATAATAATGCTCATTAGTACAATAGTGAAGAATAGGCACAATATTTAGGTACATGTAATAATAAGAAGAGAAAATGATGCCGAAGTGTTTGTGGAAGGATGGAAAACAACGAGGATGGCAAAATAAAAAATGAATAAATTATTGTGTAAAAAGAAGGATATTGAAAATAAGAGTTTGTGATCTAGATGACGTCTGATAGGGTAATGGATAAATAAGAAGCATCGCTAACCGCTAACCTTAAGTAGCTTGGGACCAGAGCAGAATTTTTTCTTCGTTAATTAGAAAATATTAAACATATTTTTACGCTGATTACTCCAAATCCTGTTAAATCTTTTTAAATGAGCTATGAAAATTATGAAATCATTTAAGTAAGAACATAAGTACAGTACACTGTCACAAACATAAGACGATAAATTACCGTATTCACCGCAAATTGACATGTTATTTAGACGTCTTTACCGTTAACTGGTAGGTATGCTATATACACGTCTGATAAATGATATTTTTTCAACTGAGACTTATAAATGATAATATCGTTTACATATTATGTACAAAGTTTATATCACTTCTACCTAGAAAGAAATAGTATGTATGTAGGTGTAGATTAGTATACAATCTCTTTGATTTAATGATAATTTTGAAGCAGTATTTGTGCCTGAATTTACTAATTGACCGCCTCGTTGGCCGAGTGGGCGCAAGTGCGACTGCTGGGCAAGAGGTCTAGGGTTCGATTCCCGGGTCGGGCAAAGTATTACTGGGTTTTTAAAAAATTCAGTAGTAGCACGGAGCCTGGAATTGTGCCCGGTATATGGCAATAGGCTCACCCCCTATTACATGGGACTCATAACATAAATAGTGAAAAGTGGGTGTTATATTGTACAGTGGCATTAAGTGCCATAGTGTGCACCTCTGCCTACCCCTTCGGGGATAAAAGGCGTGATGTTATGTTATGTTATGTTTTATTGACCTTCCTTCTTTACTAAAAATATCAGGAATTGCAAGAGGCCTCCCACGTAGAATGTCAATTCCAATAAGTCGTTTGTTTGTAAGTACTAAGGTATACAGGTTCATTGTTGACGTCATAAATAAGGCAATGAGATTTCCTGGTATCAAAAAACACAAACATGTCATCAAGGCAAACTATCTTTTGACTGTATTTTTCCCCTTTTTTATAATTCATCTGTAGTACAGGCTGCTCCATTATGTGCTAGCATATGTACCTTTTAGTAATGTGGTACGTTTCTCTTCAGCAGATGTAGGTAGTGTATTTTACTGGTAAAACCTTCCTTGTTATTATAAGGATTTACTCGGATCAGAAAATCGGCTTAGAAATGTAAAATTTCTGCTATGTAATGTTGAAGGGATGGATGAAAACAGTGCTATGGAAGGCACAGTAAATATGGTAAAACTCTAACACCTCATGCCTATCTTTTTTATGCTCTTTGGTTTGGAGAAACACTGGGGAAGAAGAAGTAAGTTCATATTTGGCCTGACCATCTATGTATGTAATTAGTGTAAAGTAGGCATTCCGCCAAATATAATAGGGTACCTACTCTTTATCGACATGCTTGTATGTTTTACTAGACAAGTGTAGGAGAACTATGCTTCGGCACGAATGGGCCAGCTCGACCGGAGTGATACCACAGCCTCACAAAAAAAAAACCGGCGTGAAACAACGCTTGCGTTGTCTTTCGTCGTGAGAGTGAGGTTACCGAAGGCCCAATTATTCCCCCCTCCCTAATCTCCCCAATTCGCGCAACAATCCTCAAATTCCTAATCCCCATAAGGCCGGTAACGCACTTTTAACGCCTCTGGTGGTCCGGGTGTTCATGGGCGGCGCCGATTGCTTCCCATCGGGTGATCCGTCTGCTCGTTTGCCGGCTTATCCCATAAGAAAAAAGTAGTTAAATGTCATACAGACACATAACATTTTGTATTTGACTACACAACGATGTACTGACTACTCTGACTGTTATGGAATGGTGGGTTCTTGATGATTATTTTATTTAAACAACAAGATGATCAACCGTCAAGCACAATGTAGTTTTCATATAAGTTCATAATAAAGTATCAGGAACCGTGTTAGTTTAAATATTATACATCGATGAATAGTTGTTACGTGTTATACTTACAGAAATTATCAATATAGTGAGGTAATGTATGTATGGGAAAGCTAATAAAATGATTTTGTTTGAAAATAATGCGATTAATGGAATGATGACAGGCTCACTTGTTATTGTCAACATAGATTAAAGTAATTTAACCTATACCTACTATACTAGCTTTTGCCAGCGGCTTTACCCTCGTTCCCATGGGATAAAAAGTGGCTTGTCTGTTATTCTAGACCATGACCTTCCCCTGTTCCAAATTACATCCCGATCTCTACAGCCGTTTTGATGTGAAGGAGTAAAAACAAACATACAAACTTTCCCATTTATTATATTACAGATAACATAACATCACACCTTTTTATTTCCGTTGGGGTAGGCAGAGGTGCACATTACGGTACTTAATGTCACTGTACAATGTTGTAACATTCGCATTTTGTTTTTTAAGGGGGGAAAAATCATCGAATGACTGCTCCCGCCTGGGTGAGGCGGGATGGAGTGTCAGACTGTTACTGACTAAAAACCACCCCGTACCTTCTCCTGCACATCGAGCCGGAGCCCCGGTAACCCGTTAGCATTTACGACCACTCGGCCAGCGAGGCAGTATTTATAATAATAGGATTTTAGGATAGGTAGATAGATCTAAGGTTAATTTATTTCCTGATTTTTTTTTCTCCTCCTAACTAAATAAATTTAGACTAACCGACTGTACGTGTGTACATTAAAACATAAACAACTTCACACGACTATATTAATCACAGAAACAGTAAATATGAATCTCTTCTTTTTAGATTACAATTTAAAATCAGATTTCTTATGACATTTTAAATACTTAAGATAAATACGAATTTAAACTAAACAAACACGATTATTTTGCCATTATTGACACACCGACAGACCGTCTCTATTTCATAATATTATTATATCGGAAGTGTTTACTTAAGTAAGTACATAGAGAATAATTACAATAATAGTTGACAGTTATTATTGCAGTAATCTGTTCCTTTGTTCGATATATTTGCATCAATTATATTAATCAACACGTGTTCTTTGGACCTAGACCATCTCAGAACCGGTTTCTACTACCTATAGCCACCATCTTATTTGTTGAATCATACTATTCTTAGGAACTCAGGTTTAACTTATGACATAAGAAGGTCTGACATACTCTTTCATTTTCCTCAAAGCCTTTCAATCAACTATCACTTTCACTTGTACAAATTAAAGAAACGTTTGATATATCGATGTATATGCTTATGTGATGCCCATAATTTCATAGGTGAGTGAATAACATAACATAACATAACATGACATAACATCATACTTTTTTATCCCCGAAGGTATAGGCAGAGGTGTACATTATGCCACTGTACAATGTAACATCCACTTTTCAATATTTATGTTATGAGTCCCATGTAAATGGGGGGTGAGCCTATTGCCATATACCGGGCACAATTCCAGACTCCATGCTGCTACTGTGAACTTTTTGAAAAACCCCGTAATACTTTTCCCGACCCGGTAATCGAACCCGAGACCCCTTGTCCAGACCCCTTGCCCGCCAGTCGTACTTGCGACCACTTGGCCAATGAGGCAGTCATAGTCAATATTGTGAGTGAATATTACCTTTTAAATAAAGTACGAGTAGATACCTATTTTAAAACTAACTTTAATAATACACCTGGCCAGGACAACCACTCGTGACTCACATAAAGAGTAGTTCCGTAATACGGTAGTTAAACTCGCATCACATTATGCAGCAGCTGGTTGCCCAGCCACTAACTTAACTTTTGTACTGGCTGATCTGAGGCCTTAGTAGGTACCAGTTTGTTTTACGTTTATAGTAAACGAAACGTGTATGAGACCGTGTCCGGCACTATGATTGGCCGGCTCCTATGAACCAACCAATCAGAGCGTCGCACGCGGTCTCATTTCGAGTACTTTAAACGTAAATCAAACTTGTACCAAGGCCTCTGGAAGTCACTGGGGTAGATCTGATGGATGCGTGACGGTATGATGATGATGAGGTGTAAAATGTTATACCTATAAGGAAACTTACTGGTCTGTACCACCAGCGGCGTGGTAGATGACGCTGAACAGCATGTATATGGTAGCGAAAACGAGAGGCTGGTAGATGTGCAGCAACCGGCCAGGGTGGGCACTGCTGCAGAGGAGCAGGAACATCACTAGCGAGTTCAGTCCATGAACTGCCACGTCTAGACCATGGTTCAACTCCTCTTCGATTCCCGCTGAAGATTTGAAAGTAGGTCGTATTGTAATATTGGTAATTAATATAGCATCGTGCGTTTGAATAAATGGTTTGTCTTTCTTTCTTTCGTTTGGCTCACCAGGTGTAAAAGAAATGTCTTTTTCCCCAAAAAGCTAGGCGCCTTTTGAACAAAAAAAGGTGTAAAAGACATGTAAAACTTTCATTAGTTAAGAGTCTTTTTGATTTTAATAATAACTTCTTTAACTATATTTTCTGTGGAATTGTTTCCATGTAGTTCCAGCGTTCCAGTTTTTTATTGCTTATGATAATAGTGTCTAAATATACACTATTAAATTACCTATGTACATAATTATAGGTACATACTTTAGTAATTAAATTATAAGCAGACAAGCAGGAATATCAACAAGAAGTATCTATCATTTTTTTAATCTAAAAGGAAAGTCTCGAAATCGAGATATTCTGCTAAAGGGAAATGTTCAGGCGATCTCAACACTCAACATGTTATCTCTTGATAATGTTTCTTAGAATGAAACTAATTAAGTAGATATTGAATTAAAAATATATAACCAACCTTCGTAGAGTACGGTCCAGTAGAATATTGTGATTAAAAATGCTAGAGGAGTTGCGATATTGAACAACGTCCAATAAATCTTCACGTACCATGGCAATTTGAACTCGGTGCCTGTCAGACATTAAACACAAAACGTAGGTAAATATTTAAAGTCTGTATTTACACAGGCGTCAAAATAAATTCATTAACGGACCAGTTCCTCAATGCAACAAGGTCAAGCATGTTAATATCGTAATATGTAATAACATTATGCTATTCATAAGATATCAACACGGGATCTAAATCGAGTTTGTCCTTGACTGTTCAATTTTGGAACATATGTAGGTAATAAGGTAAGACATAAAAAATAAAATTTTACAATTTTTACACAAAATATTAATTTATAATATTTTTTTTTAATTTATTTATAATGTTTAGGTACTTACTGATTGGTCCGTAAAGGTAACAGCGTGCTGACACTGCAGTCGCGAATCCAGTAGCGAAGAGGATGCTTGTCAATCCCCAGTGAGTTAGATAAATAAACCAGTATCCAAAACTTCCGTTCTGTATGTAAATTATCATAGAGGTTAACACTATTCCTAGAGAGGTGAGGAAGAGAAGCGAGCGCCAAAACAAAAATGGTACGGACGACCGCGTCGTTTGCCAACAACTTGTATAGAAGTCAGATGGTTTCGGATGCTCCAACGTGAGCATGCTCACCTTCCATTCTTGTACAAAATATGACTTTACGGCACTCATCTCTGTATGTTGTGTGTAATAGTAAAGCAGCGCGCCCAACGCTGCCGATAACACGGAACTGATAATCTATACCTTGTAGTCGCTTATCACTCACTATATTATCTAAACGAGCTGCCAAAATATAAAGTTATCGTGTCTACCTAGGTAAGTACTGTCACTGATTTGGGCGTGAACTGCTCGAGAACGCACGACTCATAAAGTGCGGGAAAAAAATGAGAAATATTCATTAGAAGCGAAAACTTCAGCCTTTAGTTGATAAAGGACTTTTTATCAGAATTTTATGTTTTCTTCCTATAGATATAGAGGTAGAGTAAATGAACGTAACACATTTATAACATAAATAATTTATTTCGATAATGTACTTAAAGTAAATTATCATTAAACGTAAAATGTTAAAGCTATTTTATAAGTAGGAGAGGGAGTGGGTCACAACATCGCTAGACTTCACTATAGCGAAGTGTGTTCCACGTTCAGTCTGTTGTCCGTCTATTATTCTATGAGTAAAGATTTCTGGATATTCCATTGTCTTCTTCACAAATCGGAAGAACTGTGGACTGTTTGCATGACTTGGTGACGGCATCCCTGATGAGGGTCATGGAGACCACGACGAAGTGGAGCACGATCATCAGTAGCGCTGAGATTATCACCAGCACTATTGTGGAGCCAGGGTCCGACCAGTCCAGCATTGGGTAGATCCACACTGTGCCGAAGCTGTAAATAGATAACAGAACAATTCGATGAGTTTTAAGGTTAACTTCTGAATATAAATAGTTACGCGTATGATCTCCAAATGGAATAATTTATTTATTTATTTATACATTTGGAAAACAAACAGCTACCTATACAATTTGATGAAATAGAATGTGGTATGCAACAAAAAGCCAATTACTGGTTTCCACGATTAGTAACAGAGAGTAGAAACATGCCAAACACAGTACTAAAATTACTTATTAAACTCATTAAACCACAGGCAATAATAATAATGTTAAGTTTTTTGAAATGGAGTTCATTTTGCTCCCTTTTTATTAAAGAGCGACAATAATTTGTGGATTACAAAGGCCTAACTCCTCTGTTGGAGCTTACCATCAGGTGATCCGTCACCTCGTTTACCGCCCTTTCCATAGATAATCTAAAACAGTAACGTGCGAGAAGCGAAAAAATTGTACTTACGGACTTAATCCACCAAGGAAGTAGTATAGGAGACTGAACACCATGTATACAATGCCAAGGGCTAGTGGTACGTAGAAGTGGAGGATCCTGGTGGGTTGTCGGGAGGTCACGAGCAGACAGAACATCACCACTGAGTTGATGCCGTGCACGAATATATCCAGAACGGGATCGAATGCGTAATCTGCTAGTAAATCTGTAACACAAATATTTTAGATATTAGAGACACATTCATACATTAATGCGGGCTTGAAGCAGGAGTAGGAACGGGGTGGTTTTTAGTCAGTAAGAGTCTGACACTTCCTCTCGCCTCACAGTAGGCAGAAGGAGACATTGGATGATTTCATCCCGCTCATAAAAATGCTTTTAACTGTCGAAAGGGTTGGTACATACACAATATATTTACTAGACTTACTTTATGAGTTTCATGTATATAGGGAGTGACTATTACTATTACTGAGCCCAATTATTTGCTCGACCTAGGAATCAAACCCGAGACCTCTATTGCACTGCAGTCACATTGGCGATCGATCGAAGATGAGGTCAGTAATAAGCAATAGTACAGTAATAGCAAAATAAAATTATATTACAAACTTAAATATGTTGTATGTAGTTTAGATTAGGTACTATTTTATATACTAACTAACTTCTTTGCATAATATAGCATTACTCCTTTTATCCCCAAAGGGGTAGGCAAAGGTGCACACACGGCACTTAGTGCTACTGTACAATGTAACACCCACTTTTCAATATTTATGTTATGAGTCCTATGTAATAGGGGGTGAGCCTATTGCCATATATAGCCACAACTCCAGACTCCGTGCTTACTTGAGAATTTTTTAAAGTAGCACTTGCGACTACTCGGCCAATGAGGCAGTCTAGCAACTAACTACATTACTAATTTATTATGTCGATGGAAATAAATTGTATGTATGTACTTAGGCAAGTATACTTATTTTTTTCTAGTCGTATACAACTGATGCAGACATTTTTTTCTTGTAACCTACTAATTCCAGTTTCTGTATGTGGTTTGTGTGATGTGTGACCTTTGCAAAAAAACATGACCAGACCTTACCTAACGCAATATTTAACTATACTAATTTTACAAATGCAAAAGTTCAGATGTTGTATGTTTGTAAGTAAATTACACCGAAATGTCAATTTAAATCTGTGTGTAAAGACCGCTAGAAATGTAAGATAATATACATAATATATAATTCTGAGTCTGAAGCAGCACACTAGTGCTTATCTTTTCTTCTTATATAAATTAATATCGTTCGCTTACCGAATCGTGGACAATACCTTAGTATTTTTGTTGCATTGAATAGATTCCGAAACTACTGAGGCGATTCAAAAATTTCTATAACTATTATACAGGTTACTTTTCAAAGAGTAACATGGGCTAGTTTTTATGCCGATATTCCTAGACCAGAAAGTTAATTCCATGTAGGTAAAACCACGGGTTGATATGTAGTTAGTTTATACATGTTTTTATTAATGAATACCACACTACACCATGATAATTGCACAATACTTAATATATTAAACCGCGTGAGCATTAAATTGGGTTGCTCAAATGCTGTCAACTATTTCTTCATACGCACTCTCAATATAATAATTATAATTACGATTGTATCAAGGCAAAAGGCTTTAATAATATTATATTTATGGGTTCTATCCGTCTGTCTGATTGTCGGACACAAGCTAGTGAAACAAGCGAAACAAGTGAATTTCTGCAAATAGGCTACAAGGCAGCACTTTTACGTCAATTTTATCAAGCGAATGATGAGGTCGATATATCGTGAACTGTGACAGTTAGATAGTTGAATTTTTACAGATCATTCTATTTTTGTATTGTAAAATAAATATTTAGGGGTAAACAACAACAAATGTGATTTTACTACCTAGATTTTGTTTGAATACTGGTATCACACAGATTACCGGTAACATATAATGTATAATCAGTTGATTTTTAATTGTAGAAAAAATTAATCTGTGTTAGTTTTTAGTATGGAAGAATTGTCAAATGTTTAGTTATTCCTCAGTTAAAATTTATCTGGCATTGGATAAATTGCCTTATAAGTCTGTTCTATTAAAATTTTTGTGTTTATAATTGATAAGTCATAAATAAAATAGTAATTACCGTCATCGCTAAGGAGTGTCCAGTAGAACGCCGTGATGAAGAATGCTATGGTGATGGTGGAGTTGAAGGACACCCAGTACACTTTTACAAGTGTACTTATGCTTGAGTCTGAAAGAAGAAAATGGGGCTCTTTAGATATATTATTATGTATGTACATAAGTCTGTACTAGTGTGCGTTTAGTATGGATTACGGATGAATTCACATATTTTTTAACTCCTTAAAACCAAAAAGAAAAAAATAAATCGCGTCGCAGTTTTGTTTACGAGCCCTTACAAAGGCCTTGGAGAGATGTCTAGTGTTTTTCCTCAAGTGTTCATATCGGATAATATATTCCAGACTCATAAGAATACTATTTGGCGGAAAATCTGTCATTCTTTTCAAAAAATCTACATTAATTTTATTTTCATCGAGTTGGACATTAAGCATGTCAATGTACTTGACCATCGAGACACATATACTTGCATATACGAGTCTCAGTATGATATAGACCAATCTTTAACCATAGAGGATAAAACCTCTGCATTTTTATTTGCCCAATTCATTATACAACATTTACAGTATAAATTCAAATGAAAGGGTCTCGTTTGGAAATCGTAGCACCTTTGCTACGGGCAAGCGTAGCGCGTAGCAGGTCTACGACCAGAACATTAAATAGGTCATGATAATTATAAGCACATCATTTTCTACTAAAATTCGTCATACTTTAAGGAAATTGAATACTACAAGAATATACGAATCTCCATGAGTCATTTCATTTATCTTTTCAATCGAAAATTTAGGTAATAAGCTTATTTCTGGTTATGTAGGATTTTTATCACGAAATAATTTGTTTGCGTTTAAAGATTATTATTTTAATGATATTAAATTCAAGGTTAACTCATATGATGTATTTTTAAGCGTATCGTGTGCATTAAGGATGTAGAGGAATGTAATTAACCCTTTTATAAAATACACATTGAAATTGCATGATTATATAGCGAATAGAATATATAGCGGTGACACCGCTATATATTTTCATTTTCACTCAGAGGTTAGGAGGCCAGGAGACCCGTCACAGGCTCTACTTAGTACGGGCTCCTGTCTCCCATTAATTGCTGAATTAATAAATATTTGTTAAAAGTTAAAAAAAAATACCAAACAGTTTGTGTTAGAAAACTGGATGCTTCATGCCACCGGTTTCACCGCAGCTAGCTTGTGCTAGCTTGCTTGCTTGGTGATAGTCTTTAGAACCCTTAACAGATGCTCTCATCATTGACTGACAACATGCAGCCAAAACGGCTGGTCAAACTAAGATAAATCTTGGTGTATAAATTCTTTAGCGAGGATTAAGGAATAGGAAAAGGATCTCCACTAAAGGGAACTGTTGGAAAACCATCAATTTGATGTCATTCATTCTATTTGCTAGTACTTAACGTAGAATTGTTATTTTTTTAAGAACTTTCTAAAGTAGGTAACAATCACTTAAAAAATTCAAAATCTGTATGTCATTCCGTCTCTATGTGATCGATACATAGTAACTCATTATTGAGTTATCGATTTTTATCGTTTAGGTACTTAAAGCATGTAATTTATTACAATTCACGGGCATGTGCCACATACGTATTGATAAAGTTATCTCTGCTAATAAGTCTAATGAAGCCAAAGACTGTTTGTCTGCTTTAACGGGATGATCACCAAAACTGCAAAGCAGATTTGGATAATGAGTTAATCACGTAATCCATTTTATAGGTCTTAGCATAAGCACTGGCTATTGGAACTGAGTATGATGGTTGTTATAGGCAAGTATTAACAATGGAATATCTCGATTCGGTGTATTTTCCCTAACAGATATTTTTTCCTTTATGGGATAAGCTGGCAAACTAGCAGACGGGCCACCTCGGTAAGCAATTGTAAAGCAATCTATTATTTAGATTGCATACAATTCAAATATTACTTACTCACTAATTACACACACAGAACATCACGCCTATTATCCCTGAAGGGGTAAGCAGAGGTGTACATTACGGCCCTTAATGACACTGTACAAGGTAACACCGACTTTTCACTATTTAATTTATAAGTGCCATGTAATAGGGGGTGAGCCTATTGCGATATCGGAGCACAATTCTAAACTCAGTGCTACTACCTACTGAGATTTTTTTTAAATCCAGGAATTCATTGCCCTACCCGAGAATCGAACCCGAACTACCATACTCGTTGGCCGAGTACCATACTCGGCCAACGAGTATGGTACTCGGGTGTGTGTGTAATTAGTGAGTAAGTAATATTTGAATTGTACTCGTTGGCCGAGTATGGTACTCGGCCAACGAGACAGTAAAGTCTTACTAGCGTATTAATATTCTACTATTGACTTAATTATTTGTTTGTACCTTGATTAGTTGTTCGTAATTGCTTAACCAGTTTCATAAATAATATCGTTGAACAATCCTGGTTGTAGTTTATTTTCATAGTCATTCGAGATTTGTTTGGGGTTATCCGTCACAGTTCTATCATTTTGAATATCACTTCATGCCGTCACCCCTTACCTAAGGGCTTGAATGAGATTTTCCAATATTTAACAAAGAGCTAGATATAAACTAGTTGTTGTTGTGAATAAAGTTAGTGATCTTTGTTTATTTGAAGTTTAAGTCCACTATTATCAAAGGTAAGATTGATCAAAACGGCTATTAACCTCTTGACTGCCGGTATATAAGAAACAATAGAATTTATATTGTGTATCGCGTGGATCTGTGTTCCACACCACAGGTTAATTTCGTTTTCACAGTTATTTTATTATGATTTTCACACGTTTTCCAGTTATTTTATTATGATTACATTACTAAACTCGCCGTTGCCAGGTCAATGTATTTGTGCAGCATATTTTTACTAAATTATCATACCCTTCCTCAACAACTAGGCTACCAAAAATTAAGTGCACAATGAATCCAAATCCACTAGTTTCAGATATTAGCACGACCAAACAAACTCTTCAGCTATATTGCGTGCGTATAGATATAAGTTATCAAAGTTCATAGAACAACAGCCTTATTTACACCGAAATTGTATTAGCGATTTTCCGTTGATTCATAAAATTCAGGTAATATAATATTGTTCGTGATAATATGTAGGTAGGTAACATGGGTCAGGTGTATTGATTAGATATTGGTGTATTGATTTTTGTTCAATTTCTTATATTATGATTTATTATCATCATCAATAACCTTTTACAGACCATTGCTGGTCTATACATATGTATAGGTCGCGGAGAACCTAACGAGTTACCGGGGCTCCGGCTCGACGTGCAGGAGAAGGAACGGGGTGGTTTTTAGTCAGTAATAGTCTGAGACTCCTTCCCGCCTCACCCAGGCGGGAGCAGTAATTCGATGATTTTCCCACCTTAAAAAATAAATTTGTATAGATCTATATTTTACATAATAGATATAACTTCTGTACAACGCTGTGAACTTAAACACAACATTCTTTTACGCAGAACAGGTTTTGTATTTGTGTTCACAATTGAAACTATAGTTCATTATATACAAGCAAAAGTTATGAAATGAAATATAGTATTTTTCGTGGACCTATTCAAATTAAATTGTACTGCGTGTTATAAATACATTCTTGTCCTTTCTTTAGGTGCTACTAGCATGGAGGTGTGAAAGACGGGTTGCTCCGTCTCGAAGCTAGAAGTAGAAACTGGGTGGTTTAAGTCAGTAGGTGTCTGACACTTTTTTTCTTCTCCTCTTATAATATCTTCTGATTCACTTCGTTGCGGGAACTAAGACAGTTATTCATGTCCCTGGGACGCGCCGGACTTCAGTGTTCCGGTGTTTTCATGGTTGTATCTACTGTAGATCCTGGCTTATAGGAGTTGCAGCGGTTTTGGTAGGTTGTGGCGGGCTTGTTACGTAAAAAAAGGTGACTGACACTCCCTCTCGCCTCATACAGGTGGTGGTGAAGTCATTGGATAATTTACTCGTCCCAAAAAAATATGTCACATAGCATATTCATGGCTGGTAAAAATTTACAATCGATCATTAGAGTAAGAAAGGGGTTACCAAGAATATAAGTATTAGAGAAGAAACATGTTGGTATCATTCTAGGACTTCGTTATTATCAATCATCACGTCCCACTGCCTTATCTACTACTTAAAGACTAAAGTTCATTATATGACTCATAATGATTAACCAAATTATTATCGCACTAATTATATAAATTATCAAAGTGAAAATAATACATGTGTATGTGTGTATTGTATATACACATTTTTAATAACATACTTTTGGATGGTTTTCCCCGAAATGGTTGGTCACACGTACCCACAATTTTTCCTAATTTATAAATAAATAGCGTTTAAGGTTTTGACTGCTAATAGAAAACTGTAAATGTTAACTGCTAACGTCCGTATGCTTGCGGAGGATTTGCCTTCAACACCGGTCACCGGTCAACGGTGACCCCCACGGCGTTTAATGTGTTCAAGTAGTTTTTTCTTTACTCGCATTGGCATAGATACAATAAGACAGCTCACGTTGCAAAAGTTGGAATCTGTAGCTAATGCTTTGCTCGTACTGTGCTAGAATTATAGTCGAGCAGCGAGTGTTTAGTAAATCACTCTCGATTTTGTACTAAAGAGAGAGAGAGAGAGTAACTAAATAGTCGCTACTCGACTAAAATACTAGCATAGTGCGAACAAGGCATAACGGTCGAAATAAATAACCTATCTCAATGCAAAAACGATTGACTTTCAACTGAAATTCCATTCATCTAATATCAAAAGTCATTGCCTTATCAGATTTTAATTTGAGAAAGGTTTTTTTTATATCATTTATATAAATTTTACCCGAGTGTGTGTTTACTTATACAAAAGTATGTTTCTAATACATATTTTTGACAATAATTTTTACCTTCCTAGGCTCTATTTTATATATAACATAACATCACGCCTTTTAGCCTTGAAGGGGTAGGCAGAAGTGCACATTACCTGCGGCACTTAATGCCACTGTATAATGTAACACCCACTTTTCACTATTTATGTTATGAGTCCTATGTAATAGGGGGTGAGTCTATTGCCATATACCGGTCACAACTCCAGACTCCGACTACTGAGAATTTTTAAAAACGAACCCGAGACCCCTTGCCTGGCAGTCGCACTTGCGACCACTACAATAAATAGTTCTATTAAAGTGTTGTCCAAATGAGTACACAGCTGCTATCTGATTACTAAGCCCCGGAACACTGGATAAACGATATAGCTTGATATTTATTTATACAGATATGATTCATATACGAAATAATTTAAGATAATCCTGTTTTTATATTTATTTCAATACTTCCTTGGTATTTTAGTTTAATTATCATGGTATGGATGGATTATCTCACCAAACACAGGTTACGAAATAGGAAAAATACGTTAAAAATGAGGTTGCTACCTTTTATTTGTTTTAACTATAAAATAATCGCAAATCTTGTATGACTTGATCCAATATTGAAATTATCTAAATGGCTTATTCATAGTGGTTAGCAGGTCGATGTGCTTCAATCTGTCAATTTTTTGCATTGGATTTTAGACTTTACTTCAAAATAATAAGGTTGAAAATGTAATACAGAAATAGATCTAATAAAGGAGTACATCGACATGTTGACCATTGTATCAAGTTTATTAGGAAACAATAAAAGGAACTTACCTAATCCAGTGAAAAGTTTTACCCCAGACACAGCGCACGCCAGTCCAGTGGCCAATGCATTAAAAAGGAGTCCCCAATGTGTCATGAAAATAAACCAGTGTTTGATTTCCATGTCCTGGGACATGATGATCATTGAAGCTATCACTGTAGCCAAAGCACCACAAAATAACACTAGTCTAAACAGAAATAGTGGCCAAATAGCCACATTTTTCTGAAACGCGCTAAGGTAAAAGTCACTTAGGTCCTCATGGGTCATATTAAACATTTGTGGTTGGAATTCCTTTTTTAAATATTTTTTAGCTTTCTCCATTTCGAGTGTTTATTATTTTATTTTGTCGAGTGTATTGCGAGCGAGCGTGACGGCTGTCGACTGCCGGCTGACTTCGTTATCTCTGATAAGTACTTCGTGATTGTGTGCCTTCGATGGACGATGATCCATACATTTTTGTAGATAACAATAGAACAATGACTTGATTCCATTAAAAAACTTTACTTAGTTACCAAGTATCGGAAAATAATGAATGGAACACGCTCTTGGGTTTCCTTCGCCGTTCGTCATTGTCGCGGAGTATTCCCTTGTCAAGAACACAATTGTAGATCATATTTTTTAATAAACATAATACTAGCTGTAGATACACATATACTACGTACTTGACAAGGACATTAATTCTTATAGCATTTCTAGATAGCAAAAATCAGGGTTATCTGCGACATGAACGAATAACCAGACAACTTATCTCTAAAATATGTGGCGATACACACACAGACAACAAACAGATATTATTTACTTTGCAGGTGCACTCATTGAGTGAAAAAGATACCAAATACACAGAAACGTTTATTTACGAATACATTTCATAACACATTGTAAAGAGATTGAATCCCTGTGTTTACTTATGTACAAACCCTTTCTATAAAAGAAAATACAGCTAGGTACTTACAACACCTTAAAAACTAAAATCACAGTGCGCTTTGATATTAAAGTAAAATAAAGGTATGTATTTTACTATTAATAAAAGTATAAGATCATACAAACACCATCTTTTGCTAAGTTAAATATTCACAAATAACTTTCGTTTACAAAAAATGTTTAGCGCTTCTAAAGTACATCGGTTCGACAGCACATCAACCTACTGCAATTTTTTACAAACGATTTTCGACTTAGTTACAAAAGGATTACAGTTAAAGATCTATTCAATAGTAGAGTAGGTTGACCGACTTGTGTCTGTATCTGTAGGCACCATACGGTTAGATTTCGTTAAATAATATCACATTTGTGTACACTACACACCTGAACCCAGAACAGTTTATTCACAATCACTCCCTTACCAAGGGGAGTCGCAGCCTATCCTTGGTAGGTGTCATCATGTCATGGCCGTTACTAGAAGGATCACTTCTAGTAAATGGAAGTGATGCACACATTTTGTCAACACTAGTCAATAGTGCCGGATGAACCACGTAGCAAGAATATTAATTGTTTAGGACAGCCGGCACCAGCAAATCTGGGCCCCCAGTATGGAGCAAGGAGTCAACCATAATAGGGCGCCGTATAACAAAACTCAGCCCAGCTTAAGTCTAATTTCGGTACCTCAATAAACCTTGCTACGGGTTTCTCGCATTCTTAATCCGCAATTGCTTGTCAAGGTGTGAATGCATCGTTGTAGACTCCTGTGGTTAAAGAGTCACGTCTCTTGGCGATCGCATCTCTCGCGGTTGCTATACCAACAGTCAGCACGTGCATCAGCGCCAGGAACAATGCTGTCAGTGTGATCACCACCATCGTCTGCTCAGGCTTCGACCAGTCCACCACCGGGTAGATGAACGGGTTACCCCATCTGGAAAATTTATAATTAGTGTTAGACAGGGAACGGTATTTATAATCAGTATTATAGTCAACAGAAATCTGGATTCAAGGTGATATGGTTTGATTGGGTTAGACATAGTCTCCTGTAAAACATGATATCAAAATCTATTTATCTAATACAGAGTGTTTTTTATTTTAAAATGAGTTATAAGAATCGTGGCATGTGAAAATGAGCATGGAGAATTCAGAGTAGGTAGTAATAGACTAGCTTAGCTCTTTAGAATTTTATCGTAGGTTTTAACCGGCGATTATTTATCAAATAATTCAGACATTAAAAAACGTGTGAGTTTTATGTAGTTTTTGCATGATCGATGATACTTTAATTGTACCTTTTAATTAAAAGATTCTTTACTGCCAGATTTCCACACAGAAAATTAATTTATCCGCAAATACATTTTCTTAATAGCGTAATCAAGGTAAAATAAAAATAATAGTTATAAAATGAAATAACAACCGAAACTAAGAACTTTAATTGCACAAGTAAGACATCAAACCACTCAAGGTACCCATGGTACTTTATGAAATATCACACGAATGTGGCCTTGTCAGTTACTTCTAATTAATTTCTTCCAACTCACATTTATACGTGTGCAGTTTTCCAATTTTGAGCTTTATTTACTACTAGCTGTTGTTCGCGATTTCGTACGCGTTGAATACGATTCCTGTTTTATCCCATGGGAACACTTAATCGGGATAACAGTATCTCATCTCCTAACTCAGCCGATTCCCCTCTCTGTATACTAAACTTCATAAAAATCCGTTCAGTAGTTTCAGCGTGTTTGACGGACAAACATCCAAACAACGAAACTTTCACGTTTGTAAAGTACTTAAGTGTGATTTTAATATACATATATAATGACCATAATTTTGTAATTTAAGGTACGTTTTTGAGTCCTGTTGTGCTTTTTACAAGCATTGTCAACGCACACTCAGAATGTTATCAGTCCATTGTTGAATTCTGTGTATAATTCTAGACTCCTCGCTTGCGCCATTGTACTAATATTTAGTTTCGCAATGGGCAAAATCCATGGGAAAAACTGATGTTTCAACTGGATATCTTATTGTAGATATCTCATGACCAGGAAAATCCCCAAAGATAGGCAGACTGCTTTAACTTTAGATTAAATAAACGATGACTAGACTACATACGCTATAGATGCATTAATACATATTTGATTTCATTTGGCATTGATTGCTGTACCTACGTTGTTATGATAACCAACGTTTTCTTGGCTAAAGGTTTAGCTACTTGATTTATCTATATTTTTTATTCTGCGGAAAGTATGAAAGCTTTGTCAACAAATTCACATAAATGTCCTCAAGATTTCGTACAACAGTAAGTCCCACGAGGTCATTCTCACGGAGTGATTTATTTTATCTCTTTTGTAGCACCGTACCTACCTACCTACACAGTATGCGCTGTATTACAACACCCTGCATCTAGTTCTTTTGTTTATTAAATAGCGTTCGTTCAGGCTCTCAAGGATTTTTACAAAAGGTTTTAAATGAATTGAAGTCTAATGTTTAGGTTCGCATTTAGCAAATACTAATACTACATAGTACTTAGATACTCTCGTGGAAAATTTTAAAATAAAAAATGTAGAATAGTTAACAAAACTGAATATATTTTAAACATAACTTTAAGTACAGGTTGTCGCCCCAAGTAAAATGTCAAATGTTTGTTTAACTGAAATATGCAACCGCAAAGTGGGTCGCGATAAAAAAAATATATTTTGAATAGATTTTTTGGTATCACTGTTATCTAACCATGCTTATTATTAAACTGTCAAAATGACTGTGGAAATGTCAAAATAAGTGTGGGAGAGCCATGCTTCGGCACGAATGGGCCGACTCGACCGGAGCGATACCACGGCCTTATAGAAAACTAACGTGAAACAACGCTTGAGCTGTGTTTCGTCGTGTGAGTGAGGTTACCGGAGGCCCAATTACCCTCCCCTTCCCCAACCTCCCCAATCCCCAACGATCCTCAAACCCCAAAAGGCCGGTAACGCACTTGCAACTTGGTGTCCATGGGCGACGCCGATTGCTTACCATCAGGTGATCCGTCAGCTCGTTCACCGGCTTATGCCATAAAAAAATGACTTAAAGATTTTGATGACACATACAGAGATTAACCGTAGCCTGTAGCAGATTGTGGTAGTACCTAGTCATCAATGTCGTAGCTACAGGGTGGCAAGTCGGGAATATGCCACGGGCCTTCGGAGGGGTTCAGAGGTTCAGAGTTCAGATGTTTTCATCAAAACTTGTCTGTTTTTTATTGGGAACAGGGGCCCATCCAATGAAAGATAAAAGACTTAGCGCGTAGTAGCTGGTAGGTGCTTAATTTACTATTTACTTCCACCATAACGTCATTGACTGCATTAGTGTCCGTTTGCAAAAGGGCAGTAAGTATTTAATAAACAATTCTGAGTACATAAAGCCTTATGTACTTATTGAATGTTTGCTGGTTTGTTAAATATAGCCAAGGTTGTACTTGCGCATCTTTGGCGTACGATACAAGTGCGGTCGTTCACATTTTAAGTAAGTACATATTATTATATATGTAAGTAGGTACCATTTGAAATATTTATGCGAAACTGTTTATTGAGCTTTAAAACGAATTTTATTGAGTTTGAAAGACTATTCAAAGACTATCATGGATTAATAATGAATTTTATTTAGTCCATGGTTTGTATACGACAATATTTGTTGGTATTTATTTTACTGATGCCTGACCTTGATATAAATGCCGAATATTGTAAATAACTCTCTAATAACCTTTAAGGAAATGCAATAATTCTTTGACCTACATTTTCCAAACCACAAATCGTTTTGTAGTTAAAATAATCAAGTTCAATGTTAGTGCATTCAAAGTATTGAAATGGACACGCAAACAAAAAATTCTTGATTACAAATTATGTTTTGTTCTCCGTTTCACACTCCAGTATTTTATGTTATGCGTGGGATATAAACAATCAAATACTCATATTCATTGTTATTCACCTATTCAGAAATTATTTCTTATGTTGGGACGTTAGGATATACACGACAAAACTTAAGAGTAAGCTCAATGAACATTATATGTTTTTGTATCAGTGTCGAGTACGACTATCAGGTAACGTCCAGTTTCAATAACCTATCTATCTGTAGATTTGCTTACTAGAGATAGAATTTTGACACATTTTGTATGGAGCTCATGTCAAAATTCTATCTCTAGTAAGCAAATCTACAGATAGATAGGTTATAGAAACTGGACAAAGGATTTTGGGTTCATTGCACCCCGTTTTTCGCAATTCTAAATAGCATGGAGAATCGTATTGGGCTCGTTGCGTGAATTTTCGCTGTTGAATTCTGTGTATATTCTATGTAAGTATTGGGTATACTTCACAGAATAAAAATGTCCCGTATTTCATATCTAAAATTTTCACGTTACAGAAATGCATTGTGCACGTGTATTTTGCACATTTTATTGTCTCCATAATGTTTAGTTTTCAGTACATAAAACAGCGATTGCATTTTATTATCAATCAAGTTAGCGCAATCTGTGAAATGTTTATGTTGTGCCACTATTAAACTGCTTGCCTATACTGTTGGGTAATAGAAAACCATATCCGTTATTTGTAAGCGAGCTAAGAATAGTTCCTTAGTAACTAGGAGTTTCGGAAATCAAAGAACTCAATGTTAAAGCAGTTTAATATAACATAACAGCGCGCCTTTTATCCCCGAATCCCTACGACACTTAAATGCCACTGTACAATTTAACACCCATTTATGTCATGATTACCATGTAATAGTGAGTGAGCCTATTGTCATATACCGGGTACAATTTCAGACTCCGTGCTACTACTGAGGTTTTTTTTTTAAATGAATACTTTGCCCGACCTGGGAATCGAACTCGAGATCTTGCCCAGCAGTCGCACTTGCGAACACTCGGCCAACGAGGCAGTCTGCAGCTAAATATTAAATTGTAATTTATGGTTCTACTTATGTTTCAACTGGCAAGGTATTCGGTAACATCATGATGTATGCATGTCCTTATATGATAAAGTAAAAACAAATATGCGTAGTGCCATGTCATGCGTCATGCGTAAAGACAAGTTCTGAATACTGATCAAATGTTTTTGGAATTGTTTGTTTCCTTGTTTTATTGTCCCCGAATTCCGAAACGAGGTAAAACTCCTTAATAAGGTTCTATGAGTACTAGACTCGTACGAACGCATCATCTCTGCTGCTAACCTTGCGTTTAATTGCGATATATTTTGTTCGTGTCCACAGAATATGTGGCATATGACCTGCTATATAATCAAGGGCATTCTATATACGTAATAGACCTCAGAGGAGGCCTAATTTTCGGCTTTTTTGGGCTTTGCTCATTGACATCCATGGCGCTACCTATGTGGAACGTACGTAACGTACGAAGTTATTTTCTTTTTAAATCTATTGCAAGCTTTCTTGTCCGAAAGTGGTGTTCCGTTTATGTAATTAGGTAGGTTAATTAAACCTTACTCAAAAATTTAAAACAATTCAGTACATATTAGGAATTCATAAATAATTGTTATATTCAGTAGTACTTAGTAAATTGGGTATTTTCCTGGGTCAAAAATAAATTATTTTGATATTTCAATCCAATTATTTATATATTAAAAAATATGTAATTACAATTTCATTCATGTATATATTTGACGATATACTTAATTTTCGATTTATTCTAGCAATTTATTTTTTCAGAAATAAGTGTGCTATTTGACTCGTAAATATAATGACGTTATAAGTTAGTTTTTGGTACAAAATTCATAGAACAAAATCGTTTTTGACGTTTCGATAAAAGTATTGAATTTGATTAGTTGTAAAATACCGTATTCAGACACAACCTAAAAATAAGGGGGTAATATAAATATCTTTACGATTTTAATATTCCTAAAGGATCGGCATCCAATCGGGAGAAATTTTTTATTTATGCAGGCGAAGTGGGACAAAGGCTACTAACAAATGTTTTCTTTCTTTCAAACAGTTGTTACGATCCACCAACGTAATACTTATGAACTTGAATTTGCGCGTGCGACTGTCCATCGACCTCTCGGTGTATTGGTCGTGTGTCATTCAGATGTCGAGGTTCTAACGTTATGACATTACACACAGCGAATACAATCTCCGATTCGCCGCGCGGAACAATCAATTAGATCATTACATTTTTGATCTTGAACTTTTATGTTGATGCAAGCAATGGCGCGTTGCGAAAACGTCTCATTTGTATGTTGAGTACCTATTTAGTCATAGATTATGATCATTATATAATATATAACTCTATTTATAAATGTTATGTATAAATAGATACTTAATGGTATCAGATGCATGTATTTATAATGTTAATTAACATTATAAGCTCGAATTGAGATGCTAATTTGGATTTTTGGTTTTGTCACATATAAAAATGTTTGTCGAATACTTGCTAAGGTCTTTGATAAATGTCTGTCTGTCTGTTGACATTGATATAGTAATTGGTGTGAAGGATATATTAGAGCAAGATTAACAACTTTGAATTCATGTTAATAAATACAATTTTAACGTTTTGACATTAAACTTATCTTATTATCATATTTTAATTATTTTTGCGAAATCTCTTTTTATAATAGAATGTAATGCACAATAAATATGAATAATAAACAGTTTTGTTTATTTATGAATATGTTTAAATTCACTTTTAAAAATAAAAGTTGATCCGTGCAACATTTTTGTCTAGACTAGATTAAATTATTTCGAGGTGATCAGCACTGAGATATGTTGCTTATATATTATGCGGACCAATATATCAGCTACTACGTTAAATGTATAATTTTATTTTTATTTATTTAATTTTGTTCGATCACAGACGGTGTAGTTTGCAACTACTCGACAATGAGGCAATAAAAGATTTTATTCAGCTCCTTGGCTTTTTGCCCGCCTTGCCATCATACAGTTTTTTATTATTTATAGGTACAATAGACATTATTTGGCCTACTTACGGGTCCAGTCCGCCAGCGAAAAAGTAGATGACACTGAAGAGCATATAGGCTCCGGCGAAGTACAGCGGTTGCATCACATGCATCAGCCGGCTGGGGTGTGCTGAGCAGATCAGTTCCACCAGCATTACCGCCGAGTTCACGCCGTGCAGCATGATGTCCAGCACTGGATTCGGTGCGAAGTTCACCGTGTTGGCAGCTGGAAGCAACCATAATATTGTGCAAATGTGAAAATTGTAGAATGGTTGGTCTTTAACAATTTTTTTCTTATTATATTACATTTTTTCATCAGACTTTTAGTAGTGGTAGTTAATGGAGTTAGATGTACTTTAGCTGTCTTTGAATCCAATTTATTTTTCTCGAAACTAGTGTCAGCTTATAACAATTAAGTTTAATACTTGGCCGTTAACGGAAACAAGAAATAAAAACAACTGTTTACGTAAATTTTAGGATGTGGATGATGTGTATAGATATTGTTATTTCACAAAAATATTACCAGTACATGTTATTAAAGTATCATTACAATGCGAAATGATTACGCCATGAATATCATAAATAATGTTTTACTAAGTTCTATTATTACTGTGTTTTAAGATAGCCCTTTTGATATTGACCTCCATATTCTAAGGGCTTTGTAGTGTGAAGTATTCAGGGTCACAGTTTCGTAAGAAAACGTGTGTTTGAGAGTAGGGTTGTCCGTCATTGGGTTTCCAGTGAAAGTAAGTTCACTGAGTTGTTAGAGGGCCCTACAGTGATTTGTTTTTAGGAGCGCCCACGTTGCTTTGTAAAATTGTAATTAATGCAATTGCTTAATTATTTAAATTGTAATCTTAGATTAATGATTGTAATTAGGCAAAGCTTGACAATTTGACATGACAATTTGTATCTTAGTAGCGGTAATCTGAGTAACAGTGTGTAATGCATATTAATTAATGATTCGTCTATCGTCTATACTATATAAAAGTACAATTTCAATCTTCGTACTTTTTTATTACATTACACCCTTTATTCTCGAAGGGGTAGGCAGAGGTGCACAATATGCCACTGTATAATGTAACACCACTTTTCACTATTTATGTAATGAGTCCCATGTAATAGGGGGTGAGCCTATTGCCATAAACCGGGCGCAGTTCCAGACAACTGAGATTTTTTTAAACCCGGTAATACTTTGCCCGACCCGGGAGTCGAACCCGAGACCCCATGCCCGGCAGTCGCACTTGCGACCACTCGGCCAACGAGGCAGTCTTTACTTTTTTTATTTTACTTGTTGATTATTTATCGGCCGTTACTGTGTAACTCTAAATTGAGCTAAAAATCTTTAGTTCCGTTGACAATTGTAATTAGATACCATCATGGACCCAATAGAGCAAAAAATATTGTTCTTAACTTGACTGTATCTAAGTAACCCTAACTAAAAACAATAGTAATTAAAAATAAGGCAACATTTGGCAACTCTTTAACAAGGAGTCTATCGGAACTAATCTAATTACGAACGCTTGTTTTTGGAAGCAATCGGTGATATAGAAAAAAAAAACTGTTGCAAACGAAGTACCAGAAACCCGTTAAACTTGTTTACAACTTTAGGGTCTTTCGAGCAGTCAATAAACTGTTTGTAGGTCATTCTAAGTAATTAACACTTAAATTAATTCAGAAGACTAACTTGTTATGGTCATTAAAAGTAAGTGAGTTACTAAAATGTTTCTGTACTATGCAGTTGTAATTAGCAGCAAAAAGGTTTTATATTTAGTTTACTTTTTGTTCCATTACGTCTCCTTTGTCACAGGTTTCCACCAGTAGCTGTTAAGTCCCATGTAATACTCTTGTTAGCATTCAGTCATAAGCCATATATCGATTTCGAATGTAATACTTATATCAATGTTGACAATAAAAAATTAATCCATAACATAATAACATCACGCCTTTTATCCCTTTTATCCCCGCCTTTTATTCCCTTCGCCTATCCCTTATTACGGCACTTAATGCCACTGTACAATGTAACACCCACTTTCCACTATTTATGTTATGAGTCCCATGTAATAGGGGGTGAGCCTATTGCCATATACCGGGCATAGTTCCAGACTCCGAGCTACTACTGAGGTTTTTACAACCCCAGTAATACTTTGCCCGACCCGGGAATCGAACCCGAGACCCCTTGCCCGGCAGTCGCATTTGCGACCACTCGGCCAATGAGACAGTACGCTCAGTAAAAAATGAAATAACAGTAATTACATTATTTGGTAATACTAATAGGGATCAAGTACTTACAAGTCTTCAAGATTCCCCAGTAGAAGACCGTGATGAGGAAGGAGACAGGAATTGTGATGTTGTACAGAATCCAGTATGTCTTCACGTACCATGGCAGGCCAAACGTAGCGTCTGTGGATAAATAAGAATTTGTAGGTACCTCGCTTTAATATTAGATACATTCCAATGTTTCCGATACTAGCCCTGAACACAGATTAGACAGACTTTTGAATGTCGACAGCTGCTTCAATGTCAGACTGCACCTATCTTTTTAATAGAAGATTTAAATGTATGTACATAGACACTACGCTCTTTCTTTTATTATGTAGTCAAATGTAAATATTATAAACCTGCGATGCTTATAACATTTTCTACAAAACTCATTACTTCACTAGACCACGTTCGCTACACTCTTGGACTCTTGCGCAGTTTCTGATTGTTTTTTTTTCCAACCGTCCATCAATGGGAAATCTACGCATAATCACAATCTAATGTATAATTTTGTGAATGTAACGTTCACAGCTTCCGCTAACATTGGTCGATGTGAAACAGAACTAATGCATCCGTTCCCCCGCACTATAATATTATACACGACCTCCATAAAAATTGTTAAACACATTTGCAATAGTAAATGTATTAGTTAACATGTATTATAGAACTGGTTATTTAAATACAGAGAGATAGTAAGATATGGGTGTAGCGAGTGATAGATGAGATAATGCAGAGGTAGTACAAGACCTCAGGTGTCGGACACGAGCGGTGCGGCGTGGCGAGGTCAGCCGACCACGTTCATACGTGCTCCTCGCAGCACGTGCCACTGCTACACTCCGACGTGACCCTCTAACGTGACCATATTACCCATCCATACAGCCTTTTTTAGACTGCATCCATCATCTCCATAACATACTGCCTCGTCAGTCTATCAACAACTTCGTAGACTTGGAAGTAATCAGTAGACGTAGAAATTAATCCGGATTATTATACTATTGTTATTAGTAGGACTAGGTACATACACATTTAGATAAGAAAATTACGTGCAATTCTTATCAATCGATATGTTACACACGTGTTAAACGATAATATGTAAGAAAACAAGCGTACCAATGGGCTTCTTATAGAAAGCGTATGCGGAAACCGAAGTACCGAAGCCCGTGGTGAGAACGATTAGTAGGAAACCCCAATGTGTTAGGTATATGAACCAATGGCCGAAATGTTTGTTCAATGTCAAGGGCACAGCGATAGACGCGAACAGAACGCACGTCGAGAACAGGAAGAGGAAACTCCGGAGCAGTAACAGCGGCGCGGCCGAGCGGTTACTTTGCCAACAGCTCACGTAGAAGTTGCTGGGGGACGGGTGCTCCAGCAGACACATGCGCCAGCGACACTCGGCCCGCGCACATCCGACACACAGCATCGTGTCCACAATGCACTACCACCAAACATTAACACTAACAATGAATACTGAACACAATCACTGTGCAACTGCATTTCCAAACGTTCTTTGTTCCACGCGTGATCACATTATCCTTCACTAGATTCCGATGATAACCTTAATTTTGCAAATAACAGCATGAAATAGTACCGATCGTGTACATAGTTAGTGATCAACTAAGTAGTGAAAATGTACTGCAAGCAGTGAAGCGTGAGGACGACGCGACGACGACGTGACGGCTCGATCTTGTAACAACACTCTTTCTGTAATGAACTTGTTCCTTTGTATCGTCAAGGCCTTGCGACATAGATTTTTAATCGTTTCTTGCGATTTCCATTTTTATTTATACTTCGCTGTCTTATTTGCACGAAGCACCGTTGTTGTTTATCGTGAAGACATCGTATGCAGCTGTTAAGCGCGCTGTTAATGATAAATGTAATTTGTTTCTGTTGTATTGGTGGTAGGTACTAGCTAGACATGTGTGTTATACCTGCACTATTTATAATTTTGGTAGAATTTTACCTGTTAGATAACGATAGCATGTGACAAATAAATGTATTGTGAGTAAGCATCTTTACGTTACGCTGTCATCACTTTGTAAGAGTAACGACGACAATAATTTGGGCAGGTTCAAAATCTTTGTGTCTCTGTTTGATGGTGGGTACTATGACAAGATTTGTTTTGGTGACTGAGTTGCACGAGTTTTATCTATTGTGGAAGTAGGGAAAGATGCTTATCTTATATTTAATCAAGCCTTAACCTTCCCACGGTCTTAGTTCACCTCCAACAATAGCATAATTATCTGCAGACTATTTTTTTGTAATTAAAGACAGTCATAAGTAAAGCAGCCCAGGAAAATATTACGAAATGTGTAAGTACCTAACTGTGTATATTTCTCACTGGACATTTCTTTTATATTTAGACAACTTATTAGTTAATATGGAAACAAAAACGTACAATATGTGTGAAAATGATATAGTAAATATGTATGTACCTAGTGTGTTGTGAGGTTGATAGGCAACACTAATAATTATCTAAAAATCTGGTTTTATTAGTTTTCCTTTGCGAAAGATTCATGCACGCGTGACTAAACTGACTAAGTCGGTGGCATGAATCTATTATACGAAACAGGAATGCCGCAGTTGTCAGGCTAACGAGTGTAAGTACCGGGGGGAGTTCTTGCACCAGCTACCGCTGCACCATCCGCAGCCGCAGCCAGGATGCTATGTGAAACACAGGTGGAGCAACCACCGCCATTAGTGACGCGCCACCGGCTGGCTCGGAACACGACCATTATCACTTGATTAGCCCAGTGATTAAATGCAACCTACCTGTCAAACCTCTGCGTCCTATGGCCACGAATATTCCGAACGACGACTCCAGTACAATGAATGCCAGGCCCCAATGTGTCATGTACAGGAAGAACATCTGTGTCGGGCCCCAGAAGAACGACATGGACCAGATGAGCACGAACAGCGCCCACACGAGGATAGGCACCCTCCAGTACAGTGGCGATACTCTGCCACAACATGACCTCGTGAATGGCTCACACGACTCATTCTTCTCACTCCCGAGGATCCCCGTGATACAAAAAAAGGCTTGTCTCCACGACCACTGCATCGTTACTTCTTTGTATTCTCAGTTGATAGATAATTTATACTTAGTAATGCTTGGGCTGTTTACTCATAACATCTCAAGTGTGCCTCCAGTATGTTTGTTTAGCTGTGAACAAGGACAGAAAATAGGAATATTAAGTGAGCTATAAAGTAATTTTCTGTGAAAAAGATATTTTGGCGGACGATGTGATGTTTGTCGTGGAAATTTACGAATAGGAAGTACATATATGTATATATTTTATTTTGCTAGAACTTAGAATGAGGTTGGCATTGACTTCGTGAGTTAAAATTAAGATATTTACATTATTATCTCGTCCAAATGCTAACATCTGTTAATTGACTGGAGCAAACTACACGTGACTCTTTAGTACTGATATTAGAACATGTGCGGAAATTTCGAACAGGCTTCTCTATCCTATTATTGGATATAGAAACCGACTATTTTTGACAATATGGACATGTATAAATACTAATAATTATTACGAACCCCAATCACATAAACTGCGAATGTAATAGAAATTCCTTCCTTGCTTCATAAATATACAATAATGTATTGATTGTTCATTAGCAGTAAAAATACATTAGTACCTAATGAGATTAAAACCGGAACTAATGGAATGTTTAAGGAACGTAACTACGTACCTACGCAAATTAAAAATTTGGTTATGTACTTTACTAAATACAATAAACGACTGATTGCATTATTGATAATCACGAAAAAACGTAAAAGTCAAGGTGAAGTATTAGTGAATATTAGTTCAATATTAATAGTTTCGTGTTTTACGTTTATCGTGTAATTGTTAATTGATTTTTGCCATTTAATATAAAAGTGTTGTTTAGTTTAGTAAATAAAGGTTTGAGTGAATGTGGAGAAGAGGTATCAACCAGTTAATGCTAATTTACTTACACTAAACACTAAAAAACGTTTTATTTTACGTAGGTATGTACTTACGCACGTAAGCATCTATATACATCTACAAACATCATGTAGGAATTAAGATAAACCAAAAAAAAAATATTCAACATATTTTTTCTATTCAAATAATAAAAAAAATATGTTGAATATGGCGTGTAAACATGGAAAACTCATAATAATCGTAAGTACATAGGTCACACAAAACTAGTGACAGGTCTAAGTCTAACAAATACGTACCATGCGTATGCGTATGTAGGTTTAACAAAAACCTTTAAAAAATAAAATAAATACCTCTAATATATGCCTAGCGTGATTAATGCCAATGGAAGTTAAAATCGACGTACTCGAATAATATGTTTGCTGTCATTAAAAAGAATTTAAATGCATTTTAATGAGAACTGTAATTTTAACGCGATTACTGAACTTATAGCTATGATAATGCCTCGTCATTGGTCATAGAAAACGTAAGAGGACACTAAATATTATGTATTATGAGTACTTAAATTCTTTTACCTAAGTATAAATAAACACAAGCCAAGTTCAAGTTCAGCGGATTGTATTTGTACACAGCTGTTGATGTTGACCTACATAGCTCAAGTATATAGACGTGTTAAGTACGACGAACGAATCTGTTCGGATGCGAAACTTTTATGGCATTACGTTTATTAAATAAGCGTATTATCGTTGTAAAATATGCAATACATTTTGGTAAGTTTAAGGTCATATCTGTATTATTATTTTTGGTCTTTCAATCAATGCGACAGACATACCTAATTTGAAACTTAATTAGTTTGTATAAAGGTTAATTTACAATAAATTAAAATATTTAATGAAGGTCTATTGTAGTCAAATTTTTGAGATGTTTACTGTAAACATACAATTGGGTTGTCATAACCGAAACAGGTAGTGTAGACAACATTACATTGTAGTGCTATATGAATGTATTTCTAAGGTTCAAAAATACACGGAAATGTCCATTAACTTCCTGATTGTAATTATACTGCCTAAATACATTAACAAACCTCATGTACATATTATTGAACGAATTAGTAAAACAGTCAAACGTTTGGAGCGTTAATATTTGCAATTGGCAAGCAAATTACTAAAAGTTATTTTTGGCAAACACTTATTTGCTATTTTTATTGGTAGTTGGACTGGTCAAGAGTTTAGAAACTATATGTTTTAAAAAAAGTTATTCGATATTCGGCGACACGTTTTTGAAAGGTTGTTATTTAGATTTCTGCTCGGTACCAATCAATTTGCAAGGTTAAGCGGTGCTTGCAGGGTCAAGTGTATGTTAAGTGATGGTTCTTATGTTTAATAACAGAACTGACGCAGTCTTGAGTGACCGCTAATGTACTTAAACTATTTGTCAAAAACTTATACTTGTTAACATAGATTATAGTAAAGAAAATTGGACAAGTATAATTAGACATCTAATCTAAAGTAGTAAGCATTTTTAATGTTATTATACTTACCTTTTTCCCCTCCTTAAAGAAAAAATCGTACCTACCTATCATAAATTAATTAAAATCAAGTGTTTGAAGTTAAATGCATTACTTCATAAGCCGTAAGCAAGTACTAACTACAGCTTTGCAACATTAGTACGTTTCTTATACAAAAGTAAGTTGTATAGTAAATCACCCTTTGTTTTGAAGTTGCGACTGCAGCCACAATATACGCGGTATTGTTTTGTTTTTGTCAAAATTAATAATACGACACGAAACGTATTCACGAACAATACCATGTAACTGAACTCTTAGTATTTTGCAAATGTTAGCACAATCAGGCCAGCGTTAGTTTTGTTGAGCCGCCTTGTAGGCATCTCGTAAAACTTTATTTGTGTTCGATTGTTTGTTATTTACGTCGTCGTCGACCTACAACCTCCTATAAGGCAGCCAAGGAGCACAATACGTGGAAAAATCATTTCAAGGGCATTAGAAACTGAGGAAAACGCTCGCTCATTATCCTAACCTTTAAGGATGCGCACCAGTCACGATAACTAGATTTGTAATAACATAAGGATATGCCACTACCAGCTATAACTGTCTGCCGGTGCTCGCGTGTTACTAAACATCCGATCTACTATGTGAATTGCCTTTATTATAAGTTACTTGTAGCTGATTATATCAACCAAGTACATGTAACACCCATAGACGCACACCGTGGCGTGAAATCACCGAGTTTGAGAAAGAGGTCTAAGTACTTCTGTATTTTTCTTTATGAAATAATTTTGTAGCACAGTTACCGTTGTGTACTTCGCATCACTTTCAAGGATTCATCGAGTCGCGATCTCGTGTTTAGAACACTTAACTAATTTCCTTTACTCTTAATTGATTTCCCGTGTTTAAGTATTGAAGCCAGGGCTTTTCACCCTCACGCACTTTTAGAAACTTAGGTATGTATTAATGTTAATATTATGGTAAGGTTGGATACTGTGTGCAGTTTAT